AATTTTAGTCATTCTGACTGGTATGAGGTGGTATCTCACTGTGGTTTGGATTTGTATTTCCCTGATTGAGCCACACCATTTCTGGTTATGGTTTCAAAGTGGCCACCCTCGTAAGTCTGTGGGGCAGGTAGTCTTCCTTCGGTTCAAATTTGCTTGTTCGTTTTGCCCAGATGAGTCATGGAGGTAACATAGGGAAGAGATAGGTGTTGTGTACCCTGAATGAAAACCCACAGCCTCATAGTTCCTTTCTAGAACCAGTACCACTAAGTCTGGTGCACATTATAAACATTCACTCACCCATGAGAAGACACTGTACTTTTTTGCCCTATTCCTTGGAGGGTTTGGCACACAATTTTCCATCCGTCTTGTTGCTCAGTCACTCTTATACTAGGGCTGAAGTGAGATTTTTTATTATTTTTTTAAGAATTTAGAACTACAGGGGCACCTGGGTGGCTCAGTGAGGTAAAACCTCTGCCTTCAGCTCAGGTCATGATCTCAGGATCCTGGGATCGAGCCCCGCATCAGGCTCTCTGCTCAGCAGGGAGCCTGCTTCCTCCTCTCTCTCTGCCTGCCTCTCTGCCTACTTGTGATCTCTCTCTGTCAAATAAATAAATAAAATTAAAAAAAAAAAGAATTTAGAACTACATAAGTCTTTGCAGATTTTGGTGGTAGTTCTGTGCATGGGAAGGAGGAGGTAGCGTAGTTCCAAAATCTTTGCAGAATGTGCCTCTGAGGCACATTTCTAATTTAGGTGTAAATCAGGTCCCTGTGGATAGAGACGAGATAGGGATTTGGGACTCAAGACCCAGCAGTTCAAAGAAAGCAGGGTAAGGAAAACTAGATAATGTGTTTCCTTTTTTTGGCTTCGGTTCCTCAAAGTGGCTTAGTCCACCGTTGCTGTTAGTCCAATTCTTTCAGCCCTTGGGATGACTGTGTTTGCTTTTTCTTCCTAAGGTGCTGAATTGCTATTTCCATTTTATAAATCTTACTATGTATATGCCTTTAATTGAAAGCCATTCAAAATTATTTTTGGGAAGAGACTTTTCTCTTGAAGGATGCTTTACTCTTGTTCTCTTGTATATTACTATAGTTCCTTGGTGCTAGTCTGTGATGGCACTCACTTCAGGGACTTGAATTTGACTGGGAGGGGCTAGAATGGATCCCCGCTATTTTGTGGTCTGTTTTTTGGTACTGACTCTCTTGTTTGTTCTGGTCCTCCCAGAAAGCTCTGTTTTCCAGCAGACAGGTTCACAGAATTCCTAGACCATATCAGACTAAAGTCTTTTGTAGACTATAGCATAAATCCAAGTTGGTCTTACCTCTCCAGACCCCAAAAGTGGAATGGGAAACTAAATGGAAGAAGGGAAAACTTTGTTTTTTCTCTTGGGTTATTTCTCTTTCTTCTTAAGCTACATTTTTTAAAGAGTTTCTATTTCCTTTCATTCAATTTCCTTTTGTTTCTGTAACTTTTTTTTTTTTAACATGCATTGTGGAACCAGATTGCCTGAATTTGAATTCTGACTCTCCAATTTACTGGTTGCCAGAACTTTTTAAAATTACTTAACCTCAGAAAGACACGTATATAAAATCTATAAAATGAGAGTAATAGTACCCACCTCAAAGGGCCGTTATAAGGATGAAAGGAGTTCATATACACCGAGTACTTAGACAAGTTTCTGGCACATAGTTTTCAATATATATTATTGATGACTGTTATTGTCATTGCTTATTTTTGTGGCTGGTACCTGCAGCTAAGTGCTGGTCGCCACACTAGCAAACTTTTTTTGGCAAATCATTCTTTGACAGGATTAGCGCTCCTTAGACCCAGAGTAACTTAAAAGGATGAGGCTAGGACCTTGAAAGGTCTCGGGTATCTCGAGCAGGACTTTTATCAGTAATTTCTGGTTTTCCTTTAAATCTTAGCTTAAGTTTCATAATCTACCTTCTAGATGCCTCCCCTTTCTTTGTAATCACCTTTGTCTTCTTTTCTATATGCTTTTTGGCCGTTTTGCCAAATTCTGAGCATAAAATGTATTTAAAAACTTCTTGTCAAGATAATAGAGAAGTAGTGTTAATATTTATATCTTGCTCTGCTATGAATGATTTCCATTCTGGGAGGTCCACGGGGTCTTCAAGTCACTTTGAAGACTATGGCATGGAACTTTCTTGCTCCAAATATAAAGTCGTTAGCAGAGAAAAAAATCTTTAAAATCTTCAAGCATTCGTCTTGTATGTATATTTAGGGGAATTTTCCCAACTTGGGGGAACAAATACGTACATTTGGAATGTGGAGAAAGTAAGGAAAGGAGAGGGAAGAGATGGTGTGAGCAAGTGTGTTCTTGCTTTTAGATTAAACTTTAGAGTTCTGGGGCTAATTAATAGTTACCGTCAATCTTTCCATTGAGACAGAACTTAGAAGAGCCAGTTCCTCTGGGTGGGGGGGTGTGTGTGTGTGTGTGTGTGTGTGTGTGTGTGTATTATCTCTTCTGTTACGCTTTCTCTTTACTTAAACTCTTGCAGGACATTTCACTTACCTGATGGATTTGCTGCATGGGAAAAGGTTTACAAGGTTAGACTCTGACGTCCTCAGCAAATAAACCAAAAAAGATTTTAGTTATCTCCCAATTCCAAGGTATTACAACTTCTTATTTCCTGGGGTAGATGAAAACTCTTATTAACCGTTTTGTAATAGAAATCTTTGAGGGAAATAGAATCTGTTCATTTCTTATTTTGCTTAGTGTGAATGATGTGGAACCATTTCCTCTGTGAACCCTTTGGAGAGTTCCATATATTTTCAGTATTTAGCCAAGTCAGGTAACTCCATGCAGTGTTTCCTATGGGCATATACCTGAGTTAACTACGCGCAGAAGAGACCAGAAAGCTTGTAGGAGGGTTGAGGCAGGTCCTTCCTTGGCTGATTGAGAAGAGATTCATTATCAGGGTGGACAGAGACAAGAAAGCTATTTGCTCCTCATTCCGGGTGTCTAACTGCTGACCTCTGACCATAGCAATACTCTCCCTGATGACATCAAGCTGGCCTTGTCGTTTGTTGGGGGGAATGAGGCGTGTCAGTAAATTTTTATCCTGTCAGTGGATACTGTTGTGGTTCTTCCCTTCTCAGTTTTATGGCACTGGCTTTCAAAAAGCAGAATGGGGAGAACAAGTGATCCACTTCGTAGTATTTGTCCCAGATCCTTCGTATCTACCGTAATAACCTCAAATGAGGTAGTCACCATCCACGCTCAAATAAATTTTCCTTTCCACACAGATACCTTATCTACTGCAAAGACGGTTTTTTCTAAGATCTCTCTCCTGCGTGCTGCTGCTCTTTGAAGGCTAGACAGCATACTGTCTCTAGGAGCTATCCGGCTCATGGGGGAGGGTAACTGCTGGCCAGACTCCACTGGTCTCTTGCATCTCTTGAAGTGAGAATTCATAAACAGAGTTGTGAGACCCTTTGAAGGCACATTTGTAATGTATACCGTCTCAGTGATGAAAAGACAGCAATAACCCTCAGCACTAGCTGGTTCTTGGACTTTTAAAAAATAAAATTCAGAAAAAATTTAAAATCTTCATCAGCTATTTTTAAATGCATTCCATTTTAATATATGATTGACTAAATATAACTGGCAGTTTAGGTATTTAAAGACACTTAGAGTCCAGTTGAACTTCTGGAGATGAGAATAATTGGGCTGCTGCTTTCAGTATACAAAAAATGGAAAAGTATCATTTGAGAGTCCATCTTTTAGTAAAGTGTGAGTTAACACAGTACAAGTTTAACATATTTTCAGCACAGAATTTTATGCACTGCTCCTACTTGAATGTGTTTTTGAGACTATCCAAGAAATTACCCTCTATGTCTGTGAAACCTCAAAGTAGGTTCTTTAGTGCAATATTGAGCCTGAAAATGAGACTCTACTGTCTAGTTTTTGAGACCTTTACCTTTTCCTCAAGTAAAGAGGAATTTGAAGATATATGAGAATCGTTATGAGAAAAATCTTTAATGACAAGAAAAATCGGGCCAAGAAAGTATCAATTTGTGAGAAGGAGGATGTTAAACACCATAAAAGGCAGAAGTTAAAATATTTTTGAAAGCTTTTTAACTAATAAGTTCATCTGTGATAAGTCAGCAACAATATCTAGCATTTCAAGAGTACCCTGAGTAATGGCATCCATTCCCTGCACTAAGGTTTGGGGACTCTAAAGTGGGTAGGACAGGATCCTAGATCTTAGAGGGTGTCATGTGTGGTGGGGGAAACATAAACAACCAACAGAATGAAGCCTTTATTTGGGATCATGAGAGATACCCACTTCAAGTCTGGGGACCCATGGGGGCGGGACTTGAAAGGACATCCTGATTTTTCCACCACCACCTAGAAAACCCGAGTTAAGCATCTGTTTGGTAGCATATATGTATAATGTGGTAACAGTTATTGGTGCTTTTGAGAGTGCTTTAAGAGACATGGTCTTTTGAGGTATTTCTATCCTGTGAAGTGAATTACCCAAATGTATGGATAAAGAAGTGGTCACCGAGAGGATAAGCAGCTTGAGTAAGAGTAAACAGGTACTGAGCGGTGCCCCAGGTCCCAGCCTTCCTGACCTACAAGCCTGTTTTCTTTCTACAGCCCTCTAACAAAAGGAACAACCCTTCATTTCTCAAAGCACGTGTGGTGGCACACTGGCTTTCTGGGATGTTATCTGCATTATGTAAAAGAAGGTTCCCTTTGGAAATAAGTTAAATTCCTTCTCATTCCTCAGCTCTGAGCTCATAGGTCACTTCTTCAGGGAGACTTCCCTGGGCTCCAGTCTCACCACCACTACGCATTCTCCTAGAACTCCCTGCTTCCCGCATCAGCATACCACCCCCTTTGTAATTTGCAAAAGGGACGTGTTCGATATATGCTCTTGCATTTAGTGTCTCGAATGTAGCGGTCACTTAAGAAGTGTTTGCAGAAGGAATGTCTTCATTTAAGATTTGTGTGCTGTTTCCATTCTTTTAGACTACCCGACATGTGAACAGCTCACTTGTGCCAATGGAGCCTGCTATAACAGCAGTCAGAAATGTGATGGGAAAGTTGACTGCAGAGACTTCTCTGATGAAAACAATTGCAGTAAGTAATGTGTACAGGCTGTGCGGTGGTGTGCTGGGGCTTACTCATGCTGGCAGGTTCCACAGTCTCTTCCCAAATTTGCGTTCAGTGAATTCATGTTGGTAGCTTGAAGTCAGCCACGGTGGGAGTATTTGCACCATGGAAATTGGCAAACACTCCAAGTCAGGGCCTTTTTGTTCCTGGAGGATTGGTTGTTAAACATTTACCAGCATGCTGCTGCATAATAAAAATCTCTTTTCAAACTTGAGATAGAAATCTTCCCGTGAAATTAAATGGCTGCAGTGGAACTGAACTTCTCTTTCTGCTCTCCCTTACTACCCTTGTGACACAGCTAAGGTATGTGCATACCACGAGTTCCAGTGCGACAGTGGGGTGTGCCTCCCTCACTCCTACGTCTGCGACCATTATCTGGACTGTGAAGATGGCAGCGATGAGCATTCTTGTAGTACGGTGATTTCCTTATGCTGGGTCGGGTTGCTAGGAGTCCTCCTGTTGTTACTTTCTGATGAATGTAGCGCTTTTTGAACAAAAGGGTCACTATGTCTGATGGCAGTGGGAGCCAGAAGATCATTCAGGGCCTGTGGCATGAGCTTCCATAGTGAAGCTAGACCTGGACTCCTTTATCGTCCAAGAGTCTGTGGAGAGTTGAAGGATTGCTGATGGACAGTGTGCTTTTTTTTTTTCCTTAGGCCACAAGGGGACAGGGTGAATTGTGTCACTCGGCTCTCAAATTACCCATACTTCAGGAATGGGTCTGATAACCTTGATAGGAGAGTGAGAGAAGGACTTTGAAGGGAGGGGAAGTTCCCTAAGATATGTGGTCCCAGCTCTCCCCTTTACTTTGAAATTCTTACCACACTGAAATTGGAGGGATAGGCAAGTCAGTGTGGGTACAGATGGCTTTCGTTGCCTCTGCTTTTTAACTCTGACCCTACTTTTTTCCCTCCAAGTTGTTGCCTGCAATGCAGCCCACCTCTCACTGTTGCCAACTCTGGACTCATTTTGCTGGAATCTGTAGTTTGAAGTCTCTGAGAGAGTTCTTCTCCTTTCACAAAATTAGTTGGCACCTTTTTGTGGTCATTTATTTACTAGTATATTATGATTTGTCACCACACTCGTTTTGATTGGTTGGCACCTCTGCCTTGTTAAATATTTTTGATATCACTCTAACTTTTTATGAGCCATGCCTGATTTCCCTTCTGGCCCCTGGGCTTTTTTTCAGTGAGTGTATTAGAGAGAATGTGACAACATGGAACGGGTGACTCAGAAGCGTTTGGTTGTGGATAGCAGTTTCGCTGCTTGTGATAAAGTAAGGGCACGCTGGGCATAGCCATGCCTGTAGCACGTTTATCAGTATGCGTTCTTGTGTCAGCCTACAGCAGACCACCTTGTTTGTGGTCTTGAGAAGAGCGTAGACAGGCACCTGAATTTATTTCCTTGACCCAAAGCTGCTGTTATGTTTTCTTCCTTTTCTCCCCTTCTTTGTCCTTCTTTTCCCCCTTTTCTTTCCCACATCTTTCTGTCAAGATACTTGGCAGAAGTTTAGGCCGTGAGGTGAACTCTTTGATTTTTCCCAAGCAGTTTTTGTCTTTGGAGTGCAGCTCTTGTTTCTTTCCAGTCTATGAGACCTGCAGAGGCAACCAGTTCACTTGCCACAGCGGCTACTGCATTAGTCAAAATGCGGTTTGTGACGGAGAGAATGACTGTAAGGATAACAGCGATGAAAACGGATGCGGTAAGGAGGAGAGATTCTGACTGAAAAGCATTTTCTTTTTCTCTCTCTGTCTCTTTTTAAAAAGTATTACTTATTTGTCAGAGAGAGAGAGAAAGCGTAAGCAGGGGGAGTGGCAGGAAGAGGGAGAAGCAGGCTTCCCTCTGATCAAGAAGCCCAGTGACTTGATCCCAGGACTCAGGGATCATGACCTGAGCAGAAGGCAGACATTTAACCAACTGAGCTACCCAGGCATCCCTGAAAAGCATTTTCTCAAAGTGTTTCCAGAACTTGTATTCCTACTTCCCTTGTTAGAAATTATCTATGTGGATTATCTATGTTAGAAATTATCTGTGGATTGGCTGTAGGTTAATTAACTTGGTGGGGAAGAAGGAGGCGACTTCACCAGCTTTTCTTAAAAAGACACGGAACTCAATTACAGTATAAATTACAATCTCTTCCCTCTTATCATTGAAGTAAAGTAGGTGGGGCAGTCTGTCCCCCTTCTATAATACATGCTGACTTTTTCCTTTGGAAACTGCTTATTTTACTTATTTTTTTTACTTATTTTACTTATTTTAACTTGGCTTATTTGTGTAAAAAAAGTAGAGTGGGAAAGGAAGGAAAATAGGGGGAAATGTGACTTTCCTTGGCCTTATAAGCTCTAAAAATGACTTTACACCTTGATAACAGTTCAGTTCTTTGTTTTCAAATTCAGATTTTTCAACCACATGGGTCACTGACATCCAGTGGTGGAAGAGAGGCCACCTGGGGAACATGTGAGGAAGAAGTAGGGACTGGTAGTTGCTGGAAAGGCAGCTACTCAGGGAATTATTTTAAGATTCTCTGAGAAGGAAATTCCAGTGATATCACCTCCTTCACCAGTAGTACCTTGAATAGTTCAGAAGTTCCTAATACCCACACCCTAAAGCAAGTATAATGAGAGTGATGCTTGGGGAAAATCCATTGGTATTGGTGTTCCAAGAAGTAGTCTCCCTATAGTTAGTCATAGGTTTTCTTATATTGTTGACATTTCACTAAAGGAAAAAAAAAATCAAACAGCCCCACCCCCACCCCCAACCCTCTACTGCTCACCCTGGTCCAAAAAAGACAAAAATAGATGATAAACTCGGGAATCTTGGCATCACCTCGATAAGTCTAGTTCTGTAATTCATGATTTAAATAACTGAATTTTCTTCTAGGGGTTATTAATCTAGTTTGATAATTCAGGTCCATGTCTCTTCTTACTCCTGTAACCTGGCTGAGAACTGCCTACCTTAGAAAGAATGGAACTTAAATAATTCCATTCATCACTTCTTTTTTTAAAAAATATTTTGTTTATTTATTTGATGGAGAGACAGCGAGAGAGGGAACACAAGCAGGGGGAGTGGGAGAGGGAGAAGCAGGCCTCCCACGGAGCAGGGAGCCGGATGTGGGGCTCGATCCCAAGGGTCTGAGCTGAAGGCAGACGCTTAATGACTGAGCCACCCAGGTGCTCCCCATTTGTCACTTCTTAGAATCCCAGTAAAAGATCAGTGGTAGAGTTAGCAAGTACCAGTTTAGGTCATTTGTCATTTGTAGACTTCTCTTGTCTATCTGATCTGTATTCTCACTTACCCATGGATCAGAAAGAGCTGTGATATGGCCTGTGATTCTTTTATTCCTCCCCTGCAGAAAGCAGTAGTCCCCATATTCGTGAATGCTACCCAGGTGAATGGGCTTGTCCAGAGTCTGGAAAATGCATCCCAATCGCAAATGTTTGTGATGGGACTTCAGATTGTCCAGGAGGAGAAGACGAAAACAATAGCACCAAAGGGCTACACTGTGGTGAGTATGGAAATTTATCTGGGTAGCTTTCAGATCAAGATCGATCTTTCTTTCTTTCTTTTTTTCTTTCTTTCTTTCTTTCTTTGTTTCTCTTCCTCTTTCCTCCCTTCCTTCCTTCCTCCTTCCCTCCTAAGATTTTGTTTATTTGACACAGACAGTGAGAGAGGGAATACAAGCAAGGGGAATGTGAGAGGGAGAAGTAGGCCTCCCGGCTGAGCAGGGAGCCTGATGTGGGGCCCAGTCCCAGGATCCTAGGACCATGCCCCAAGCTGAAGGCAGATGCCCAACTGACCGAGCTACCCAGGTGCCCCAATGTTTCTGTTTTTCTATAATAGATTCCCAAATACAGAGAGTATCAGTATTTGCATAACTATCTATCCCGAGGCTTACTGGCTTACACAAACAAATACTATTTCACTTAGTTCTGTGGGTTGGCTAGGAAGTTCTTAAGGCCTAGACCAGCTCACTCACATGCCGAGGATGTTGCAGTAAAAGCTCAGGTTGGTATCTTTTTGCAAGATAGTAGAAAAGGTGAACCTTAGTGTGTAAGCTCTTTTAAATCTCTTCTTAGGTCATGTTTGCTAAAAGCGTTATTGGCCAAAGCAAATCATTTGGCCAAGCCCAGATTCAATGGATTGATGAAAAAGACTCCATCTCTTGATGGGAGGAGCTATAATATGTTCATGGTGTTTTTTCCTAAACTCAGGCAGAATGGTTTTAATGGCAATTTTAATGATTTTAAAGATATTGTGGAGATTTATTCCCTGGCTTATACTTAATGGAAAAGTCTTAACCTGGTTGCACTCAGAAAAGAAGCTTCTGGTTTTTGAGACATATACCTTGAACTAGTTTTTATTTTTTCTTTTTCTGTGACTGTACTCCATTACTCTGTCAAATGTGTGGACAAGTGACTGTCCTGTAAGGGAATACAACTTAAGACCTTGACTTCATCAATAGTGCACTCTATAAATTATCTAGAAGTTGTTTAGAAGTAGCCATGATTAACATGTTTAATGTTATTCTCAATCTAGTCACTTGAGAATTCTTGACTTTTTCTATTATGTAGACAAAAAGATAGACTTATGACCTGATTTTTCAGTAAAGAGTACTTAAGATGACTTATACTCGCACAGTTAAAATTTTAAAAGGAGTTGTATTTTAAAAATACGAGTTGAGCTTTTCATGCATAATAAAGAAGTAAGGCTTGAAGGCTAATAATTTCTGTGCCTCTACTCTTTCTTAGGTTTTAGGTTTGGTAAAAGACACTCTTACATTATAGGTACATCAGTCTTGTCCAGAGGTCACCATTCACTTAACAAAGTGTTTTTCTCTGTTTAGATGTGAATTTGTGTTCTCTGCTGAGCTGTGAGTACCAATGCCACATGTCACCAAATGGAGGGATGTGTTACTGTCCCCCAGGTTTTATCGTTGACCCGAATAATACCCGCAACTGTGTCGGTAAGTGACAAGTGGGAGTGTCTAATGTTTTGTCACAGTGCTGTGGCACTGATGGCTTCTGTGATCTCTAGTATCAAGGTGTTTGTGCTTGTGGTTGGGAGTGGCAGTCGTTACAACAAAGAGAGACACAGTCCGCATAGAAAACCTAGACAATATGAAGTTTTAAGTTGGAGAAACTTGTGAGGGGCACAAGGCAAAAGAGTGGTTCTTTTGAGTGAGTTGACCAGCTCCATGGATACCTGTGTACAGCCTGATGAAGGAGGAAGTCTTTTGTGTTTCCTTCTTAAGTGTTCGGAAGCAGGATTGGTGTGGCCGTACTGGTTTTTCAGTATTGGAATACATCCATGTGGTTGGTAATAACCACTGCCTGAACCCATCCGCTATCCTCCCTGCTCGCCTGGTCTCTTCTCCAGCGTGCTCCAACCTCCAGCCAGCAACTAAAGAGTGGTTGCCTAAGAGGAAAGGATCATCAGCTCACTGCCCCGCTGACCATAATAGCCAGTCAGTGCCTGTGCCATGCTGTTTGTTAATTCCCCTGATTTTGACCTCTACTTGAAGCTTCTTGAAACTTTGTTCAAGGGCAAACACTATTGTTTTCCTTTGTTTGGCTGGCATTGAACTGGATGCTGGTGTACCAAATAGTTCTCACATCTCTCTTATCTGAATCCTAAGAATGATTTCTCCCACTAGGAAATTTTTGATTCTGATGTAAGCTGGCATTGTGGACTTCTGTGAGCAGGATGGGATCTTATGATGGGAGAATTACTATGGCCAAATATCAGTTTTCAGTTTTTTAGGATTTGAACAATGAATTTTTAGTTCTCTGATTTCTTTTTCCTTCTTTCTGATTTTTTAAGGGGTGGGGGAGGGGCAAAAGGAGAGGGACAGAGAGAATCTTTTTTTTTTTAAAGATTTTATTTATTTATTTGTCAGAGAGAGAGAGGGAGAGAGAGCGAGCACAGGCAGACAGAATGGCAGGCAGAGGCAGAGGGAGAAGCAGGCTCCCTGACGAGCAAGGAGCCCGATGTGGGACTCGATCCCAGGACGCTGGGATCATGACCTGAGCCGAAGGCAGCTGCTTAACCAACTGAGCCACCCAGGCGTCCCGACAGAGAGAATCTTAAGCAGACTCCACGCCTAGTGCCAGCTGGACATGGGGCTTGATCTTGTGACCCTGAGGTCATGATCTGAGCTGAAATCAACAGTCAGACTCTTACCTGACTGAACCACCCAGGTGCCCCTGCTTCTTTCTGATTTTTGATACGTAAAAAATAAACCTATTAGCAGGAAGTGTCCAAAAGGGTTTTTTAAAAAAAACAACAACTTCATTTTTTTAAAAAAAGATTTTGTTTATTTATTTGACAGAGCTCACAGGTAGGCAGAGAGGCAGGCAGAGAGTGGGGGGTAGAGCAGGCTCCCCTCTGAGCAGACAGCCCAATGTGGGGCTCAATCCCAGGACCCTGAGATCATGACCTGAGCCCGAGGCAGAGGCTTACCCACTGAGTCACCCAGGTGCCCCGAGACAACTTTGTTTTTGCTGGTGCTGTCAAAAAGGCATCTGGAAGGCAACTGTAATAATTCATTAAAACTAAATTTGGTAGGGGTACCTGGGTGTCTTAGGTGGTTGGTTAAGTGGTGAATTCGTGGTTTCACCTCAGGTCATGATCTTGGTTGTGGGATCAAGCCTGAGCAGTGGAGCTCTGAGCTCAGTACAGAGTCTGCTTGAGATAGAGATAAGTTAATAAATAAATCCTTCAAAAAAATTCAGTTTGGTAATCATCTGTGGATTTCCAAAAGATAGATGATTCGGATTTTTCCCAGGGTATTTGTGTTCTTTTGATATTCCTTAGAAATAAGCTATTTTTCAGGGCTTTCTGAATAAAAATAGACATGGTGTACATAATAAAAAAATTCACAAAAGTGCTTCTTCTGAAGTAATTTCTAAAATATTAATATAACTTGGTCAACAATATTGAATTTGGATAAATCTAATGAAGTTATTCGGTCTTTAGTCTTAGCTCATGGCTTCCAACTTGATTATCAAATATCAAATAACTATTCACAGCCAGAAGAAGATTTCATGCCACAAATTAACTCTGGTTTACAAATTGGAACTTTTGAGAAAGTTTATTCCTCAGTGTATTGAGAACCATAATAATGGGGCTCATTTATATGTCATATGCCAAGAAAAACGAGACTTTTATATCTAGTAAAGTAATCCAAGTGAGGTTGTCCTTGTGTTTGAAGGAGGCAATTTCAGGTTTTTGGTATCCGGACCAAGCCCAAAGTTTTCTCAGGATCTGATTGCCCCTCTCAAGTAACAGTATAGTTACTTGTTGGATAGAAGACATGTTATAAGACAAGACATGACTATGAGACATGACATGGGCTTTATGTAAGATACCCCAAGAGATTCTGAAGCCTCAGAGACAATTCTGAAATACTTAAGGAAGCCCCCCACTTTCTAATCATTTGAAAACTTCTGTAAATAAGAGTGTGACCTGCCACAGGCATTCAATGAAATCAGGACACTTTTTGTGTTTATTACCAATATCATCATTATTGTCACCATCATCACATTGGAGATGCATTTAAGTGATTGAAAATACTTTTCACATGAATATCCTCAGTTGTTAGGTGGTATTCTGACTCTGGGACCTCTGCCTGTGCTGCCCGGCATTGCTGCGAAAGCAACATCTCCTTTTCTTCCTAGTGGTGCTTGTCAGTGGGTGTGAGCCTGCTCCTTTGTCTTTGGCAAATGTCAGGCTCCTCCGCTGCCCCCCTCCCCCCATTGCCACCCAGCTGCCAGTTCGATTTTAGTCTTTTAGTTCTCTAGGCATTTCTCCTTTCTCTTAATAGAAAAGGAATTCCAATAGAAATACCAGAAGCCACATTCTCAGTATTCGTCAGCTTCTCTTTTTTTCCTTTCTCAGCCCCCAGAGAGGAGATGGGGCTGGGCTGCCTTGCATTTGGAACTTGATAGGCCATGAAGTCTTGTCAGTAAAAGTGATTGCTCTTTCAGAATCCCCAGTTTAGTCTTGCGATGCCCTACAACCTGTTCTTAGCCCCCCCCCCCTTTTTGGGGGGCACTTTAGCATCTAGATAGCACATTTTCCAACACTTTTTTCCCAAGGTCTAAATCAGTGATGAGCTTTGGGTTAAAAATTCCAAGTGTCTAGGGCTACTTGTATGTCAGAGGTCTGGGCCACTTCGTTTTGCAATCTGAAATAAATGAAAAACTGTCATCACAAGATTTTTTTTTACATTTAGCCTATTAATAAATGTAATATAGAAAATTCCAGTATTATGCTGCGGCATAGTTTCAGGACTTACGGAACGCACCCAGTTCACATAAGAGGTGGTGTGGTCTGATACTGCATCACTAGTATTTTTTTTTTTTTTTTTTTTAAGATTTTATTTGTTTATTGGACAGAGAGAGATCACAAGTAGGCAAAGAGGCAGGCAGAGAGAGAGAGGAGGAAGCAGGCTCCCCACCAAGGAAAGAGCCCGATGTGGGGCTCAATCCCAGGACCCCGGGATCATGACCTGAGCAGAAGGCAGAGGCTTTAACCCTCTGAGCCACCCAGGCGCCCCTGCATCACTAGTTTTAACTCTAATAATGAACATTTTTAATCCCTACAGTATGTGCCTGGGACGTTAGTGCATTAGCTTCATTTGGAGATGAGCTCAAAAGTCTGCGATTTGAGGGCTTTTGTGTGAGGCCCCTTGCCACCTACAGAGATTTCTTCTGTGATTCTTCCCTGTTTTCCAAGGAGGTGTTCTTTGCCCCTGAGTTTTGAAGCTGGGTTAGAGTTTATTGCACATTTATTTCGAAGAAGATTATCTTTTGCTTTCTTGGTAAAGAGAACTTGTTAATTTAATTTAATTTTTTTTTAAAGATTTTATTTGTTTATTTGACACACAGAGAGAGATCACAAGTAGGCAGAGAGAGAGAGAGGAGGAAGCAGGCTCCCCGCTGAGCAGACAGCCCGATGCGGGGCTTGATCCCAGGACCCTGAGATCATGACCTGAGCAGAAGGCAGAGGCTTTAACCCACTGAGCCACCCAGGTGCCCCGAGTACTTGTTAATTTTAATATGTGACATTATAAAACCGGTTACACTTATTTCAGCTGGAGTTTCAGGGAAATAGTTCTCATTTGTTCTTTCAAGCATTTCAGTTCTACAGATACTCTCAGTATGCCTGTAATACTCTACATGGCTTCAGGTGTTGGAAACCTATGCGACATCTGTCCTCTTAGACATGGCTCCCCAGTGAATGCCTCGGTGGTAATCAAGAATAAACTAGAGTAATCCCGACACGAAGTCTTGTGTCCTTCTACCATTCATCTGCCTCTGGTAGCCTTGCCCTGGCCGTGGAGCCTCTGAGCCGTGCCGAAGCAGTGTACCCAGGGTTATTGTTTCTGATTGACGGGATGTGCTGTTTGGTGACGGAATGACATCGTGATGCAGAGTTAGGGCAGGGAGGTCATTCAGCATGGGAGGATTTCAGACAGCCAGAGGGATCAGAGATGTCCAAGGGGGTCCAAGCTAAAAAGGGTTTTTTGAACTATTTTCAAAGTAGTATCTGTTGGTACAAGGCAACAAAGAATGAAAAGGAAAATAGGTAAAGGTAATGGGATGAGAGTTCGTATTATAAAATAGTGTTTTAGGGATTGATACAGTTTCTTCCACTACTTTTCTGTTCTCAGGAAAAGCCTCAAGTCTACTTTCATTTTTCTTGTTTTCACTTTGGCTAATGATGGATTTTAATTAGCCTTCATTTTCCTCCGTAATAGAGAATATACTCTTACTCAGTCATTAAAAGTGACAGTGATTTTATACACTCACTCAGATGTTAAAGTACTTGTAGCCCAGGTGATAGGACGGGCACTTGCACCCACGAATTCCTAGTTATGACTTCTTCACCTTTTGTTTTCTTCTGTTTGACATCAGAACTCCTGCTCCCAGGGTGGCTTTAGACCCTTTAGCATATTCTCATCAGTCTTGCATTCAAAATGAGGTCATGACATTCTGGGAATTTGAGGGTGAATATCCTGTACTTTCATTTCTACTGAGGCGAAGCCTCAGGTGGTGCTTTCTCAGGGCTGAGGCGAGGACACAGAAGAGATAAATCAGGAAGGGCCTTTTATTTATACCCACGTGCCTTTCACCTTGTCATGTCCAAATTGGATTAATTTTTTCCTTTGGTTAGTCACAGTTCTTGGAAAGAAAGATACGGAGGCCAGTGTTGTTATATCTGGTCTTGAGGGAAAATTGGAAACATGAGCTTGATCCCAGGACTTTCTTGAGCTTTGTAACTAGGGAGTTGTGAGATGGTGGGCCATCCAGAAAGTATGGTAGAACCCGATTCCCAACGCTGACATTTGCTGCAAGGGTATTCAGATTCAAGTAATGTGGAGAATTTTAGACCTGAGGGTACAGTGCTTTCAGAAATTATAATTTACTGAGAACCTGTTGGTATAGGCTGTGATGGTCTTCCTCCCAGGGAAGGGCACAGGGTGAAGGAGGGTGAAGAGTGGATGTGAACTTGGAGGGTCAGTGAAATATTTGGCACCAGTCTACCAAGGTGGGACACTCTTTGTACCCCTTAAGCTGTACGATCTCTGAGAAAGACCCTTTATGTCTTGCATTGTCCCACCCTCCCTCCCATGTTGTATTGTTTGTATGTCAATTTTACTGAATTTTGAACTGGAACTACTGTGACCATAAACACCCCTGTCATGTAATAGCTTCTCAATGAACACTTATTAAATAAATGAATAATAAGTTAATGAATAAGTAGAAGAGGAGATACTTTTCATGTCTTAAGACCAATCTAAATTTAATTTTGGTTGTAATTTTTGACATCAGAGGAAAGGCAGCTAGCTGGGGAAATGAATCTTTCCAAATACTTCATTGCAGTTAAAGTTTTATGTCTTCTTGAGGGGTTGGATATAAGGCAGGGGTTGGATATAAGGCAGGTCTTAATTTATTCTGATGCAGCACTGTTCAGTAGAACTTCTGCAGTGGTGGAAATGTGCTATATCTACATTTCCAGTATGGTAACCACTGATCCCATGTAGCTTTTGGTCCCTTGAAATGTCGTGAGACTAAGAAACTGAATTCATTTCATTTTAATTAATCTAAATATAAATTTAAGAAGCCATAGTGGACTAGTGGCTATTACACTGGAAAGCAGTTTTGAAGGGAAGAATTTACAAATATTTTCATTCAGATATTTTGTAAACCATTGAGATAATTTTATATATTAATATTAATTTTATTAATTTATCACACAAGAATTATTATTAATTTAATATTAATATCTATTGATATTAATACTTATTAATATTAATAAATTAAATGCAATACCATGGGGCTGTGAATCTAAGCAGTGCTGTGCATCTTCTGTAAAATTTTCCTTGTGTAGATTAAAAAAAAAAAGAACTTTAAATGCTTTTGGATTTTCTGTACTGTGAAGATGACTGTTCTGAATTCCTACTTTTTATTGTATGCCTAGAATCTGTGCTACCTCCAGAGGGTGCTTATTTAGATATGGGCCTCAGCACATTCTTGTATAGCTGGTCGAAGATTTTTGTCATAGTGTACTCAAAAAATGCTGGTAAAGGCAATTACAAATGTTTATTTTCCACGTGGCAGATTTTAATGATTGCCAGATATGGGGAGTTTGTGACCAGATGTGTGAAGACCGAATTGGCCATCACCAGTGCCACTGTGCAGAAGGGTATGTCTTGGAACATCAACGGCATTGCAAAGCTAATACTTCCTGTAAGTAAATTAAGGACACTTGCCATACCACTGACCAGGAAACTTAAATGATGAATATCCTCCTTCCATGACAGATGACAAAAGAAATATCGGCATTTATGTGGATAGTAGGGTTTTATCATCACAGATTAGGAGTGGACCCTGCTGCCAGAAGAAAGGGTCCACATTAATTTTGTATTTTGATTATTAGGACCAATTTATGGATTAATCATGACCATTTGTCATTTTTTTAAAAAAATATTGTTGCTTGTTCACTTTGTGTCTGAGCTTTTGTGTTAGCTGCCACATTTAATTGTAGAATATATTTCTTTTGCCGATTTTAGATTACTTGGACATTTACATTTTAATTAATTTACCACAAACATGGGTGACAAGTATCTATAGAAATAATTTTGGCATTGTTTATGAAAAATTTAGGATTGATTCAAAATGGACCTCTGAAATTTGGGTTAGAATTTTGAGGAATGCCTTCATTCTGGGTGTTTTGTTGGAAACAGTCTAAATACTGTAGTACCAAAAAGTCATGGAGAAAATCTGTTAAAAACTGATATTCCCCTCCCTACCCCCCTATTTTGTCATCATGCATTTCTGGATAAGATCTTTGTTCCTTTTTTCCAGTTTTTTTTTTTTTTTTTTGTTTTTTTCTTTTTCCCTTTCCCCCCCCACATGATCTTGAAGTTCCTTTTGTGGCCTTCTGAAATTTATCTGAACATAGAATTGATGAGTGGCCCATTTCCAGGTTATTTTTGTGTAGAAATACCTGATTTGCTGTCTACTAACTTTTTGGTACAGCTGATTTTTAACAAGTAAATGTATTTACTTTTGAAAGAATAATAAATTCAAATGTTCAAAAATTCTAAATTACAAAAATGTATTTTCTCCATCTCTGTTCCTCTCTGATCAGTGTCTCTACTTCCCTTCTCCCATGATTAACCATTGTTTATTTTAATTCTAGAGACTGTTACATACATAAATAAGAATGTACAAATACAGGTATCTAAGTCTATTTTTTTGGTTTTGTTTTTGTTTCTTTTTTTCCCCAAGTTTTTCATTTAATTTTCAGTTAGTTAACATACAGCGTAATATTAGTTTCAGGACTCTAATTCTGTTTTTACGGATTATGGGAGTATACTATGCATGCAGTTCTGTATTTTGCTATCAGTGTGTATCAACATAGAGACCTCTTCCTCATTCTTTTTTTTCCTGGTGGCATAAAATTCCATTTTTTTTTTGAGGTACATTATTTATTTAACTAGTCCCCTACTGATGGGCTTTTGTATCATTTTTTTTTTTTATCCTTTGCTATTGCAAATAAGACCTCAATGAAAACCTTGATATTCCTGTGTCATTTTACATGCTTGTGAGTATGTAGGTAAAGCTTATTTGGATCCATCATTGCCATATTTTCACAGAGTGATTTTCCCAGAAATCCATAAAATACGTTCTGTGCTTTATACAGTCTGAAGTTCCTGGGTTAGATGCCCATATCATAGAGGATTTTTGAAAATATCTGATGTATTCCTCTCCGTGTCACTGTAAGTGCATTGGAATAGCAGTCAGAACACTCGAGTTCTTGGTAGACTGTTCCAAACTTAACTGTGATTCTGGACACTTCATCAAGCATCTTTGTGCCTCACTGTGCCTATCTGTAAAATGGGTAGAATGACACCTGTATGCCTACCTCAGAAGTTCATTTTAAAATCAAGTAAGATAACATAGAAGAAGCATTTGAAAAGGCAGGAAGCGTATCCGTTGTAAGTTTGCCTGAAAGGGTGATACGCGTAGGTTTGTTCTCTTGAAGGAGTGATAATGCCTTCCTTCTTCACATTTAGCTGAGCAGGCCTCCGTTATCTTCTCCAATGGTCGGGATTTGCTAGTTGGTGATATTCATGGAAGGACCTTTGCGATGCTGGTGCAGTCTCAAAATCACGGAGTGGCTGTGGGTGTGGATTTTCACTATCATCTACACAGAGTCTTTTGGACTGACACTGTGCAAGATAAGGTAAATAGAAATTTCAGGAGTATAGCTTGGGAGCTGATAGAACCCCAAGAACAAAGTGTTGATAGCTTTTCATTTTTGGGGGAGTGGAAAGGAAAGTTCTTTTGTTTTCTAACAAAAAAGGCCCTTGAGATATTTTATGTTAATCAGCACCTTTTCCATGCTATACTATTACATGTGACCTATTAAACAAAGCAGTCTCTTATATGGATTAGCCTTGAGCAACTTTTAATTTTATTCGAAATGGAGTCCAAAAGCCTAATTAAAAGAAAGAGTAGACATTCTTTCAAAACTGGATAGACATTTGGTAGTAATTTTTGAAACTTGATCATTTAAAATGTAAAAAGTGCTCTGCTTCCTTGGATGATAAAAATCAGATTTTACCTGCATCTTCTAAATGGAACTGTAATTGAAGATTGGGTAACAAATACTGATGGCATTTTGTTTAATAGCCAAAATTTCATTACGCTGTCTTATTTGGAAAGTATGATAGATTTAATTGCAACTTGGAGTGATGCAACAGAGATTTTTAAAACATAAATTTTAGAGAACTGTAAAGGGTTATGACATTTTATTTCTTCCTCTTACATTTCCTTGTACTGTTAATAAAATTTTAATTCAAATAAGTGGTAACTTGCATAGAATTTATAAAAGTTGCAAATTTGGATTATTAACAATTCTGACTTGATTACAGCTAAAAATCAAAACAAACCATCACCACTTCCTCCACAAAAAAATCCATTTTCTTTAATTAAACTTTCAATAGCTACCAAGAATTAGAAATGCAGGATTAAAAAAATCCAACCTTTTATAGTTGCCTTGCATATTAATTTTAAAGAAACTCTTTTGGGGCGCCCGGGTGGCTCAGTGGGTTAAAGCCTCTGCCTTCAGCTCAGGTCATGATCCCAGGGTCCTGGGATCGAGCCCCAAATTGGGATCTCCGCTTGGCTGGGAGCCTGTTTCCCTTCCTCTCTCTCGGCCTGTCTCTCTGCCTACTTGTGATCTCTGTCAAATAAATAAATAAAATCTTTTGGGGCACCTGGGTGGCTCAGTGGATTAAGCTTCTGTCTTTGGCTCAGGTCATGATCCCGGGGTCCTGGGATCGAGCCCTGCATCGGGCTCTCTGCTCAGCAGGGAGCCTGCTTCCTCCCTCTCTCACTGTCTGCCTCTCTGCCTACTTGTAATCTCTGTCAAATAAATAAATAAAATCTTTAAAAAAAAATTAAACTCTTTTTTTCCCCCAGTAGCCCAGGATGTAAAATAGTTTTATTTATTTATTTATTTTGTCTAGATGACTGATTGGTACAACATAAATAGCTATACTGAATGAATATAGGAAAACAATGCCACAGTTAATGTTTAAGAAGTGTAATTTTGGGTTTTCTTTCAGGTTTTTTCAGTTGACATTGATGGCTTAGACATCCAAGAAGTTCTTTCTCTTGATGATCCAGAGAATCTAGCTGTGGACTGGATTAATAATAAACTTTATTTGGTAGAGACCAAGGTCAGCCGCATAGATATGGTCAATTTGGATGGAAGCCATCGGATTGTCCTTATAACTGGAAACTTGGGGCATCCTAGGGGAATTGCTGTGGACCCAACTGTTGGGTAAGTGATGTGAAAACATACTGATTTTAGTATATTTGAAGCTTTATCACTTCCTATGGGTAAAACATCCATTGGATTAATTAAAGGTTGGTTCTGATTTCTTGTAGGGTCTGTACTCTCAAACCCATGTTTATTTTATATCTCCATTCATATAAGCTTTCAATGAGTACATCTATTGGTGTACTAAGCATATATGATTTTTTGGGGTATGGATTTTATTTTTAGTGTTTGCCACATTTGCCTGGCCAGGAGACTGGACTCTGTGTTCTGACTCAACCTAGTAATATTGTTACAACTATATGTTACTTTTGATTCACCATTATCAAGAAGATCATTCTACCATGATTTAGCTGCATTTTTTTTAAAGAGGGGAAAGAAGATGGGAGCTATCCCTTTTAGCACTTACTGTTACAAACTGGGATTGAGAGGACAGTGATAATACCTCATTACAAGTTGCTCAGTGTGGATCACCACATCAGAATTGATAATGCTCATTCATCTCCAGGTGTAAATTCAGATTTTCCTAATGTCCACATTTGAGTGCAGTTATAGGAGACTTAGTTATTTCCTAGATTTTGAAAGTTGGTTCTTAGAGTGTTTGTGTGAACTTCAGGCTACTAAAGGGTTGGTGAATGGTGCTTATTCATTTCTACTTCATGATATCTTGCTGTCTTTCCTTGAAAATAATGGATATGTTCTCTAGACTATGTCTTACAATGGGGAATTAAGGAGGGAAATGATTTGATAGCTTATTTTAAAATTCATTTGTAAATTTTCCTGGATGTAAAAAAGAGAATGAATGGCAGAGCCAGGGGTCAGGGGAGAAAGTTAAGAAGATAGATATGAATTTTGAGGTTGCTATATTAGTGCATTTTAATAGTTGCTATTTGGAGTTGTTGACTCTCCTGATTGGCCCTCGGTAGTTTCTGATTTTTTTTTCTTTGCTGTTCTATACTGCCATGTTCTCTAATCAGCTAGAGGAAATTTCCATTGATCCAAACATGCAACCTAAAAAACAACATTTTCCAGATAAACTTGTAAAACAACTGACTTTCATCATTTGTTTGTCTTTTGTAGTTATTTATTTTTCTCAGATTGGGGGAGCCTTTCTGGGGAACCTAGGTTGGAAAGGGCTTTCATGGATGGCACCAACCGTAAAGACTTGGTAAAAACAAAACTGGGATGGCCTGCTGGGATAACTCTGGATATGGTATCAAAGCGTGTTTACTGGGTTGACTCCCGTTTTGATTACATTGAGACTGTAACCTATGATGGAATTCAAAGGTAAGAAGTACTTTTTAATATTAAGCTTCATAAGTTTGGGGGAAAGTACATAAAATTTATGGAGAGGGACACGGAGGGACCAGAATTAAAATACTGCTTTGTTGATTGACGTTGCATCTTGAATGACTTTTGTGTTGACATTTGTGTTAAGTGACATTTTTTAGGGGGGTTGTTGTTAACTTTTCTCAGGTCCATAATAGCATTCATTAAATATTACCTAGAGCATTTGTTCTTTGATTTCTCCTCCCCAACTTCTCCCCAACTCCCAGATAAAGCACGTTATTTTCATTAACTCCTGAGTCCATTTATTTCTCTGGGTCCCTTATGGTTTATCTCCAAAGATCACTTTATCTTTTAGCTTACTAATTTTCCCCCAGTGAATAAATAAGTTTTATTATTATTATTATTATTATTATTTTTAAAAGATTTTATATGTTTATTTGACAGAGATCACAAATAGGCAGAGAGGCAGGCAGAGAGAGAGGGGGAAGCAGGCTCCCCGCTGAGCAGAGAGCCCAATGTGGGGCTCAATCCCAGGGCCCTGAGCTGAAGGCAGAGGTTTAACCCACTGAGCCACCCAGGTGCCCCAATAAGTTTTATTATTTATTTAACATTAGCTGGTGGGAATTAATCCGTCTTTACTCTGTCTTTATGTATTTAAAATTTCAAAGAGAAATTCTGACTTGTATCTTTACCTGATATACTTCAAAGATACTTAGAATATTTGAACATAAAATATGGTATACTTTTTATTTCATTTTTTTAGTCTGATGAGAGTTAACTGTAAATTAAATTGTTAACTATTTTAGTATCTCTGCTTTTGATATTTTCAAAAGTTGGTTAAAACACAGTTTTTAAGTTTGTCAGAATTACTCTTTGTGGATTTAGAAAATAAGCTGGCCAATTTAATTTTTCCAAATGACTTGAATTTATTGTTTTCTCAAGTAAGGAATATTATAGTTTTGCTTTCTCCTTTATCTCTGTTTTGTAAGGATGGTATCACAGTCTGCCACTGGATTTCATATTCTTAGAACAGTATCTACTTGGTTAAATGAAGTGATTGGGTATTAAGACTATGACTTCTCATCATTCAAACTGGTTCCCATATGAGAATGTGAAAAAATTTAATGAGAAAATATCAACCCAATAAGTCATACAAAAACAATGAGAAATTTCCTAATTTTTTTACTCTTCCACAGATGTTTTGACATTATTTTAGATAGTATAAATGTTTTTATTCTAAGGTTAAAGTAAAACATAGAAACCTAACAGTCAATGGAATTTCAGAAATATTTGAGCACTTTGCTGGCTGTGAAGAAACATCAAAGAGCTATTAAAGCTCATGAGTACAGCTGAAATCATAAAGTCACTGCCTATTGGCATTGCCAGCAGGTGGCATTCAGGGTTCTGGAATTTGCTAACTGAAAAGGAGAAACCATTCTCTAATCTTAATGTACCATGTCATTGTTGAGTGTTTTAAAGTGTGGGCTAACTTTGCACCTTAGGTTTCTCTCCCCACCCCCACCATGTTTTTGGTGTGTTTCCCAGCCTTAGTATCTTCAGTTCTTTTCTTAGAGGCCCGTTGTGCTTTTTAGTTTTCAGAGGTGTTAAGATTTTTCTTTAAGGTCTTTGTTTTTGCAAAGAGGAAAAAAAAAGAGTTTTCCCTCATGAATCGTCCTTTACCTTGCTTTCTTTATGTGGCTAAGTGAATTATTACTGTGTAGAAGTAGTTACGGAGACCATGTTGATTTTTCTTTCCCTTGCTTGGCATCTTTTACTTTTTCTTCCGCCAAAGCAGCATTGGCCACCCTGTACCTCCACTGTAAGTATGATGAGTGGACAGTTTTATCAAGCACAGGGGAGCTGTGGTAGCAGTACTTATCAGTTTCCCAAAGTGACATCAGGAATAGGTCTGCGTGTTTGCTCTGGGTTCAACTCTTCTGCTCACTATCCTGCTTCCTGATGCTAAGAAATGGTTAATGGTACAGTGTGAGATATGTTGAAGGTACCTGCTACCACATTTACATTCCCTTGTTACACTCTTTTACCTATGGATTACAAAATGATATTTCACAGCTTAGCCATTTTTTTCTTTTTTTCTTTCTTTCTTTCTTTTTTTTTTTTTGGCGGGGTGACCTTAATAGAATGAGAAGCATGTAAAAAACAGTCATTTTTCAAAAAATCTGCAACAAACTAGGACTGGGGCTGAATTTTATTTTCAAGGGCTTTTCCCAAGAGACCACATGAAAATCCTTCTATCAGATGTAGGTCGAAATATACCCACATCTTAAAATGTATTTTTCTGTATATCTTGTAACAATAAATTACCTAGCCTTTTAGGCATTTACTTGAATTACTTCCACCTTTAATCAGAATGGAGGAAAACAAAAAGTTTGTGATACACATCTTTTGTAACAGGAAGACAGTAGTCCAAGGAGGCTCACTCATTCCTCATGCCTTCGGAATAAGTTTGTTTGAAGGTCATGTATTCTTTACTGATTGGACAAAGATGGCTGTAATGAAGGCAAACAAGTTCACAGAGACCAGTCCACAAGAGTACCACCAGACTTCTCTGAGGCCCTTTGGAGTGACTGTTTACCATTCCCTCAGGCAGCCCTACGGTATGGTATATCCAGAACAATGGAAACCCTGCTTAGTACTGGCCTTGGTAGAAAGGTTTTCTCAGTGCTGTGGGAGTTAATGATGAGTGATCTAATGAGATCTGGGTGGCATTTTCAAATATATGATGGGTTATCTAGAGAGTTAACCTCTGTGAAATTGGCTGCATAGATCATGGGGCCTTCTGAAAAAAATTGATGTATTTCAGAGTTAAAATGCCAAATCTACAGGAAACTTAGAGATGTAATTTACATATATTTATTGGCACCTGCAATATGCCAGGTCCTGTCTACCTGCTGGGGATGGACAGCAAACAAACCGAACCAAAATATATTCTACCTTCATTTTACTGGGAGAAATCTTGTATTCAATCTGTTAATATTTAAGTTAAGGAAACTGAGGCCTAGAGGAGAAAACTAACATGCCTGAGTATTTAAGGTAGTGTCAGAGCCAATTTCTTCCTCATCTTCTCTGTTGAATATGTATGACACCTGTTACTTCACCTGCCTTGGGACTGTCATAGCCATCGGTGTTTGACGTCTCATAGGCTGGTGACTTATCAAAGTAAAGAAATATTTTGATTTAGACACCATTTAGTCTTCTATTATTTTATAGCAAGTCTTGTTTGTGTTTCAAGGTTTTAAGTTGACAGGACTATTGCAACTGTATAGAACTCTTTTCTGTATTTGCTCATGCATCAAAAAAAAAAAAAAGAAATATAAACCGTATGGATAGAAAGTTCAGTATCAGTGAAGAGTAATTAAGGGAAAGGCAGATTTTACTTTAAAACTCCCATATTGAGTGGTGGGGTCTGACTTTAGAATGGAGAAAGACCATAAATTAATTAGGTTGGTATATATTTTTTTTAAACAGAAACCAACCACTGGAACTGATACACTGAACGATATTCATCTCAGTGTAGTCATCCTGCGATAACATTTACTTTAGCTGAAAATATGTACTCCACCTGAAAACATTTTGGTAGTCTCTATTTGGAATAATCAGTTCATGAGCTACTAAATTCCTGTTTGCCCTTGACCAAATATACTACCCAATTTTATCATCCAAATTATTTGTTGTTTCCCCCAATCAGTCCACCTGAGAAGGTAAAGAGACTTGTTTTGTTTTCTTTTATTATTATTATTATTATTATTATTATTATCATTTTTTTTTTTGTAAAGAGACAATTTTAAAGAATAAGTCAAGGGCTAAGAAGACAGTTTTCAAAGCAGAGAAGACCTTGTTGGCTTTGACAGGCTTTGTGTACAATGAGTTTTTGAGTCCCGCTTTGAGAATGCATTTTAGAAGTATAAACTGGGGCTTGTAGGGTTTTGGATTTAGATCTGGATTTGACTTCTGGTTTAGCGCTGAATAATATTGGACAAGTTGTGTTACCTTCTGAAACTTTGGTTTCCTCTTTTATAAAATTGGGATAATAATACTTAGCTCTTAGAGTCATTGATTGTAAGTTGCTTTACTTAAAAAGCACGCATCCAGTCAGTTACAGCTCCTTATTCTATCTCATGAATGTCCAAGTAACACTCAAGCTTTTTGGGGGGAGGCAGTTATTTTTAACCACTGAGGCTAGCAGATGTGATTACCGTGGGGAGAAGAACTCCCAGAGTTACACAGCTGTGGGAATCCTGTGTGTTGCCATGACCAGTTTGAGGGCAGGTGGGAGAGCTTACATGGGGTGTTTATAGCAGCAGCCAGCAGTAGCGTTTGAGTTCAAGCCCATTATTTTGTTTCATGTACCTGGCTCAAAGTGGTTTCACGTGTCTTGGGTAATCATAACATTTCTAATTGAGATTTAACCCTGTGTATTTTTTCCTCTAGTTAGCAATCCATGCAGAGATAACAATGGGGGCTGTGAACACATCTGTGTCCTCAGCCACAGAACAGATAATGATGGTTTGGGTTACCGCTGCAGGTGCACCCTCGGCTTCAGCCTGGATGTGAATAACCGCCACTGCGTTGGTAAGAACTCCCTTCGGGGCTGTCTTTTTGGTAGGCAGCTGAGCGGCATGTGCAGCTTTTGGACTGGGTCGGCTTCCTGTCGTACTCCTTCATGGCGAAACATCACTTGGTAGCTGACAGCGTCTTCCTCTGTGGGCACCACTCCCTTTACACACAGGGTTCGGAGATGTAAATTCCTGTTCTTTGGGCCTTTCCTTTTTTTTTTTTTTTTAATCATTTTTTTAATTTATTTTCAGCATAACAGTATTCGTTATTTTTTGTACCACACTCAGTGCTCCTTGCAATCTGTGCCCTCTCTAATACCCACCACCTGGTTGGGCCTTTCCTTTAATTGCACATTTAGGGTTTCCTTGGGACCCCCTTTCCCCTTTTCTCCTTCCGGAAATCTTTGTCTCCTTTCAAAATTATGCTTTTGAAATTCCATACAATTTAATTTTGAGTTTTCTCTGCTACGTATACCTTTTCCACTTTAGATGTTAGCCTTCCCTTTATTGGGAAGTACTTCCCGTCCCTTCCGTTACCCTCCCCTAGTCGGCTGCTTCTGCCCCTCCTGGGGCGTGGTTGCACCTCCATCCCGCTTGGCTTTATTGCTGTGTCCAAAGTTTGAACTTACTGTTGGGGTGACCCATTTCCTCATCCAGTTTTTCACTTTTCAGCTCAGATTTTCTCTTTATATGCCTCTGTCTCCGGGATTCAGTTATTCCCTCAAGCACTTCTTGTCCTTCTCTTGGGTTTCCTACACATCTGCTTGGGAGTGGGCTGTTGCCATGCCTCTGCTGATGACGAAATGCACACTCCTGCAATATTTGGTTTTCTTTTCTTCCTTTGAAAACTCTCGTTTTTAATGCCTTTGACAAATTCTTGCTCCCCAGATGGTACTGCTTTGGGCTTGGTGATGTAAGTTCTCTAATTCTAACTGAAACTACTTTGTTCACTTTGTGGGTGATCCTAGATTCACGTAAAAAACACTGTCATTCAGAAAGCCATGTGTCTCTAGCTACTATATTGACACCACATTGTCTAATAATTTTACTTTTAAATTCCTACAGTTTTTATCTTTGTCTTGGGTACACCTCCTTCATCTCTCTCTTTTTGGTTTCCTGACATACTCATACTGTCTCCTTCTTTGATTTTAAAGTCACTCCTTTTTTCCTGTTTCATCTGTTTTTCCTTTCTCCTCCCAACTTTCCCTCCTTTACTTATTTCTAAATAACTTAGCTGGTTGCTCTTTCTCGAGTCTTAATACCTTAAAAACTGCAGTAGGATTCGTGGTGTAGATCTCTATAAAAAAGTTAATCCCCAGTCGAGAATTTTGATGAAATTACTATGTAGTTCAGTTAATAATAAAATTCATCACAGGGACCATGTTTTATATAAATAAATCTTAAGGATACTTAATTTCTCAAGAAGAAGCAAGATTATAATCGTCGTATCACCTTCATAGCTGCTTATCTTTTTTTCCCTCTCTCCCCATGATTGCCAACAATGTTTTTGACAGATTTGTTTTTCATGTTGTTTTCAGAATTATAAAATTTGCTTTATGGATATATAAATAATTTCTCTGGAATTGAGGGAGGACAAGAATCAGGCTATGGCCAATTGTGTTGTGTTCTTCTTCCTACAGCTGTTAAGCAGTTCCTGATCTTTTCGTCTGAAGTGGCTGTTCGTGGCATCCCATTCAACCTGTCTACCCAGGAAGATGTCATAGTACCAGTTACAGGAAATCCTTCTTTTTTTGTTGGGATTGATTTTGATGCCCAGGAGAACACTCTCTTCTTTTCAGATACATCAAAAGACATGATTTTTAAACAGAATATCAATGGCACAGGTAAGAATACATTAAAAATTTTTTTTGCATGGTTTGTACATTTTTAAATAATAGTACTAAAAATGTGCTCACTAGAACTTATGTAGCTTGCTAAATACTTTTAGTTCAGAAGAAATCCATTGCTTGACTTTAGTTAAAACAAACACTTCCTTCCTTTAAGAGTGTATTTTTAACAATGAGAAATAATAATAACATCAAAGACGCTGACATTACATAAAAGGAAAGTCAAGTGTATGAAAGTCAGTAATGGGTTAATTGACTAGACTAGGGGCTTGATACTATAATAATAAAAAACCCCATGATTATATGGGAATATAGACTTACTATAAGTTTTAAGTTGATTGGGATTCTGTTAATATCTTTATGATCATCACAGATAATTATGGGAGGTCACACTTTACTGCCAGATACCTTATTGAATGATGGCATAACTCAGTATTTTGATTTTATAACCTACTGGAGAATTCTACCAAACATTGAAAGAAGAGTTTTTTTTTTTTAAAAAGAGTTGATTCTTTTAAAGCTCTTCCAAAATATTTAGGAAAGGGGAATACTTTTCATAGTCATTTTATGAAGCCAGCATTACTTTGATACCAAAACCAGATTGGGATACCATAAGAAAAGGAAACCATAGAACAATACCTCTGATAGATATCGATGTAAGAATTCTCAACAGAATATTGCAAACCGAATTCAAGAACATATTAAAAGGATTATATGCTATGACCAAGTGGGATTTATCCCTGGGATGTAAGGGTGGTACAATATATGCAAATCAATAAATGTAATATGTCACATCAGTAAAATGAAAGAAAATCACATGATCATCTCAATAGATGCAGGAAAAGCATTTGACAAAATAAAACATACTTTCATAATAAAAACTCTTAACAGAGTAGCTATAAAAGAAAAATACCTCAATATAATAAAGGCCATGTACTACATAAACATAGCTAACATTATACTTAATGGAGAGAAATTGACAGCATTTCACCTAGGATGAAGAGCAAGGCAAGGATGCCCTCTGTCACCACTCCTGTTCCATATAGTACTGGAGGTCCTAGCTAGAGCAGTTAAGCAAGACAAAGAAGTAAAAGGCATCCAGATCAGAAAGGGAGAATTAAAAAAGTAGTTATTTGCTGATGATATGATCCTGTATATATAGAAAATCCCAAAGGATCAGTCAAGAACTGTTGAAATTAATGAATAATTTCCATAAAGTGTCAGGACACAGTCAACGTACAGAAATCAGTTGCATTCTTTTACACTAATGATGAAGCCTACAAAAAAGACATAAAGAAAAACATTCCATTCACAGTAGCATCAAAAACAGTAAAATACGTAGAAATAAATTTAACCAATGAAGTGGAAGATCTGTACAATGAAAACCACAAAACTTAGGTGAAAGAAATTAAAGAAGACAGAAATAAATGGAAAAACATCCATGTTCATGGACTGGAAGAATTAATATTGTTAAAAAGGTCCTACCACCCAAAGTCATCTACAGTTCAGTACAATCCCCATCAAATTACCAAAGACATTCCTCATGGAAATAGAAGAAACAGTCCTAAAATTTGTATGGAACCATAAAATAGCCTGAATAGCAAAACCAATCCTGAGGAAATAGAACAAGGTGAGACATATCACACTTCCAGATTTCAAACTATACTATAAAGCCATACATAGCTACTGTAATAAAAACAGTATGATATGGGCACAAAAATAGACACATCATAGAACAGTGGGACAAAATAGCCCAGAAGTAGACCCTAGCATATATAGTCAACTAATATTTGAAAGGAGATTCAAGACTAACCAATGGGAAAAGTTTCTTCAACAAATGGTGCCAGGCAAACTGGAGAAACACAAGTAATATAATGAAATTGGACCCCTATTTCCAAAGGCCCACATAAGTCACAAAAAAATTAACCAAAATAGATCAAAGACTTAAAAGACTGATACCTGATACCATAAAACTCCTAGAAGAAAATGTAGGGAAGAAGTTCATCAGTACTGGTCTTCGCAGAATTTTTTGTGCATGATGTCAAGCACAAACAACAGCAACAACAACGATGAACAAATGAGACTACCTCAAACTCAAAAGCTCCTGCACATTAGAACAACAAAATGAAACGACAACCTACAGGATGGGAGAAGATATTTGCACACTATATATTAGATAAGGGGGTCAGTATCCAAAATACATAAAGAACTCAGTCTAGCTCAATAAAAACAACAGGGGTGCCTGGGTGGCTCAGTGGGTTAAACCGCTGCCTTCGGCTCAGGTCATGATCTCAGGGTCCTGGGAACGAGTCCCACGTCGGGCTCTCTGCTCAGCAGGGAGCCTGCTTCCCTCTCTCTCTCTCTCTGCCTGCCTCTCTACTTGTGATCTCTCTCTGTCAAATAAATAAATAAAATCTTAAAAAAAAATAACAACAACAACAACAACAACAACAACAACAAAAATCTAATTAGAAAGTGGACAGAAGAACCAAATAGACATTTTCTCAAATGGGACATCAAAATGACCTACAGATACATGAAAAGATGCTCAGCATCAATAATCATTAGGTAAATGCAAATCAAAACTATAATGAGATACCACCCGAAACCAGTCAGAATGGCTAATGTTGAAAAGACAAGAAATAACAAGTGTTCGTGAAGATGTGGAGAAAAGGGAACTCTGAACTGTTGGTAGGAATGTGAATTGGTGCAGCCACTATGGAAAATAGTATGAAGTTTCCTCAAAAAATTAAAAATAGAAATACCATATGATCCAGTAATTCCACAACTGGTATTTGCCTAAAGAAGATGAAAACATGGGTGCGTGGGTGGCTCAGTTGGTTAAGCCACTGCCTTCGGCTCAGGTCATGATCCCGGAGTCTCAGGATCGAGTCCCGCATCGGGCTTCCAGCTCTTCGGGGAGTCTGTTTCTCCCTCTGACCTTCCCCCCTCTCATGCTCTCTCTCACTCTTTTTCTCTCAAATAAAATCTTTAAAAAAAAAAAAGATGAAGACACTAATTTGAGAAGATACAACTCTATTTGTTGCAGCCTTATTTACAATAGCCAAATTATGGAAAGGGCCCAAGTGTCCATCAATAGATTAATGAAGATGTGATACACACACACACACACACACACACACACACACAGGGATGATACTCAGCCATAAAAAGAATGACGTTGTGTGATTTGCAACAACATGGATAGAGCTAGAGAGTATGCTGTTAGGTGAAATAAGCCAGTCAGAGAAAGACAAATACCATATGATTCATTCATATGTGGTATTTAAGAAGCAGATGAACAAAGGAAAAAAGAAAGAGACAAAGTAAAATATAGACTCTTAACTATAGAGAACCAATTGATGATTACCAGGGAGGGGATGGATGGAGGGATTCATGAAATAAGGGAAGGAGATTAAGAGAGCACTTACCTAGATGAGCACTGAGTAATATACAGAATTGTTGAATCACTATATTGTAAAAGTGAAACAAATACAGCAGTGTATGTTAACTATACTGGAATTTAAAAAAATTTCATCTTCCTCTGTTTCCTTTTTATTTGGGTTCCTTTTTCTTTTTTTGAAGATTTTATTTATTGATTTTAGAGAAAGAGAGAGAGAGAGAGCACAGCAGGGGGAGAGGCAGAGGGAGAGGGAGAAGTAGCCTCGCTGTTGAGCTGGGAGCCTAACATGGGGCTTGATCCCAGGACCTGGAGATCTTGACCTGAGCCAAAGGCAGACACTTTAACCACCTGAGCCACCCAGGCACCCCTCCTTTTTCTTTTTTTTTTAATTTCAACTTTTTTTTTTCCCCCATGATGGAAGCTTTCTTCAGATTTCTGTGATTCTTGTTGAATATCTTATTGTTTAATAAGGGCAAGTCTATAAAAGCTACCAGAAGGTCTGTCTGTATGTATGAGTCTCATCAGCTGGTGAACTTCCTGTGATAAGGCAGCCTTTCTGTTGGGGAGCTTCCAAACATTGATATTAGTGAATGATGTTAATGAATCCTTTTCTAGAGATAGTCATTTGTCATTAGTAGATGTCTCCATTCTCCTTGGTGTGGGGAGTAAGAGGTGGTGAGGGTAGTTTGCGGTCTATGTTCTAGGAGAAGTACAGAGGACAGGGAGCTGAGGACCCTTCAGTTTATGAGTCACACAATCCTCCTGTATTCAGTCCTGTTCCATTCCAGCATTCCCTTGTGCACTGTAGTATCCTTGAGCCCACAGCATCTCTGCATCAGTTCCTCCAGAGAAGATATCTGATCTGGTCAGAGAGGTAGATGGAAGGGAGTGACATAGAAGTTTAGGCTCTGCAAGGGATCTGGTGGTGTAATTGCTCTGGATACCAACTTCTAACTAAGCCCCTCAGTTCCTCACCCCTGCTATTCTCCTAGTATCTCTGAGAGCCAATTTGCTGAGGCTTCTGCATGTGTGTGGCATGTGTGTGTGGGTGTGTGTGGGGGGGTCTTCCCTCTGCTGGCACTGAGTTTGCAGCTTTCTCCTCCAACTTAGTTACTATCCCTCTAATCACTTTGTCTTCTAAACCATGGAAATCTCTTATCAGCTGTCCCTGTATTATCATCTTAAGAGTTTGGAAGGAAGGGGCGCCTGGGTGGCTCAGTGGGTTAAGCCTCTGCCTTCAGCTCAGGTCATGGTCTCAGGGTCCTAGGATTGAGCCCCGCATCAGGCTCTCTGCTCAGTGGGGAGCCTGCTTCCCCCTTTCTCTCTGCCTGCCTCTCTGCCTATTTGTGATCTCTCTCTCTCTCTCTGTCAAATAAATAAAATAAATAAAATCTTAAAAAAAAAAAAGAGTTTGGAAGGAAGAGGAGAAAATGCATGTGGTCAGTCTTCTACTTTGAACCAGAGTGCATCTTCTCTGGGGACCAGAGTTAGTTCCTCTGAGCTTGGAGGATTGCAGGCAATCTTAGTTCTCACCAAAAGGCAGTGTGGGGTCTCCCAGCCCCATGTAAGCTCAGTCTCCTACCGGTGTCTCACAGCTCAGCTCCCTTCTGCTTTGTCAAACTGGAATGCTCATCATGCTTTTTGTCAATTTCTGGTCTACATGTTGAGCAAGTTACCTTTTAAAATATTCTGTAGTCAGTGGTTAAACTTTCTATGCTTTGGTGAGGGAGGTATTGCATTGCTGTTTTCCAGGGAGAGGAATAAGTGTTGGTAAAAACGTGTAGAAAATGAGTTGTCAGAAATCAGTTAAAGTCAAGATCAGCTGAATGAAGCTCAGGAACTCAGATATGCTCAAATCTCTCATCCTAAAAATGTAACCCACCTGCCAGTCCCTGTGTCTCTCTAGTTACTGCTCTCTCCAAGGTTGGACTACATGTTCCTGTTCTCACTTCCACATTTGTACTTGCCACTTATTTCTCATGCCATCTCAATCTGGCAACTATGTCACTTAAAACCCTTCTCATCTTGGTCACCTCCAGTCTTGTTTCCTTCTCTTTCTTGTTCATTTTTTCTGGTGCTCTTAACAGGTCTTTCCTTCTTTGCCTGTTTCCTAAACAACTGTGTTCTCTGGTGTTCAGCATTGGTTCTCTTCTTCTTCTTCATCTTTTGCATGACTTTGCACCTTCTGTGTCTTTGATTACTGTTTATGTAATGATTTATCAATCGGTGTGGGGAGACTTATGATAGATTTTCCTCCTAACCTGGGGAATGAAGGAAAGATCAAGAAAGGCTCTTTCAGTTGATGATATAAATCTCTTTCCGAGCTCTCTAAGGTTCAGACGTATAATGCCAACTGCCTTGGATATCTCACCATATATCCCACAATCACCTCAAAACCAAGAGGTCTAAGTGGACATCTGTACCCATTTTCTCACAGAGGTCCTGCCTTAGCATAGAGCATGGCCACTCTCCCTTCCCCTCCTATTCTTCCATTCCTCCCAGGATCTGGTGGTTATCTAGACTTTTCCCTTTCTTTTAGTCTCTGTCATTAACGTGTTAACCTTTGAAACGTGGAGTTCTCAGTCTGTCTCCCTCTCACTTCCAAGCTTTCGCTTTCCTATAGCACCCAATTCAACACTTCCTTTGGGAAACTTTTCCTCACTTCTACATTGCCATACGCTTCATTTGGAGTCTGTGTTTCATATCATTCTGTGCATACGCTCTGTCATAACACCCATTACTCTTTGATTTTTGCCCCCTGGCTCTGTCCCACTTCATTATAAATCCCTTGAAGGCAGTGTTCACACTTCTTTCAGGATGCTTCACTTTTCTAGGACTCAGTTTCCTCATCTGCAAAATAGAGATACTAGTAATACCTTGACTGAACCAATGTAAAGGTGGATGAACCCATGTAAAATTCTTGGACCACTTCCTGGCTCATAATTAGTGTTCAGTGAAAGCTGTTATTATAATACTATTAGCAATATTATGTTTCCTAAGTATCTAGTATGGTGTCTAGCACTTAGAGGACTTTCTTTTTATAATTCACTAAGTAGATGAATGGAAAAAGCACTAAGATTGGTTTTCCTACTTCAAAAAAAGAGTTGTCTTTTACTGTGACTCAGATTTTCTTTAGCAAAAATAGGAAAAAGAGAGGATAAGACAGAAAAGTTTCACAAAGAGGAAAGTGGTCTTTTTTCTCCCAAACCCAGTTCTGGTTTTCTTTTGGTATCTTCACTGGTCTTTTCAAAACGTGGCAACTTAGAGTTTTTGAAAGGCTGTTGATGAGAAGGTTGGGCCATCCCACCTCAGAGATCTCCCTCCCCCAGTCGTACCTGGCTGTGTCAGCTTATCAGAGCTGTCTGTGGGTGGTGTTTATGAATATGTGAACTCAGGTATCTTCTCTTCAGATGTTCTGTAATGAGAATTTTTAAATTTTTTTTCTAGAAGGTTGAACAGGGGAGTAAATGTAGGGCATACCACTTCTGGTTCTGTTTATCAGAATCATTTCTGTTCTTTGAGATCCAAACTTTTGGGAATGGATAGATTCTAGGTTTATCTCATGTTTTTGCTCAGCAGTTTAGTGTTTTTTGTTTTTTTTTTTTAAGGAATTCCATATAGGTTACTGAAATATGCTGTAACTCTGACACAATTTAAATATGCAGTAGCAGGAAAATGTATGTCATAGAATATGCTTAGTTTAAACTGTGTCCATATCTCAATTTACAGGAAGAGAGATTCTCACTGCCAACAGGGTGGAAAGTGTTGAAAGTTTGAGTTTTGACTGGATTTCAAAGAATCTCTATTGGACAGACCCTTCTTACAGGAGTATCAGTGTCATGAGGCTAGCTGATAAATCGAGACGTGCAATCATCCAGAATTTAAATAACCCACGATCAATTGTAGTTCATCCTATCGCTGGGTAAGTGTGTTCATGTTCCCTGAAGAGCTTGAAACGGTATGTCTTTTAAAGTTATGGAAAAGTGGTGCCACAGTTTTTTGGCAAGTTCAGCAAATGTAGGATAGAACTATATAAATTGAAATCACCTTAAATTTTATCCCTTTAGCATAAGCTTACGTAATCACTTTATCTCTTTGAAAACACTTTCTCCTTAGTTTCAGCTTTCCCAGTCTTCACTAAAATTTGGGTTTTTTTTCCACAATTGAAGAGGACCAACAATGTGATACAGATTCAGTAGAGAAGGATTGAATGTGCAGTGGAATTATCAGGAAAGGCTCAAATTCTTCCCCTGCTTTAATGTATTGATATAAAGCATAGCAAAACTTGCTTAATCATTCAGTAGTTTTCAGACTAAAAAGTCTTTCAGACTACACACTGAGTTTCATGTTTAACCATTCCATAACTGGCGGTGTCAGACAAAAACAGTTTATACTATTCTTCTTAGGTTCTTATCTTTCTAATTTAAATATGGTTAATAGCTAATATGTTTGTTTCCAACAAGTCTGAGCTGGGTAGTTGTAGTTGAGTGGAATTTAAAAAAAAAAGAAAGAAAGAAAATGAGTAGGAATTCACGAAAGCCTGACTCATGGAGGGCACATAGTGAGCACTTTACATAATCTTGTCTAATTCAAAAGCTGGTTTGTGAGCCAGGTAGATGACTGCCTATTAAGCCATAGTTAGGATTCAGATTCCAGGCCTACTTTGACTACAAAACCTTTGTGTCTAAAAACTCTGTATGCTGCCTCTAGAATGTTTATTTTGTATTTAAATTTTCTCCCTGTGAAATAATGTAAGAAACATTTAAAAACTGGTGATACTATTAATAAGAAATTGTATTGCCGTGTAGAGAGTTGATTTTCTAATGAATTTATCTTAAACCAAATCTTTGGCATTTGGTTTTGAAAAGCTGTTAAATTCCTTTCCTACTGACTCTTCATTTAAAAGAATATGAAGTCACATTTCAGAAAGTTACTTTTGGAAAAGATTAATTTTAGTTTCTAAGGCTCACATGAAAGAGAAATTTCTTTTTCCCCTAGATTTTTCTTTATGTCACTCCTCAGAATAACACAAACATGCCTTGGGTAGAGATAGTATGAAAGTTATGTTGGTTTGTGTGTACTCTTCATCAGAGATGAAATCCTTTCCTGCTGCAGATTTATCAGTTCCTTGTGGAAGATGACTAAAGAGCTATCTAGTGTGTCGTAGGTGTTTAACCCAGAGAGGAAAGAGAGATTAAAGTCTTTTTTCTTGCCCATAGTATATCATTTCATTTGAACAACTTTGGAGTATTTAAAGTACAACCGGGGGATGCCTGGCTAGCTCAGTTGGTGGAGCATGTGATTTAGTCTTGGGGTTGTAGGTTCGAGCCCCATGTTGGGTATAGGGATTATTTAAAAAATAGAATCAGGGGCGCCTGGGTGGCTCAGTGGGTTAAAGCCTCTGCCTTCAGCTCAGGTCATGATCCCAGGGTCCTGGGATTGAGCCCCGCATCGGGCTCTCTGCTCAGCAGGGAGCCTGCTTCCCCTCCTCTCTCTCTGCCTGCCTCTTTGTCTACTTGTGAGCTCTCTCTCTGTCAAATAAATAAATAAAATCTTTAAAAAAAATAAAAAATAGAATCATAAAATGTAACCTGAATTATGTCTTTTTTTAAAAGAATCTACTTGATGACAATAGTTTTAGGTCCTAGGTTTAGCACAGTGGTTCTCTCCTCTGGATGCCCATTTTAATGCCATTTGTATTTGTGACTTTGGTTATATGTTGATAGCCAAACTTTTGATTAAGAGACCCAAAAAACAAGAGTTAGATCAGTTGTATACTCAGTCTGCTTAATAGGCAGATTTTATTTTTTCTGTATAAGCCCAGTAGCATATACAGAAAATGAAATTAGTTGTAGCAAGTCTCTGGAAAATCTGAGTTTGTGCTAAATCTCTCCAAGTCATGTAGTTTGTCCCAGTATTAACATGTTTGATTTACTACCTCTTTTTTTAGGTACATATTTTTCACTGACTGGTTCCGTCCTGCTAAAATTATGAGAGCGTGGAGCGATGGATCTAACATTTTGCCGATAGTAAACACTACTCTTGGATGGCCCAATGGGTTGGCCATTGATTGGGGGTAAGTAGGAATCATCCCAAATTACTGAGTTCCCACTTACTGTGACATAATTATGAAGCAATATAATGGAGTAAGGAAACTGGTACTACTTGCGCTTAGATATTTTCACATCGTTGATTGGCACTGGGAGAAGGCTATAGAATGATACAAGGGTGCAAAGAACGTAAACATAATTGGCCAACTTCTCCTGGGATGAAAACTAATGCACTGCATGAATATTCTGAGAGAATTGATAGAGGAGGCAGAATAATAGGACCTTTGAGAGGTCAGTACAGAGGAGACAAGACCCAAATCCCATTAGAAATAGGATAGAGATTAGATGAAGTTCAAGTCGTGTAATTTTCATAGAGGGCATCTTGAGGATAGGAAATCTTTTGTGTCAATTTTTTTTTCTCTTTTTTTTTCTTTTTTCTTCTTTTTTTTTCTTTTGTGTCAATTAATCAACAAATGCATATTTGCATATGTATGTACTCTGGGAGAATTAAGTACAAGATAGAATTCTCAGGATATTAATGATCTAAGAATATAGGAAAAGGTATCAGGGTAAAAAAGCTGACAGACATGAAATGCCAAAGTAGTTTATAGGAGAGACAAAAGAAAGAAGTATATTTAGCCTTTTAAACATGGTTTTCTTAACTTGTGGACTTAACCAGGAGAAAAATAAAATACCTAACTTGAAGATAACAACATCTTAAGTTTTCTTTTTCTTTTTCTTTAAAGATTTTATTAATTTATTAGAGAGAGAGAGAGAGAGAGAGTGCATGAGCGGGAGGGAGGAGCTGAGGGAAAGGGAGAAGCCGACTCCACACTGAGCAGGGAGACCCATCTGGGGCTCGATCCCAGAACCCTGGGATCATGACCTGAGCCAAAGGCATATGCTTAATGAACTGAGCCACTCAGGCACCCCCATTTTAAGTTTTCTAAGATAATTAAAAAGCACTTTGTGAAAGTACTGTGTCTGGGGGGGGGCATACAACTATTACATTTTTAATGAGTATAATTTAGTTTTTAAAAACTTTGCTTAATAAATGTTTCAACTGAACATACCATTTATGAATGCCCTCAGTGTAGAGGGTGCAGTACTAGTTTTTGGATGACAGATAACTAAGTATTTTATCATTTTAGTGCTTTACGGTTGTACTGGGTAGATGCCTTTTTTGATAAAATTGAGCACAGCACCTTTGATGGTTTAGACAGAAGAAACCTGGGCCATATACAGCAGATGACTCATCCATTTGGACTTACTGTCTTTGAAGGTATGCTTTGAAGCAATGAAAGTGTGTGTTGTTTTTATACTCTGCAAATTGTTGACAGTGGACTTGTCCTCATTTGACAGTCTCACACTTCCAGAAAAGTTGGTTACTTTAGAATATGAAAAATGAAAATGGTGCTATTATGTATAGAAAAAACATTTGTTTTTTTGTCTAAACATTTCACTGTTGAGGTGTATTTTTCTTATAGATGCTTTTAGATAATAATTAATAACTTACATAGGTATAGCATTTTGTAGGTTGCATGTATTATAAAGTTTAACTCCCTGAGTACTCTATTACATAAATACCCCACAGGGAAATAGTAAACTACTGCTTTTGTCATTTTCAGGAATAAAACAAGAGCGTTTGTGGTAACCTGTAATGTTTTGTTGTTTTCTATATGAATGTCCTCAGAATCGCTGTGGAAAAACCATTACACATATTTACCAACTGCATAGTCACTGAATGACTCTGAAGATTTTTAGATACATGTTGAGTAACTGACATCATTGTTACATAGAAATGTTAGAACATGGCTTGTGAAAAATAGCAAGATGTACTTGTTTTTTCATCAACCTTTCTAACAATTGACTGCTGCTAGTAAAGATTGTTGGGGGCATGGAATTCTGGGAAGCTACAGCCATCAGGATCACACTGATGTATCCTTCCCTCTTGAGTGAAGGCATGGTATTGTGGGTTGAGTTGCTGGGAATAAGAACGTGGCTTGGCACTTGTTAAACAGGTGGTTTGTAGAGTCTTGAAAATAAGGTTTCTATGAATGATTGAATAGCTTGTGCATTGCACAAAAGTGCCAGGTCAAGAGGGTGAGGAGACACTAAAATCTACCATGGTTCTGTTTGACAAACCAGAATTAGTCCAGTTAGAGAAATGCCATTTTGGGATCCAGAGGCCTTAACCCATGGGCTAGTTGTGTCCCTGGTTGAAACTTCCTACTCTGAAAAATCAGCCAGGTGCTTTAAAAGACTAGACATTGACTGTAAATCAAAGACTTTCTCCCACACATATAGTGTGGAATGATAGCTAGTAAATATATTGCATGTTCCATCCTGCTGTCCGTTTATCTGTGGAGGAGGGCATGGTATTTAAAAATATTTTAAAAATGCTCTTGAAAGAGTAAGATTTTTGATGAGATGAGTCAGTTATAAATACTCATCCTTCCTCTTTATGCCTTCCCATTTATTCACTCCCTTTTCATTAATGATGTCAGACAGCCATTTGCTGTTACACTGGAACATTATAAGAATGTTAAATTTTCTCTGCTCTTGATAAAATGCTTTGGGATTGAATAAAAATGCAGTTTCAATACCTTTTGGTTTTATCATTATGAAAAAAAAATTGGTGTATACTCATGAAAACAACACAGTGTTTCCCAAATAATAATAATAGTAATAATAATAATAATAATAATAATGTTTCTCCCAACACTGCCCTCATTGTGAATTTTTTGTGGAAAATTCTTTGATTGCATAACATCACAGAAATCATCATTCTTTTGAATGAAAGACTAGATCTGCTTGACTGTGCACCACACAGGAGTAAAAGGTTTATTGAACTTCTTATCTATTTAAGTATAGTAAGATACCTTCTTGAGTGGTGGGACTCAGTCTAGATAAGATTTAGTAAGTCAGTGACTGATTAGTCATTGATTAGGCCACAGATAAGGAAAACTGGTCTAATGATAAAATTTGTGGCTTTTTAGGCATTTTTTGGTTAGCTGGGAATTTTAGTAAAAGTATCGTTAAAGAAAAATTCACTGATTCTTTAAAAAATGTATACGTTTACTTCCCTGCTTTGGTAGTTAGTATAAAGTGAATATGACTAAATTTTAGAAGTTTAGAATCTTATGATGCCTCTTTCTTACCATTTTGAACTTCATGGAATATGACTATAGCCGTAGGGGTAGGCACACTGCTGTGGATTATTTTACTGATCTCCAGAGCTACAGCAAAAGTTCCTTTTTGTACCAGATCTGTATTTTTCCCTTTCAACAGCTTCCTAGTAAAGTTGAGTGTAAAAAAAAAAAAAAAATTAGTGTCCTCAGTGAAGACATGGGATATATAGAATGGTTGATCTGAAAGGGAGGTTAGAGATTTAGTCTATTTCCTTAATTTTACCAAAAACAAAACAAAGCTAAACAAAAAAACTCTCACACAGTTAAGTATTTTGCTTGTAAACACTCAGAAGTCTAGTGCTTTAGCTAGAAAAAGAACTCAGTCATATGAGGCACATTCAATACTCTATTGAATAATCCAAAATTTTATTTTTACTTACGGAAATCTAAACCTAACAGCTATTAAATGCTGTCCACGTACTCCATGCACGCCTGCCTGAACTGGAAACCTGGTATCATTAAATATACCATCTTTGCCTTGTAAAGAGTCATTCCTAGAGAGTAACAAGTCACGGAAAATGATCACAGAAACCCATTACAGATATTCATTGGAAAATCTTCTTGCATTTGCAAGAAGTGTTGCAAGCCTGTTGTATTTCCCAAAAGGATTTATAAGTGAGCTGTGATGAGAATACTAACCACTGGTGTTTCTTCTTAGACTATGTGTTTTTTACTGACTGGAGACTGGGTGCTATTGTTCGTGTCAGGAAAACGGATGGTGGAGACATAAGGGTTATCCGAAGTGGCATCGCTAATATAATGCATGTGAAATCATACAATGCCAACACTCAGACTGGTGAGATTGCCACGTTTTTTCACCTGTTTGTATTTATTTAACATGGTGGCTGCCTTTCTCTTTTAGTACTTGCGATGTAGGATAGCTCCTGATTGTTACACATTCCTGTCACCCAGATAGTTAAAGAATGTAAGACTCACAATTTCTGTTCAGCTCTGTTAACCCTAGAAGTATTGTTGGGAAAACATATTTTAAGGACTTTTCTGTGTTTGTACTGAATGTTATATTTGGCATGTTGATTTCCAGAAAGAAGCTACTTCATAGTGTTGAGTCGGAACATTGTTCTTTTCCTGTTTTTTTTCTTTCATAGACTACACCTATGATCCACTCAGTGGAAATGTACATAACTCACTATCCACCCCCGGCATTGCTTTTTCAGGTTCTAACTACTGTAATCGACCCACACATCCAAATGGCGACTGCAGCCACTTCTGCTTCCCGGTGCCAAATTTCCAGCGGGTATGTGGTTGCCCGTATGGAATGAGTTTGACTTCTAATCACTTGACATGCCAGGAAGACCCATCCCGTGAACCACCCATGGAGCAGTGTGGCTCCTTTTCCTTTCCCTGTAGCAACGGCAGATGTGTGCCCAGTCACTACCGCTGTGATGGAGTAGATGACTGTCATGATAACAGTGATGAGCACCAATGCGGCAAATTCAGTAAGTAATTTATACCCAGGAGATACTTTCTGTGATGAGCAGAATACAGAGAGGTGCCCCCCTCCTTTATTTAAAGGTTGGGTTATCTCTGACGGAAAAAAATCTTTCAGAATTTCACATTTTTAGTATGTAGCCCAAGGCCTTAGGAATCTAGGTAATAAATATCATTAATAGATAAAGTTACCAATGATTTCTGCCATTGATTTGGACTATATTGACTAACAGTTTTTTTTCCCCTGACTTTGCCTGCTGGATCACCAGTACAGTCATGACATCTTGGCAAGCACCTCAGAAAGTCATATCAAAATAAATAGGTTGGGGCGCCTGGGTGGCTCAGTGGGTTAAAGCATCTGCCTTCGGCTTGGGTCATGATCCCAGCAGAGAGCCTGCTTCCTCTTTTCTCTCTGCCTGCCTCTCTGCCTACTTGTGATCTCTGTCAAATAAATAAATAAAATCTTTAAAAAAATAAAATAGGTTATAATCTTTAGTATCTGAAAGGATAGTATTTCAGAATAGATACTTGGAATCATGGCATTTGAAAATCTGTGTGGTACATTCCCTTTCCTCCACTTTGGAGTAAAATAGGGCTGAAATGGTGGTCTTAACATTTATATTTTTCTTTAGTGGTAATCTAGTCTATAAAGTTTGGGCCTAATGAATGCTATTGCAGAAAACAAAAGCATCCAGTTAAAATGTAAAAAAAAAAAAAAAAAAAAAAAAAGTTAAAAAAGAATTGAAATCTAAGAAATTTCTATCAAGGTAAAGATCAATGGTAATAATAACCCCCTTTGAAAATAAAGGTCAGATTTGAAAATAAAAGTGTGCACTTGCACTTTTCTGAAATTTCTAAAATTTTCTCTCTTTTGTCTGTTATCTTCCTGTTTCTGAAAGTACACATTTTGCCTGAATATTTTATCAGTTTGCATTTCTGGGATGGCACATTTTCAAGGTTTCTGCAGAAACTGTGATTAGAGGAACTAGCTTAGAAGTAAGGGATGGGCCTCAGATCACACCAACTAGAGATTGAATATGGGGCTGGGTCCTAAGTCTCTTAAAGCCTCAGTTTCCTCATCTTTAAAATGCAGATAATTCTGCATACTTCCCAGTATTCATGTGAAGATTAAGAGAGAAAAAAAAATATACAGAGCACTTAAGAGAAATGCCTGGTGTATGATAATTGCTAAAGAAATGTCTGCTAGTGATGATGAGGCTGATGATGAGAGTACTTGCACATTTCTTCCTTTTTTGAATTTTTACTTATTTATTTATTTATTTATTTTGTAAGATTTTATTTATTTATTTGACAGAGAAAGAGATCACAAGTAGGCAGAGAGGCAGGCAGAGAGAGAGGAGGAAGCAGGCTCCCTGCTGAGCAGAGAGCCCGATGTGGGACTCAATCCCAGGACCCTGAGATCATGACCTGAGCCGAAGGCAGAGGCTTAACCCACTGAGCCACCCAGGCGCCATCTTCCTTTTTTTTTTTTTTAAAGATTTATTTATTTGACAGATCACAAGTAGGCAGGGAGGCAGGCAGAGAGAGAGAGGAAGGGAAGCAGGCTCCCTGCAGAGCAGAGAGCCCGATGTGGGGTTCGATCCCAGGACCCTGGGATCATGACCTGAGCTGAAGGTAGAGGCTTTAACCCGCTGAGCCACCCAGGTGCCCCTCATCTTCCTTTTTTTAAATTAAATTCCGTTAGCCAACCTCGTGTTCTCATTTGGTATATTGTTCCCATTGAAAAAGAAGAACTGGGCCTTTACAAGCTTAGAACTCGTCTGACGTAGAAACAAACGTCTTGGTGACCAGTTTATTTTCATTGTAGATAATTCCTGTGCACCTTCTGCCTTCACCTGTCGCCACGGAGAGTGCATTCCCAGACACTGGAAGTGTGACAAGCAGTTCGACTGCGTGGACGGCAGTGATGAGGAGAACTGCCCCTCCCAGGCACCCACTTCCTGTCCCGCATCCTTCTTCACCTGTGATAATCACCTGTGTATCCCAAGGAGCTGGCTCTGTGACACAGATAATGATTGCTCGGATGGATCTGACGAGAAGAACTGCCGTAAGTTTGGCACCGACTTCCCTTGGTGGGTCAGCCTAGCGAACAGATTTCAACAGTCAGTAGGCCTTGCCCACTTTCCTCCAAGGCTCACAACAGTTTTCACGATGTCGATGTCGTTGTCTCGTCTGTTGTATCTGTCAGTTCCCATATCAATTGGCTGTAAGATCAAAGACACCAGAAACTTTTGAGTCCCCCTGAGCGTGGAGTTCTGTGGATGCAAAACAGGGAACTGGGTCTGATGTCTTAACATCCAGACACGAACTGGGAAAGAACTGCTCCACTGACTTTTCAAATATTTAAGGCAAATTTGTTTTTTTCTAAATCATATAAATGATCCAGACATTTGACTACTGGTTTTTCTTTTCATTTCATAGAGGCAAAAAGGGGATAAAATACAGAGGCATGGGAAATTTAAATTTCCATTAGAGCTGTCTGCCTGCTTTTCATCTTGCTAGTTCTGATTTCTTTTAGGTTATTGTTTTTGTGTCTGTAATCTTGGTTTAGGGTGGAGTTCCCTGGACAAACATCTAGTCTTGGTTTCATGACTTGGCAAGTCACTTTCCTCTGTAGCATTTGGACTTTAAGATCTCTTTTAGCTTTCACATTCTGTGAGTCTCTATTTAATATGGCTTCATGAGGATGGGGCAGCCAGCAAGCACGTCTGACTCTAAGGCTATGTCTCTTCCGCATGGTGGGACCCTGGTTTCTAGAATTAATTGTTCTGCTTAGACTTTGGATTAACTGCAGTTGTGACCTGTCTGTATACTGTGGCTGCTAGGCCTGTGGGTCATGCCAACTGTGATGCCTAGTTGGGCTCCATTGCTTAGCATTGCTGTGGAGCCACAGCGTCTGTAATACTCCTGAGGTGTGGTCCAGTCCAAGTTCATGATGCTCACTTTGTAAGTGTAGTCTGTATTCTAACTCCGACCTATAATCTTTTTATTCCTCTTTCTAAAAAACTATCCTGGCTTTGCGTGCTCTTGCTGGGCTGACTTTGGCAGTGTGGCCAATTTGAAAGAATTTTGGACACACGTACAAATGAGATGACTTGTGTATCTCCTTAGCGTTTTGCAGTTCGGCTCTAGTATGCACTGAACAAGAAATAAACTGTTACTTGGTTTTGTTTTTGAATGACATTAGAACTTACAGAGACATGCTTGCCTAGTCAGTTTCGTTGTCCTGATCATCGCTGTATTGACCTATCTTTTGTCTGTGATGGGGACAAGGACTGCGTTGATGGATCTGATGAAGCTGGTTGTGGTAAGTAGATTGCTTTATTTTTATTCATGATGTTTAGAAATAATTTGTGTTTAGTGGCTTTCTCCTTGAGCTGATTTCTAATGCTTTTTTTTTTTTCCTCATTCTTAGTAATTAATTGCACTGCTTCTCAATTCAAATGTGCCAGTGAGGGTCGATGTATTAGTAACATGTATCATTGTGATGGTGTTTTTGACTGTGATGATCACTCTGATGAGATAGACTGTTGTAAGTACCATATATCTATCTGCATGTATCATTTTTCTTAAAAGATTTTATTTATTTTAGAGGGCAGGGGAGAGAGGGAGGGTGCTAGCAGGGGGAGGGGCAGAGGGAGAAGAAGAGAAAGATTCTCAGGTAGATTCCATGCTGAGGGCAGAGCCCAGTGTGGGGGCTGGGTCTCAGGACCCTGAGATCTTGACCTCAGCTGAAATCAAGAGTCAAACGCTTAACCAGCTGCACCACCGAGGTGCCCCTGCATGTTTCAATTTTATTGGCATTGATATTACTGCAGGTTTTCCCTAATTTGGATAAACTTTGGAGGGAAGACAGACTGAATTACAAACTATTATCAAAGGAATATGGTATTGAACACACAGTAAAGTTACTAGGTATTTCCAAATAATGACTTACAATTTGTGAATCCAGTGGTTGTATAAATGGGCACGTTCTGATAGTTCTTAAGTAAGTTAAATATTTCTTAGATATTTTTGTTCTTACTATTAATTTTTCCTAGGATATCCTAAATTAGTGGGTTTTAAGTTTTTGGGGCTTCCTATACATAAAGATGTCTTAATGGTTTCTTTTAAATCTCAGTAAAGAGATCAAATCATGGTATAGATATGGTATAAAGTGGTATTTGATATTGACTCGAATGAATTCATTTCAGCTAGTATTTGTTGAATATCTGCTGAGATGTTCCTTAGAGTAGGGTAAGAGAAATTATGTAACATAAGAGATAACTGAAGCAAATTATACAGTTACAAGGGCCTTAGAAATGGTACAGGTAAAATTCAGTTGAGGTCCATAGAAAAGAAATTCCTTCCGGTCCTATGATTGGAGGACTTCATGGAATATAAATCTGATGGATCTATATAATCTCCATGGTCCGGAGACCTATAGTGGACAGGATCTCTTATTGCTCACTTTTTGTGTTTAATAGATTTTATACTGTAAATAAATGATTGTTTGTTAGAATAATGGTGTTTTGGATCATAAAAAGTAGGTTTTTATTAATTTCTTTCTTCCCAGTCAGGAAAAAAAGTGTTTAAATCTATGAATAAAAAGAAAAGTTAAGGGGGGCCTGGGTGGCTCAGTGGGGTTAAAGCCTCTGCCTTCAGCTCAGGTAATGATCTCAGAGTCCTGGGATTGAGCCCCACATCAGGCTCTCTGCTCAACAGGGAACCTGCTTCCCTACCCTCTCTCTCTGCCTGCCTCTCTGCCAACTTGTGATCTCTGTCAAATAAATTTTAAAAAGAAAAAAGAAAAGTTAAATAAAATGCGTAATACTTTATAGATGTGTACAGCACCCAGAAATTCTTAATCACTGATTTCCTGTTTCATGTTGAAAACATGAAATTCTTCTGTGATGGTTTGTGATTAAACTGTCAATTGCCATTGACTTGCTGTTGCCTGACAAGGCCCTTGGGAGGAAGCTTGGGTTTACCCCTGTGAGATAGGGAAGCAACTCTTATCCCTCCAGGATTGCTGAATGAATAGTGGAAAGTTTACAAAGAAGTAAGGATTTACTGTCACCTTTTGTTTACTTGATGTGTGCTGGTTTCATTTGGTATAGGTTGCTTGAGGGTAAATTAATAACATCGAAATATATGATATTAAACAAGAATTCAGAGTAACAAATTAATGGCTGTTTAAGCTCTGTTGAAATGCACTGGTGATTATTTAATAAAGAGGCAGACAAATTTTATTTAACCTGTAATTGAATGAACATTAAAAACATAGGAAACAGAATTTAATTTTGACTCAGGAACTTGTCAGACATATAAAGATTTCTCTTTACCACAGTGTTTGAAAACCCTATATCATTTTAGACTTTACTGTTAAATTTATCATAGTCATTATCATAAACCTACCATTGATCCAAAATCATTTCTTCTGAATCTAGGAATTACATAAAAAGGATTATGAATTAATTGCATTCACAAGCCCGTCTCCCCCATGCATTTCTCTTAGCAACTAGGCCTCCTGGGATGTGCCACCCAGATGAATTTCAGTGCCAAGCAGATGGTGTCTGCATCCCGAAGAGCTGGGAGTGTGATGGGCACCAAGACTGCATCTCTGGATCTGATGAGCACCATGGCTGTGCCCCCAGGACCTGCCCTCCTTCTCACTTCCTGTGTGACAATGGAAACTGCATCCACAGAGATTGGCTTTGTGATGGGGACAATGACTGCAGGGATATGAGTGATGAGAAGGACTGCCCCACTCAAGCCTTTCAGTGTCCCAGTTGGCAATGGCTTTGCCCTGGCCATAGCGTCTGTGTGAATCTGAGTGCAGTGTGTGATGGCATCTTTGACTGCCCCAATGGGACAGATGAATCCCCACTTTGCAGTAAGTTTCCTGACCACAGTTTAATGGCCATAAATTCATTCTGAGCGCACAGTGGCCTGTTGGCCATCACCGTTGTCTCAGTCACCACATAGCTTTAAGGAAGGGATTTCGGTTCCTCTAGGAGTTCAAATCTGTGTAGGATAAGCATCATGGAATTCAAATAAATCACCACTGGCTGCTATTTCTCATTAAATCCTTTGCACTTGGTTCTGTGTTTTTACTTAATTTTTAGAAAAATGAGACTAAATGAGGCCATTAGATTGTCAAATTAAAAAAAAATTTTTTTGGACTGTGGTCCTAAGGTTTTCTAACTTTAATATTTTCTAATTTCAATCAGAACTTGCCACAAAACAAATGAAGTTCGGGGATTTGTGTTTGCTGTGATTAAAATCCTGTGATTGGCATGTGATCCTAATTGCTGTCCTTTCTTTCTTTCCTTTTTAATCAATGCTCACTCTCAGATGAACCCTGGCCAGGTATGATTGCAAAATATTTTAGATTCCTATGATTTTAAATGGGTTATGTTTGTGCTGAAGATATTCTAATCATTTTGACTGACTTCCCCCTCTAGAGCGTGTTTCATATCAGGACTCTGAAAAATAAGTTAGAGTATACACATGACAATGGAGGGCATTTGCATCCTAGGCATAAGACTGGCTTTGTTTGGGTGGTGTCAGGCATTGCTGTTTTGGCCTGGAAAGGAAGCAATGGTGGCTTGCTGGTGGATCTGTGCCCTCTAGTGTTCCAACTGCCTTTCCCTTTTCCATTTATTCACTTTCATAGAGCTTTGAGCCCTTGCTCTTGAATGTCAAAGTCTTACCTTCCATTTCTCTGTAGGTAGAAGAATGTCAGGAAGCAAGTGGGAAGTAATTTAGGTCTCTTTGCATGCTTTATCGATGACAGTTGTGTTTCTTGATGACAGCAAGATTTTCCCAAGTTTCTCTCACTGCACCAAATGGAGTTATAATAGAGGGTATAGTGAAGAAAATGGTTTAAGTCCAGTGATTGTGAAGCACAATAAGTCCTTGAGCAAATTAGAGCAGGTACTGATGAGCCTATGGGACTTATCCAAGTGAGTGCTTCTCTTAGTTCTTACCTGGGTATTATGTTGAAGGTGCCAGCAGGCTGTATGACAAATGTTACAACAGACTAAACCAAAAAAGCAAAGATTCCTGACTTTTCTCCTTTGTGATTCTCTTTATTCTAGACCAGGTTAGCTGCTCAGATTCCAATGGTGGTTGTACTCATCAGTGCGTTCAGGGCCCCTTTGGGGCTCAGTGCCTGTGTCCATCAGGATACCTTCTTGCCAACGATTCTAAGACCTGTGAAGACATAGATGAATGTGATGTCCCAGGCTTTTGTAGCCAGCATTGTTTCAATACGAGAGGTTCTTTCCGGTGCTGGTGTGATGATGAATACACAATAGACACTGACAGAAGGACTTGCAAAATTACAGGTAATGACTGAACTTGAAAGTGAACTAACTCCAGCCAGTATAACGCACACTCAAGAATTTAAGATCAAATGTTGCGTGCAGGCGTTTGACAGTGTTGGAGTCAAATGGACTTGAATCTTGGATGGGTTCTGTAACCTCCTTAAACCTCAGTTTATTATGAGGATTAAATAAGTTAATACTCATAAAGATCTTGGCATATTTTGGAAAATAGAAGTTTAAACATAAGTAGGTGGATGATTTTCTATTATTTAAAATACTATCAATGGTTTTTGTATTTTTTAAAAATGATTCCTATATCACATGAGTCAATTCGACCAATATTAATTCAGTTTCTATGATGTGAAAGTGATTATAGTATGTGTGAAGCTATTGATTTGTCTGCTTCAGAAGTGACCAAATAAAGAAGGGTTAATAAAAATAGATGGTTCCTTTCTTTTTCAAGTAGGAATGTGGATGGTAGACAGTCCAGGTGATAAAGTTAGGGGTAACGGCTGTGTGCCCTGCTAAAACTTGGCGTCATTTATTACCAAAAAAGAAGTGGAGAGGGGATATTGAGAGATAATTAAAAGTCTCTGCTACAGCTCAGTGCCTCAGGCAAAACAAAAATATTTTAAGAATTAATTCCTGTTGTTAGGAAGCCTACATTCCAGGAGGGAAGATAATATTCAAAAGTAAGTACAAAAATAACAAATAATAACCGGAAAAATGCAAGGATAGTTCGTTCCAGATTGATAGTGAGACAAACATTGCAGTATAATGCAAGGAAGAAAGCTATTTTGGAAAAAGCTTATATTAAATACTTGTGAAAAATCAGCTATTAAGATAAACATGAAATGAATAAATTATTTTTATAGGGACTTCTCTTTGTTTTTCCTAGTACTATAGTTTGGAGTTAAATCTTCCTTCTGTTATCAGAAGTATTGCATCAAGTATTTAAGGGGTGTTTTTTTTTAAATTTTTAAATTTTTTATAAACATACAATGTATTATTAGCCCCGGGGTACAGGTCTGTGAATTGCCAGGTTTACACACTTCACAGCACTCACCATAGCACATACCCTCCCCAGTGTTCATAACCCCACCACCCTCTCCCTACCCACCTCCCCCCACCCCAACCCTCAGTTTGTTTTGTGAGATTAAGAGTCTCCTATGGTTTGTCTCCCTCCTGATCCCATCTCGTTTCATTTATTCTTTTCCTACCCCCCAGACCCCCCACGCTGCCTCTCAAATTCCTCATATCAGGGAGATCATTTGATAGTTGTCTTTCTCTGATGACTTATTTCGCTAAGCATAATACCCTAAGTGGTGTTTTAATTGTGGTTTCTCCCACATTCATTGACATTTTTGCATCTTCTTCTTGGACAGGATCTGAAAGCCTGTTGCTGCTTGTGGCAAGTCAGAACCAGATTATTGCTGACAATATCACCTCCCACGTTCACAGTATCTATTCAATTGTCCAGAATGGTTTTCACATTGTAGCTCTTGATTTTGATTCAGTCAGTGGTCGTGTCTTTTGGTCTGACGGAAGTCAGGGTAAAATCTGGAGTGCGTTTCAGAATGGAACAGACAGAAGAGTAGTAAGTACATTTCTGCTGATCGTCAGCCTGACTAGTCCCCCTATCTTGGGTCTGTTACTCTTACTTACCCAGGAGAACAGGTCCTACCTCATCCTGGGTAGCTCTCATATTCCCCTCTGGGCTGCATTGTACCCAAAAGGCCTGGATGTTCATAACTCCCAATACATACGGGTATTTTAGAAAAGAATCTGGCCTCCGAAGGCAGATCTGTGATTCTGAATTCCAGGTCACATGATCCTGAGACTTCACAATTTTTTCCCCCATCGTGGATGAGAGCAAAGGAAAATATGTGGGAGTTAGGGGTTGCTTTTCCTTAGTTTTAGTCTGGTAATGTTTCTCGATCCATCTCCCACAGTTTGTTTCTTAACACTTGATGGTTGCGTTTCCTCAGCCCTGTAGGACTTTATTTTGTAATTGTTGGCATTTAATCAATAAGGAGATTATTTTGGTTTGTGAACATTATAAAGTTTCATAGATTTGCCAGTTTAGCGAATGAATAGAGCTTTTGTTTAAATGCAGAAAGTTTAAGCAGTAGAAGTATCCTAGAGTATTCAATCCTACAAAATGTAGTATATTTTTCTTGGAAAGCCCTACTGTTGATTTGGTGGTTAGCTACCTGGAAGACAAAATTTTCTCATCGTCTTAAGCAATCATAGGAGTTCAGTTGTCTTATTGTAGATTTTCATATAATTTCAATGTTTTTATTTATTAATTATCTTTAGAATTCACTTTGTATTCATTTTTGTCTTTAGATACTTAACAGTGGTGTCACTATGGCTGAAAGTATTGTGGTAGATTGGGTAGGTCGCAATCTTTACTGGACAGACTTTGCTCTGGAAACAATTGAAGTATCTAAACTGGATGGTAGCCACAGGACCGTGCTGATTAGTAAGAATGTATCAAATCCAAGGGGACTAGCATTAGATCCCAGAATTAGGTAAGGCTTTTTTTTTTTTCTTTTTTAATGATATTGCTGTGACGTGATTATGAGGGAAAAACAGTTGTAACCTGATGTGGCTGATATGCATACCTCAACATTTGAAATGAAACCTTGTTTAAATATCTCTGTAGAAATGGTAACCATCCAGGGGTTAATTGGTATCCTTCCTTTATCTGTTTAGTCTTCTTCATAAAATCATAAGAGCGATTGGTTGTTCACTTGAACACGTGGATTCATTAGCTTGGTAATACAATTATTGAACTGATTGTTACTGAATTATATAATTAGGTCTCCAATGAATGCACATAATAGTATCCCATAGATGGGCCAGTTTGTAACTTTGATATCTCATTGTTCTACAACATCAACAACAAAAAGCAAGATTTTCCTGCTTTAGTTCTATGTTATTAGAGTTCCCTTTTAGGTCATGTAGGGAGGAAAGAGTTTTGCCTGCTGGTCAAACAAAGGGAAGGAGAAATTCTCCCATGTGCTTTGAAACCTTGGATGGCTTCCTTCCTTGAATTTACTTCAGATTCTCTAACTTAGATTCTCTTCGGTAGAATCGTGAGTTAGGCAGATGATGCTTGATGGCAATGATGACTTCCTAGGTATTGTAAAGTATTACACACCAGTGAAATTTAAGATTGATTTCTGATGATGAACAAGTGACTCTCTTATCTTAAAAAATGATAGGGTAGATAAACAAGGCTAGATGGATGTTTATAGATCAGCTATTTGTGGATTATACAGAAACATGAATAGACATTGAGACATTTCATTGTCATAATGTTCTGCATGTTTTATGAACATTTTAGAAACACCCAGATGGCTTATGACTGCATTATGATCACAGTTTTACTTGGGGACACTCAGAGGAAATAATACACTCTGTACAGACTTTCTGAACCGGAGATGATTTATTTTAAGCAGCACATAAAGATGATGTTGTCTTACTTAAAGTGGCAGTTATTTTCCAGATTGAAATACATCCTTTCTAGTTGGTAACAAATTTCATTTTGCAGTGACCATTTGATGTTCTGGTCTGACTGGGGCCACCACCCCCGTATCGAGCGAGCAAGCATGGATGGCAGTCTGCGCACTGTTATCGTCCAGGACAAGATTTTCTGGCCCAGTGGCATAACTATTGACTACCCCAACAGACTGCTGTACTTTATGGATTCCTATCTTGATTACATAGACTATTGTGATTATAATGGACAGCATCGGAGGCAGGTGATAGCCAGTGATTTGGTAAGTTGACATAAAGGAAGACTAAACTGAACCATAAGAGTAGCTTAGTCGAAAGCACATACAGTAATAAGAAAACTAAGAAATGAATTATTGTGTCTTAGACATTACCAGGTCAATCCAGGGACTGTCAACAGGAATGAGGGCCAATCCATCTTTTCTTACCAACTGAAAATAAATATTTTTATTCCAGTTCATGGTCAGATTGTGCCATGTCCAGGAAGGATTAATTGTTTGTGTGATTTAGTTGACCTGTAGATGCTGATCTGTTGCTCTTACGGTTTAGATAAGTGTGTTAAGCAAAAATTAATAATTTCATATTTAAATTCCTCAATTAAATCATAACCTGTTACATATTTCATATCTTTCATTGGAGTATAGTTGTTATACAATGTTATATTGGTTTCAGGTGCACAACTTACTGATTAGACAATTCTGTATGTTAATCAATTTTTATTCAGAAAATTCCAGTGAATTCTCTTCACAAGTTAAATGGGAAAATACAGAAAACATGTATTTTACCAAAGAGCTGTTCCTGACTTCTATTTAAAATTGTCATTGTTGGAGTACCTGGGTGGCTTAGACAATTAAGGTCTGACTCTTGATTCACGTCAGGTCATGATCTCAGGGTCCTCAGATCAAGGCCCACGTTGGGATCTGTGCTCAGCATGAGTCTGTTTGGGTTTCTCTCTCCCCTTTCCCTCTGCCCCTTCCCCTGATCATGCTCTTTCTGTCTCTAAAATAAATAAGTCTAAAAAAGTAATAAAAAATAATACAGTTGTCACTGATGATAGTTCTGTGGCTTTAAGAGACCCTGGCAGGGCCTCCCTACCTTCAGACAATAGGCATCTACTATCAGATCTATGTGAATCTGTGACTGGCAGAGATAGCACTGGATAAACAGTGGTGATAATGGGCTGGGGGCTGAGGCTTGGGAGTAGGGGATCCCGATAAGTCATCTTACTTTCTAGACTAAAATGTTGCTTTTGTTCGTAAATTGGATGCCCAGAGTAATTACCAGAGTAAAAAGGAAGACTAAATGACACCCAGGTGAAACAGTTTTGAGTAATACAATGGGGTATATATAGGTCAAGCAGTGAATTTTTTTATGTCTCTTGCACAATGTCTTCCCTATGTCTTTTTAAATAATTAAATGCTAAAGGAAACCATCTTCTTGGACAGATACCCTTTTCCTTTTGTATATTAGTCACCTTGTTTTTTATTTCTGGGTGATGTCTCATTGTTCTCTTTGGCTTCACAGATTCTGCGACATCCCTATGCCCTCACTCTCTTCGAAGATTCTGTGTACTGGACTGACCGCTCAACTTACCAAGTTGTTCAAGCGAATAAGTGGCATGGTGGGAACCAGTCAGTCATAATTCGTAATCTTCAGCAGCCCCTTGGGGTTGTTGCAGTCCATCCTGTGAAACAACCAGAGGGTAAGTGGTAAAGAGACATATGCCTAGGACTAGCTTGGAAAACACGTTTGCAGGGAATGCTGAGTGTACAGTGTTGCAGACCTGTTTGTTTGGGCAATACATTTTCCTTTCCTCTTTACCAACCACCCCAGTCCTAACCTTTCCATTACTTCTATTTACCATGGTAGACAAAAATCTTGTGTGTAACAACAGCAAATTGAAATTGTGTCCTTTTATTCAGCAGTTGGCTTCGGTCTCTGGGACGGTCTCAGAATCCCCATTTCCTTGGCTGACAACTGGAACACAGACCAGATAGTCTCTTAGATCCTTTTCTTGCTACCGCTCTGTGGTTTAGAGCAGCTTATTCTTAGGACTTGTTTATTACGGCACCGGTGTCCTGAAGGTTCCGTGCTGCAGCTTCCCCAAGTCATCCTAGATGTAGGGTGTGCATGGCTGAGTGACTTAAACATTTGCATTGGTAGTGTTCTTTCTGGTGGGAAGAGGGATAAGTTGCTTAATCCTCACTTAATCTTCTCTCTTAAAAAAACAAACAAGAAACCCTCCCTCTAGTACTTTCTCATCATATCTCAGAATCTGGCCCTTTTTCTTCCTTGTCTCTTCTTCCAAGTACTCTTGCCACGCTGGACCTCATTTTGGTCCCGAAGCATACCAGGCTGCTTCCTATTCTGAACTTCTGTACCAGTTCTTTCTACTTCCTGGAACACCCCTCTTCCAGACTTCTGCTTGAGTTGCCCCTTCAGTGTCATTTTGGATTCTCGCAAATACTCCTTGGTGGCCCTTGGCTGCCCTACGTCCAAAATAGCTTACCTCTCTCGTAATTCTTCCGCTCTTCACCTACACATCTTGAAATCACATCATTTATGAGTTTAGTTCTGTCTCCTTTGTTAGAATATCTGCTCTATGTTTACAGTGTTCTCAGTGCTTAGAATGGTGTTTGGAACATAGTGAACATTTTTCGAGTGAATGAATCTAACGCATTATATGTGATAAGGACATAAAAGATCCAGAGAATATCCTGTGAGTTGGGGTTGCACACAGGATCCCTTATTTTTAAAAAACAGAGAGACACAAAGATGTCATCAATAGAAGAATAAAAGATGACTATCTAACCAAAACTTGGACGACAGTGGGTAAATGTCAAGGTCACAAAGGGAACGTGCATGTCAGTTTCATTTAATGTAAAAAGATCTCTTTTAGCTCAGGCAAAGAGACACGTATTATTTGGCATCATGTTTCTATTACTAAGCTCTGGGCTACTCAGTGGCTGTTTGTTCATAGTCTGGTTATAGACAGGATTGATCTGTGACCTTGGGCAAGTCATTCCCCCCTCTTCCCAATTTTGTGTTGAAAGCACAATGCTAGGAAAGAGTATAATTGTTTGGGGGAAAAAAAACCAAACCAACAGGGGTAACTTAATGTACTGTATCTCCACTGGAGGTCTCTGGGGGGACAGTAACAGCATGTCTGTCTGCACATTTTAAAATGTATTCATTTATTTTAATTGAGAGAAATTTGACATATGAGGTTGTATTTTTAGGTTTACAACATGATTTGATATCTGTATATATTATAAAATGATCATGACAAGAAGTTTAGTGAATGTCCCCCATTATATGAAGTTACAAAATTTTTGTGTGTATGATGAGAATTTTTAACATGTACCCTCTTAACTACTTTAAAATAGATAAATCAGCATTGTTAACTGTAGTCATCATACTGTATATTACATCCTAGGACTCAGTGATCTTTGTAACTGGAAGTTTTTACTTTTGACCACCTTCACCTGTGTTTTCCCACCGTCTACTGTATGCAGCTGGCAACTGCCAGTCTGTTGTCTCTATGAATTTGGTTTTTCTTAAATTTCACATACCAGTGAGATCATGTAGTATTTGTCTTTCTCTCTGATTTCACTTCATGCAATGCTTTCAAGGTCCATCCATGTTGTTGCAAACAGCAAGAGTTTCTTCTTGTTTATGGCCGAATGATATTAATAGTGTTTGTGTGTACCACATTTCCTTTATCCATTCATTCTGTGCACTTAATGTGAGAGGTCTTCCATTCGCCAATGTTTTCGTCTTTCCTTTTTCTGTTACAGGTGAAAATTCATGTGCGTTTTCCTCCTGCAGTCATCTGTGCCTACTTTCCTCACAGCGGCCACACCTTTATTCCTGTGCTTGTCCTTCGGGTTGGAGTCTTTCTCATGATTCTGTGACTTGCTTGAAAGGTACAGTATGCCTGAAAGGGGAGCCCACCATAGTCTAACAAGCGGTGTCAGCTCTAAGCCACTTGCTAATAGAACGTGGGCTGTGTTCCCTTTGATGCAGCAAGTGTCTGGAGTACATGCTCTCTGGGGTGATTGATGTGAGCCCCTCAGCTGTAATACGGTTTCTGCATGCGAAGCTCATAATGTACGCATGTGCTTCAGCAATCTTTAACCTCATATTTTGTCTTACCTGGTCACAGTTAGGCAAGCTGGGAAGATATGAAGTTCCAGATTCTGTGCTTAAGAAGTAAATTTTTTTTTAAAAAATTTTATTTATTTATTTGACACAGAGAGATCACAAGGAGGCAGAGAGGCAGGCAGAGAGAGAGGGGGAAGCAGGCTCCCTGCTGAGTAGTGAGCCCACTGTGGGGCTCCATCCCAGGACCCTGAGATCATGACCTGAGCCGAAGGCAGAGGCTTTAACCCACTGTGCCACCCAGGGACCCCGAGAAGTAAAATTTTTTAAAAAAAAAAAAAAGGGGGTGGGGAGGGAAGTAAAAATTCTTGACACTTGTGTATGGCTTTATTTTTCAAGTTCCTTATCTTGTTTTTATTGTTAACAGTAGTCAGGAGTGTTTTCAGTGTGAGTCTTCTGACACCAATTTCAGTAATTAATATCTGGTATTTTAAAAATGAAAATTTTCTTTGTGTAATTTTTTTTGTGTAAGCGACTCTTGGAGCAATTTAAATTTGTTCCACTCTAGATATTTTTAGAAATGTATGTGGAGAATTGTACTAAAGTACTTTAGGGAGTAAGAACAAAAGGGAAAGATAGAGTCAATCCACCAAAGGGATTTCTGCTGGAGTATGTACTAAATATATAATAAAGACTTTTAAAAAATCATTCACCTTTTGCTTAAAAATCTAGAGAGTTATTCTAAGTTCCAGTTCTTTTCATTTCTCAGAGGAGCGAATGTGTTTTGGTACTGACAGAAATGGTTGCAGTAAAGTTAAATATAATGATAAAAAATTCTTAAACTGTGAGAAAGTAGAATCTTAGTCTAGAGGGAAGTTAGTTTTCAAGTGGAAAATTCATGCTGAGTCCAGGAAATTAATGGTGTTTACAGATTTTTCAGATGTAGGCTTACTGAAAATTGAATTCCATCAGGATATAATATTTTGCAATGATACTTTCATGATGAAAGATTTTAATTATTGGTAATGCTTACAAAGGGATTGGCATTTGCTGTTTTTCTCCAGAGACTTATTATGCACCTAATCCTTGTTGACATTGTTCAATTTAGTGTGTCCTCTGAGTCTTTCAGCAGAAGATTAAACTAGGCTATAGACATTTTGGATACAAAGCATTCTTTCACCCCACAAAGATTGTTGAACTGTGCATTAGGGATTGGTGTAATCAATATTACTATCTGATGGTGATTGATATTTAAATAGTAGCTTTTGTTGTTTCTTAAATAATTTCACTAGTTGTTTTCCATGGGCTGACTTTAGTGAGGTGGAATTTTTTGGGGTATTTCTCAGGTGATTTCTGAGCACCAGTTGGGTAACTTAATGCCAATATATGTTAACTAAAAAAGAGTTCCACTTTTTTTTTTTTTTCCAATAATAAGCTTAGAAGACTTGTAAACATTTATAGATAAAAACATTTTTCTTGATTTACAGGTTAAATAACTTTTAAAATATTGTTTACTAAGTGTCTAGAATATCTTTGGAAGTGCTTATGGGATAAGGTTAAGTGAAAAAGCAGATACTGTTCAGTATTGGCCATAGGGAAAAAAAATATGCATTTGAAAAGGTCTGGAAGGAGCGCATAGGTGGCTCAGTCGGTTGGCGTCAGACTCTTGATTTCGACTCTGACTCTTGATTTCGACTCTGATCGGGATCTCAGGGTTGTGGGATAGGGCCCTACATCGGGTTCCACACTCAGCATGGACTCTGCTTGAGATTCTCTCTCTCTCCCTTTCCCTCTGCTCCACCCCCTCCCCCAGCATGTGCTCTCTCTTCCTCTCTAAATAAAATAAATAAAATCTTTAAAAAAAAATAAAAAGGTCTAGAAGACAACAGACAGGAACATCAATAGTGGTTACAGTTCAGTAAGGGAATTACGATGTATTTCTATTTTTTGCTGATTCTATGTTATAAAATTAAAAACTGAGAAGTTTCTCTGCATGAAACAGCTTTTTATTCTTTAGAAAATATGTTCTCTGCAATGGCAAAAACAAAAAAAATAAAAAGCAAACCAAAACATCTCCCAGCATCCTCTACAATAAACAACCTGAAATCCGAAAGAGGTTTCTGGCTCAGACTGAAGGACACAGGGAAGTTATTTCAGTGATTATGTGCAACGTAAGAGGAAACACTGCCTGCACACACTGTTGGAAAGTTTGCAGGCACTGATCAGTTAGTGCAAGGTCTGAGTTAAGGAGGACCTGGTTAGGGAGAAATAAATGTTGCTTTTCAATTACATCATCAATTTCCTGTGTCTGACTGCTGTCTCTGCTTCTCTGCTCTGCTAATATTAATCATAATGGGATCATGACATAAGAATAAAGATGAAGAAATGATTTTTTATTTCAAAAGACAGACAGGTACACCTGGGTGTCTTAGTCGGTTGAGTGTCTGCCTTTGGCTCAGGTTATGATCCTGGAATTCCAGGATTGAGCCCTGCACCAGGCTCTCCTGCTAAGCAGGGAGCCTGCTTCTCCCTCCCTGCTTCTCCCTCTGTCTCTCCACCTTCTCGTGCTCTCTCTCTCTCAAATAAATAAAGAAAAATCTTAAAAAACAAACAAACCCAAAAGACTGAGACATGCTGTCCTAGGATGGCTTAAATGTCACTTCCTCCTGAAGTCCTTCCCATCCAAGCCCAGTACTTCTATGCTTATTCCTTCATGGCCATTATCGTTGGGAATCATCAGCGTCCATGTACTTTCCCTTGTTTTGTAGACTCTAAGTTCCTTGAGGATTTAGTCTCTACCTGATAGATGCTCATTGCCTGTGGCACACATGAGTAAATGCTGAGTGAATGACAAGCCCTCCAGTAACCTTTGTTGCTCCTTCAGTTCTGTACTTTTAACCCATTTGCTCCTTTATAGCTGTGTAATGTCATAAAATCACTCCCCTTTTTTCTTTCCCACTGAGCACTTTTCACACCCCCCCTGCCCCATGCCACTTGTCTCAGTGGTCAGTCCTGTCTAGCTCTTCCCTGGCGTCACCCTTCACCTCGGCTCTCACGCTTTCTGACAGTACAGCTTTGAATGACACTTTCCCCTCTGGTGCATTGCCCATAAATATTCCCAAGTGGTCAGCCCTCTCAAATCCAGCAGCAGCCATCAGATCAAGGGCCCGAGACACAGCCCTGTGAAGGAGTAGTGGCCAAAGGAGTAGATCTGGGTAGGGCTAGAGAGGAGCTACTTAGAGGAATCAAGAAGGCCCATGTTTGATGGATGAGAAATGCAGTTTTTAGGTGCTCTGGTTGAGAATTCCTCCAGTTAAACAGAAGGAAAATTACACATTTAAAAGAGCAGTATTAAGTTCTGAGTAAGTAAAATTTAAAATTTCCCCTGTGATATTGGGGAATATTTCTTGTTTTTACTGAACAAATGAGCACTTACAATGTATAATGAATAAATAATTAGGTATCTCAATATAATTTCAAAGTACGTTGGAACTCCTAATATAGCTTTCTCAGTATATTATGCAGTTAAATGAAGTGAGTGATAATTTGATACTCAGCCTGCACTTTTTGCAGAGTAGTGATTAAGAACATAAGTTCTGGAGTCTGAAGATCTGGCTGTGTGACTTTGGTTAAATTGCTTAATTTTTTGAGCCTCCTTTGAAAGTTGGGGGGTGGGGAAGTGTTATGACCTAACAAACAGGGTTATGAGGCTTTAGGGAGATAAATTAAGTGAAATAATATTTGGGGCCTAGTATGTGGCACATATTCTCAATAAACAGGGACGATTATTACGGCTTTTGCATTGGTTCAGAAGAGAGGCAATGTGGAGCAGTTGAGAGAGGACAGGCTTATGAGTTAAACGCACGTTAGCCCCTGCAAGTTACCTTGGCCTCGGTTGAAAACAACTTTGCAGGTTTATTGGGAAAGACTAAAGCTGTATATAATAGCTGTAAAATATAATAGTTAGTAGTTGCAATATTACCTTAAATGTTTACTATGTTAATAAATGCTAAGTTATTTTTAGTAATAGAAATGCCAGGAACAAGGAAAAGCTAATGAGGTGTTAAAATAAGTAAAGAGCCAAAATAATCCCTTTGAAGATCTAAAACTTTTCAGATTAGGGGCGCCTGGGTGGCTCAGTGGGTTAAGCCGCTGCCTTCGGCTCAGGTCATGATCTCAGGGTCCTGGGATCAAATCCCGCGTCGGGCTCTCTGCTCAGCAGGGAGCCTGCTTCCCTCTCTCTCTCTCTCTCTCTCTCTGCCTGCCTCTCCATCTACTTGTGATCTCTCTCTCTGTCAAATAAATAAATAAAATCTTTAAAAAAAAAAAATAAAACTTTTCAGATTATTAAAATAATGAAACCATCATTTTTAGCAGGTGAAAATTATGCAGTGATTAATCATTTTAATTTTACTTAATATGTGATATGCTCATGTAGATGTCTTCATACCACAAAACTCAAGTTGCAGTTTTCCTTTTCTGAAATAATCATAAATAAAACCCCACTCTTGAATTTTATCAATTTAGATTTTTTTGCTAAAAGGACTACAGTTGGGATAAAGATTATCTTTGAAAAAAGACCTCTTACTTCCTGTTAAGGAGATAAAGTGAACTGATAGTTTGAATAAGATACTATGAGGATGTTTAAGTTGCAATGTACAGATACTTTTGAGGACTTTAGAAGATAGTTTACATATTCATTTATGCTTCCATCTATTGATTCATTTATGTGTTCATTCATTTGGTTAGCAGATACTTATTTGGCAACTATTACGTGCCAGGTTTAGGGACATAACAGTGAGTAAATCAGACATAGTCACAGCTTTTTTGGGAGTTAGAATCAAGTGCAGAAGACAGCTGTTGGTCAGAGAATATTTGGAGAGATAATACATTGGATTTATTTAGTAAAGTCTCTAATAAACACTAAGCTACACTTGGTAATATTAAAACTAATAACTTGCCATTCAGCAATAATAGTTCATATTTTTTCTTTCACTTTTTTTCAAAATCCTTTTCTTGAGTTATTGGGTATTAGGTTTGTCTGTGTGTTCCCTGTGATGCTTAGTAAAAGCAGTTGCTTTATCCATGTAAGCAAGGGCTTCACGAAGAGTAAGGGAAAATACCGACCTGCCTTGGGGAAGTCCAGGAGCACTATATATAGAATTGGAGGTCTGGTGCCCGGGAAACCTGCTGAAACACCCAATCCAAGGCCTGGGTTGTCTGATGAAATGTGTACCGTGTATGATACTTACTGCTGCAAAGTTGCAAGGGTATTTTATCCTAGGAGATGATAACAGTCCACTGCCTTCCATTACTCTACATGTCTGGGAATAGTGGGATATAATTTTGATCAGTATTCTGCTGTTTTCACAGATGATCGGCCTTTCTTAATAACCGTGAGACACAGTATAATTTTTGGAATCTCCCTTAATCCCGAAGTGAAGAGCAACGATGCTATGGTCCCCATAGCAGGGGTGATGAACGGTTACGATGTGGAATTTGATGACTCAGAGCAGTTCATCTACTGGGTTGAGAATCCAGTAAGTTTTGAATAACATTGAAAGTGTATAACTGGTTCTTGGAAGAGTCTGCCTGCACCGATACCTTCTTACAAGCAAACATTTGTTGGGTGGATAAAAGGGAAATGGTTCAGAAATAAATTAATTTACCACTCAGTTTTTAAAAAAAAATAATTTGATTTAAATTCAGTTAATTAACACATAGTACCACTAAGTTTATTTTGATTCAGTGAATGATGTACATAGGAGGCTGGCCTGGAGCAGTCAGATAATAAGCATATATAAGCTATTGGATATTATTTATTCATCCAGCAAGTATTTATTAAGTGCCTACTCCTTGCTCTGCGCTGAACTAATGACTTGCTGCTGTAGAATACACACCAAGAAGAAGGAGTAACAGGGCTTGCTCTTGGGAAGCTTAACCTAGTAGAAGATATTAGATGATCATAAAAATGATCATAACTCAAGACAAAAAGCAATAGTTCCCTGAGGAAATTCCAGCAAAACATTTGATGCTGGGGTCTTCATCAGCATCTTTGCCTCCAGGATAAGAAGAACATTCCTTCAGTTCCCTTCCTGTGGGAACTCACCCTTTAGAGGAGAAGATCTTTAGATCAAGACCATCAAGATCTTTAGAGGGAAGATCTTTTTGTTTGATGCTTTTCACCTCTATGTAAATAAAAGGGGCTTTTATGGCTATTTTGGCCTCCTGATTTTCACCCATGACTTGGGTTATTTTTATGACATTTTTTTGACTCTGGTCTGTGGTAGTTGAGAAATGAATCTCTGTAGTCAGTCTCAGAGGCAGCCCAAATGATGAGACTTGAACAGTCCTCGGACACACTTAAAAATCACTGTTTTCAAAGTATTGCTGATGTTAGCATTATACATGATGAGCCCACCCAATGGTGCTGAACCTTTGCCTTGTCTCCAAATGTGAGGAGTGTTCAAGAAACATGGCAGCCAGCAGTAGCCACAGTGAAGAAAGTGCCTCAGTGTAGAAACTGTGGCCTTGAAACAGCTCACTTCTCTTCATCTTTCTTTCCAGGGTGAAATTCACAGAGTGAAGACAGATGGCACCAACAGGACAGTATTGGTTTCTCTATCTAGATTGGGGTCTTCCATGAGCCTGGCCTTAGACTGGATATCAAGAAACTTATATTACACCAGTCCTGGAACTCCATCAATTGAGGTAATGATTCCATAATACTGTTTACAGGAACACTGGTTTTTGATGCATCTAAAATCAGTTCACAGGAAATATTTTCCTAGATTTTGAACTTATTTTTCAGCAGGAGGCAAAAGGGAGGAGTTATCAGTATGAACTATCAGTTTTAGAAGTGAAAGAATAAAACCACCTTAGAAATAAATTATTTGGAACTTTCTACTGCCTTATTTTATTTTCCTCCTAAGCATCAATATTAGCTTGTTCATATAAAAGGATTTTAGATGATCTATAAAAATATATAAAAAGAAAAATGAAAAAATTACATAAGGAATTCAGCATTAAGTATGGAAGAATATAGTAGGCTGGAAATTTTCCCTATCTTTCCTCATCAAGTCTGTAACGCTATTTCAGTACAAACCAAATTGATAGGTTACCTCTATTCTAAGATGGAAATCTTTCTATGGCTCCATACAGTTTTTTTAGCAGTGAAACAGAAAGTAGAAACTTGATTCTAATTCCTTTGATACTTTCCTCAATGTGATAAGTATTCTTTTTACTTTAATTCCCAGAAGAAATTTTAGATGGGGTACTGGTATACAGTCACATGAAGTAAATCAGAGGTAACTCAACTAGTATTGGTTTGCTCCATTCTGGGACAAGGTTAAAATATGCAAGGGATTATTAAAGATTTTTATTTATTTATTTGTCAGAGAGAGAGCACAAGCAGGGGGAGCTGCAGAGGGAGAGAGGGAAGCAGGCTCCCCGCTGAGCAGGGAACCCAACACAGGGCTCCATCCCAGCATCTTGGAATCATGACTTGAGCTGAAGGCAGACACTTAACTGACTGAGCTGCCCAGGCTTCCCTGTAAGGGATTATTAGTTCATAATAATTTGAAAGTGAAAATTTCTAAAGCAAGGGGAGGGTCTTGTGAGGGGGGCAGTTAGCGAGGACGTGCGGAGTGACAGTTCACAGCTCAGGGTGAGGCACCAGCTGCTTAGCTGGTTCTCTATGGAGTATTCAGAAAGACAGATGCCAAATGAAGGTGAGGAAAGCTTCTAACAGTCAAGTGGGTAAGTCAGCACAGATTGGACAGGGGAAGTGCTTATTTGACGGTCAGAACCGTGCTTGTGGTTTACAAAGGTCTTCTACAAACAGGATCTCGGTAAATTCTCACAACATTCCTGAGGGCAGGTAAGGGTAGTGCACATTCACAATTAGAGGGACATTTCCAATATGTACAAATGCTAACTAACCTCAAGCTCTTAACATGAGGGGGATCTTGGAGATTCATCTCGTTCAAGCCCTTTGTTGTTTAGATAAAAGCCTGAATTTTACATAATTTGAGAAACTGGCTTCAACAGTTAGCTTCACTGCCCTGATTCCCAGGCGGTGTTTTGACTTTGCCTTGTTACAAAGGACAATTCCAGCAGTCCAGCCTGCTGTAACCCCCTTTGATAGTGACAGAATACATTTTTTCATAACCTCAACTACAAGTATCACTCTCCCATCAAAAGACGGGCACGATTGACTGCCTAAAACCCTTAATTCCAAACTCACATCTTAGCACATCTTCATTCTGAATGACAGTGTGTTCCTACTCTGTCTTTTGTCTCTTGCTTTGTAAATGGGGGTCTTCCCTTTTAAATAGTTTTCCGAAAGTAGGGAGCATGTTTCCTCCATCAGTATTAAGTACAATGAAAAGGCACCAGCTGATGGATACTGTGTGAGTGAGGGAATGAATGTGTGTGTGTGTGCGCGCGTGCGCGTGCACACGCACTCGCAATGCCAGTAAGGCCTAAAGTTTGTAATTGTGCCCGAATGCAGTGAGGCACAGAGGAAAGATAATTTGCTTTGGATTCCAAACACCTGCTTTGAGTCTGGCTTACTGATTTACTGAACACATAGTACTAAACAGATCAGTCCCACTGTTAGTCCTGGATCTTCAAAGATGAATAAAATACTTGTTTCTTCCTTTAAGTGGTTCACACATCTGACAGTTAGACATGCAAACAAATAGCTTTGTTCCAGTGTGTTAAGTATAATATGAGCAGTGACTGTAAAGTGTTCTGTGACTAGGGGAAGAGGTAAACGTGTGGGGCGGGAGAATGGCAGGAGAACCAATTACCTATGAGCTGTGTCCTGAAAGATGACCCATACTTATCTCTGCCAAATGAAGAAGTAAGGAAAAGTCATCCCATGCAGAGAGAAGTACTGGATAAGGACTTTAAGATACAATTTTGTGACTGGGGACAGCACTATATTTCCTCCACTCACAGGCTATTTGACCTTGGACAAGTTACCTTTACTTCTCTGAGCCTCTGCTTCCATACTGTAAAATGGGATTCTGGCTCAGTAACTAAAAGTACTTTTTGACACTAAGATAGCCCGTGAATACAGAGTCCGGTTTCCCTCAAACCACCAGTATGTTCAGAATAGCCATAGAGGAGCTATGAGAACAATGATCCAGAGGTAAATTGCACTTTTAGTGTTTTTTATTGGTTTTCTCCTTTGGTGTTGTCAGTAGTGACTCTCTCAGGGGAATGTTGGATGGAGTAAGGATGCAGAGATAGTGTTCACTTACTGTTTACATGAACACAATAACTTCCGGGATAAGAATAACTCATATTTAGTTCAAATTTGAAAATAAGAGAAATACTGAATAAATTGTTTTCCACTAGGGGTAGCTGTGTGCCCATTCACTAAACGCAATTATGTCGCTGGAGAGTGAGGCATACAGCATGGTTATATGAGAGAACTTGATACATGCCAAAAAAAAGGAAAAAGAGCTTTCCTTTGAATTTAAAGAGATCCTTAAGCCCAGGAAAAGTAGAGAAATTTTGACAGAAAGAGGCAAATTAAAAAGAAAGATACTACAAAGGAGAGAGAAAAATTTAGAAGAGTGAGGGATTAAAGAGAGGTGTGTATGGGGGTGGGAGAGAGAGTGAGGAAGAGGAGGAGGGAGGAAAAAATACATATAGAGACAGAAAGAGGGCAGAGATAGAAATGTAAACACTGGTACACAAATAATCTATTTGCATTAAAAAGCAGCTTTATAGAAAAACCTTCATGCCAGTCAGCAATCACATACATCTTCTAATCTCTTACTAGCTGCTTCTCCTCTCAGACAGTCTTAAGTGCATATTAGAATAGCCTCATTCCTATAAGAAAGTGTTTCTAGTATAGTAACCCATATTTTTCTGTGATGTTTCAGGATTCTGCTAACATTAGTTTTCACAATTACAGTGATAATAATTAAAAATAGATAACACTGAGAAAGCCACTTAAGGTCTCTTTCATCATCTATAATAATATATAATATATATAATATATAATAATTTCATCATATATAATATGGGCATTCATAATATGGTATCTGTCTCACAGAATTATTGTGAGGATTCAATCCAACAATGCTTAGTATAATGCCTGCGACATAATAAGTGTCCAGTAAATGGACCGATTAAAGAAAATAGGAAACACACACTGGGTGCTGTGTTAAAGGCTTTACATGTATTATCTCATAGTTCTGTGCAGAATATCCCATTATTGTCCACATTTTACTAATAAACTAAGTTCAAAGAAGTGAATTTACTTGCCTCAGTCTGGTCTAGATGGTCAGGGATTTGAACTCTTGAATTTTAACTTGACTGTTAACCCATCACAGATTTCACTCGGAGTAAATTTTGACTGGTTGGTCAACTGTATTTTCGATGATGGGCCACTGGGTGCCATGGTCAAGTCACTGGGATTCCGGAGAGCTCTGGGGCTCCCGTGTTTCTTCCAGAGTTTTCTCCTGTGTCCTTTTCTGAAGACATTTTTGTAGTTTCTCTCAGGTGATGAGTCTGCATGTTTACCCATTTGAATCCTTCTTTTATCCATATAAATTTCCTCTACTGAAACTTGAGGTGAATTGAAGTAGGAATTTAAGGGATGATTTTGCTTTTCTTATTTTCTATTGAGCTGATTTCCTCATAGCCCTGAAATACAATTAGGGATTATCTGAATCTCATACAAACCCTCCCATTCATCTCTAATTGGGCTTTGGAATTTGTTGTGTAAGTTCTCCTTCATCTCAGTTTTCTTTGTTTCCCCTTATGAAACTCAGTTCTAAAAAGTGATTTTGTGCTATAGGTTTTGAAACTGCAGGGAGATATCAGATACAGAAAAACACTAATTACCAATGATGGGACAGCTCTTGGAGTTGGTAGTCCAGTTGGCATAACTGTTGATCCTGCTAATGGGTGAGTGTTCATAAATGACACGTATTTTCTATGCAGCACCATTCTTGTTAATATTATGGCCTGATAAAATGGAAGATTTCAAAGTTAGGACCTTTTCTGATTTCATATGCCAACATTTTGAAAAATACAGAGCTTAGTGCGAAAGAGAAATAGCTCTGAGTTAATGTGAAGGATATAATTTGTGTTTTGTTCTATGTTCTTTAAATTAGCAACATTGGATAACTGGATAACATTTGAAGTAGAACTTGAAGAATTGGGAACTTGAAGAATATGGGAACATAGGTAGAGAGTGGGTTGGAACTGGGGAGTGTTTCTTGAGGTCAAGTGAGCAGTGAAGGTGTAGAAACATTTCAAGGTTTAGCATGATCATGTGGAGGGCTGGAACCAGAGGTTTTGAGTTAGGGGTGGTTGACAGGATGGGAGCTAAAGGTATTTGGGGACAAATATCCTAGAAGGACTTTAATGTCATTATGCTAAGAAGGTACATTTTATTCTTTTGAGAAATAAAAAGCCAGCTGGGAATTGGGAGGAAAGGAATTATGATAGAATCAAATACATATTTCAGGAAGATGGGTCAGATCAGAGTGGAAGAAACCAGGGGCAGGGAGACTAGTTAGGAGAAAATGTTCAGCTAGGGAAGAGAGTTCCCAGTTAAGGTTAGGTAGCTTAAATTTTTAGTCAACTCAGAAGTCAAAAGAGTTTTGTGACTTTGTCCAGCAAACTTTTGGTAGCCCGGAATTTGAGAGGAGAAAGAAAATTATGACAGGAACTCAGGGCCAATGACTAACAAGTTAAGCACAATGGGAGATCAAGAGAATAAATAAAGATGTTGGTAAAATGCTTATGTATTAAGTCCGGGCAGAGAGGAACCAAAGGTTTGGAAGCTCAGGCAAGTTTTAAGGTTGAAGAACAGGCTCCATAGAAGAAATAAAATAGGAGCAGTGAAGAGATGGGAGAGTTTGGTCAAAGCAGAGAATGTCAGAGTTTGAGAACTTAGAAGTAGAGAAGTTTAGATTTGAAGATGAGGTTCATGGACGAGCATATGGAGGGTGCAAGAGGTTTGCAAATAAAGATTGGAATGAAGGGTTTTGAAGACTTGTGGGAAAAGACCATAAGAGGATTGTCTCCTGAGGCTGTGGCAGCAGATGAGATAGAAGGAATGGAAACTTGGATTCATATCCAGAAGGTATGTCCACAGAGGACTTGGAAAGCAACCCTTCATATACATTAATGAAATTTTATGTATTATGGATTTGGCAGTTCTGTGTGGAGATTAGGTTTATGTATAATATTGCATTTTTCATCACAAAAATCAGAAAAGAAAGTAGCTGGTCTTGTGCCAGATGATGATTTGGAGAAGAGTTAACTAACAGGTCTGAGAAGTGAGCAGGGAGGTACCAGTGTCCTTCCCAATGCACTGTATGTGCGTGATTCTTTGAAAGGCATTGATTGTTGATGTAGGCTCTTTCTTAGTCATAAACTTTGAACCTATCTGATCAGGGTTAAGGATCCTCCATCAATGTAGGTTGCTAGCATCCTATTTTAAATACCATTTTCTTTCTTTCTTTCTTTTTTTTTTTTTAAGATTTTATTTATTTGACAGACAGAGATCACAGGTAGGCAGAGAGGCAGGCAAGGGTGGGGGGAAGCAGGCCAGGGAGCCTGATATGGGGCTCGATCCCAGGACCCTGAGATTATGACCTGAGCCAAAGGCAGAGGCTTAACCCACTGAGCCACCCAGGCGCCCCTAGATAGCATTTTCAATAGACTCTATATCCCAATAATAACGAGGAAATATACAGACATTGACAGAACGCCAGCTAAGTACTCCTCCATCTTATATGTCACAAGGTACTAACAGTTCAGATTTCCTCCACTGAACTGTGCACATTTCGAGGACAATCAATAACACTTTTTTTTTTCATTTAAATATTTAATGTAACTGTTTTATGCCTGTCTGTTTTGTGAAATGCTGGTGTTTTTCCATGGTTGAAGGAAACTGTACTGGTCAGACCAAGGAACAGACAGTGGTATTCCGGCCAAGATTGCAAGTGCTAACATGGATGGCAAATTTCCAAAAGTTCTCTTCACGGGGAGCCTTGAACACCTGGAGTTCATCACCCTTGATATTGAGGAACAGAAACTCTACTGGGCGGTCACGAGCACGGGAGTGGTACGCGCACCCTGTTGATCTTCATTGCTGAGCTTGTGTAGCTGATACTGATGTTCTTGTCTGTCTGGGGCTCCTGAACAATCTCCCTTGGCCACTTGGACCAGTGTTTTATTGCCCTTTCTTCCTAATAACTTTTTTCCCTAGAGCAAATATTGCCCTAGGTGAAGTCATTTTTCACTAGTTTATGCATAGTTCCTTATAGAATAATTTTCATTGCCATTTCCCCAATCCTTTGCTTTTCTTCAAGATAAAATATTTCCATTTTTCATTTCTTATTTGTCCTTGAAGAGCCATTTCTTTCATGTTTTAGTGATTTCAGTGCTTTTCTTTGAAAGTTATCCAGGCTCTCCAGTTGTAGAGACTAAAGGAAAAAAAAGTAAATACCAAGCTTTTGAGCATAGCATCCCCTCCTAGCTACGTGCCATTCTCTAAGGTCTTAACATGGTTGATGCATATGGGAAAAGTCCCTTTGGTGGTAATTTTAAACTTCAAGGTTGAGCTCATTATTTTCTGCAGTAAGATGAAGAAACTATATAATTACGTCCATTCACAGAAATAATGTTTGATCACCACTGTTGTGCTTATGCAATTGAGCTGGGACAAGGCACATAGAAGGTGCTCAGTAATAACTATTGATCAATTAAAATATTGCTGTGGATATTGTATTGAATGTGTGCCAGTCTCTTCCCTGTTTTTTATTTTTTTCATTTTTATTTTTTTTCTAATTTAAAATCATCTTTAGTAATTTGTTTTTATGAAATTTCATCATTAGTATGTATCTGTTTTTTCTGAAGAGCAGGCTGTGACCCAGTCTTTGCATTGGTCAGTTCCTTTCAGTGGTTGGTAGTAAATGAATCCCTGTAAATCATTATTATCATTATCATTATTACTATTTTCAGTTAACCAGCATTTAGTACATCATAAGTTTTTGTTGTATTGTTCAACAGTTCATTAGTTGCATATAACACCCCATCCTCATCCCAACATGTGCCCTCCTTAATACCCATCACCCAGTTGCCCCATCCACCCACATCCCTTCCTTCTGTAAGCCTCAGTTTGTCTCCCAGAGTCCAGAGTCTCTCATGGTTTGTTTCCATCTCTGATTTTTTCCCATTCAGTTTTCCCTCCCTTCCCCTGTGGTCTTCTGTCCTGTTTCTTATATTCCACATATGAGTGAAACCTTATGATAATTGTCCTTCTCTGCTTGACTTAATTTCACTTAGCATAATCCCTTCCAGTTCCATCCATGATGATGCAAATGGTGGGTATTCATCCTTTCTGATGGCTGGGTAATACTCCATTGTATATATGAACCACATCTTCTTTATCCATTTGTCTGTTGAAGGGCATCTCGGCATCTTGTGGACATTACTGCTATGAACATGGGGTGCATGTGCCCCTTCTTTTTACTACACCTGTATCTTTTCTTCCCTGCTTTTTAAATAGTAGTGATTTCAGATCTGTTTTTGACATTGATGGTCTCCATAATATTGCACAGTAGGCCTGATGTTCAGTTTGTTGTTAATTCAGCAGTGCCAGTTTCAATCCTAATGTGGACTTAGAGTGGTGATAAACTAAGAACACTGAAAAGAAGTAGTGATGTGTGAAAGCACTTCGCGGACTTCGATGTCTGTATGCAGTAATGGGGGAGCTCTTGCCACATGGTGTGATCTCTGTGGACAACTTACTATGTCCCAGACAGTGCCCACCACCTTTCTCCCTTCCTGTTTTCACATCTGCTCTGCCCTCCTGAATGTGTGGGCTTTTTGGAGGTGTGACTCTCCATCTTTTCTCCCAGGTTAGAACCCTCATGTTTCCCTCACTCTAATAACCATGTCCTTATTTAATCATCAGAAAGTGCTGGCCATTTGTCCTCTGCCTCTTTTCTCAGGTGCAGCCTTTCTCTGCCACCTCCACCCTGCTGAGCCTTGATCGGATGATCGCTGTCCTTAATCAACCTTGCTTTCACGAGGAGGCATGTTGTCTTCATAAATCTGCAACAAATAGGTTTGATCACTGCTCGGCTTGAGGAATAGCTCCAGACACCTCAGCTGAGCTTGGACAGCTAATCTGGTCCTGGTTGCTCCTTTAGAGCTCCCCTCCAAGCTTATCTTCCCTCTGCTCTGACTTTCTGGAACTTCTGTCAGTTTCTAGGGCATAACCTGCTCTTGTAACTGCTGGGTTTCCTTGTCCAGTGAGGTAGTGAGCCAAACCTCATTTGTCTCTCTCGCCAGTACTCAGCTCAGATCCTGGCACAGAGGAGGCCTTTGAGACAAGTTTCTGGAATGAAATCAAACCAGCTGTGTCTACAGTTTATTTTTCTTCTAGAAGCAGACTTGTCATTTCCCATTAGGAACTTCATTTTTGTGAGTTCTTTTCCAGCTTATCACAGTCATTTTGACTAAGACTTGTTACCTGTTCGAATACAACAGCACCATTCAATACACCATTCGAATACAACCTTGTCCCATTCAGTCTTGCTGTCTTGTCATTGAATGAAACATGTTTCCTAGTCCCATTGCAGAAATTGTTGGTGAAGATGTTAAATGCAGGGTCAGTCAGCTCCTGGGTAGTGATCTACAGTTCGACACTAAATGTGTATCCTTGTCCAGAATATGACAGGGACTAGCGAGGTTTAGTTCCCCTTTTCTTCACCATGTCGTCTGAGAATGTTAGTTGTCTTACTTGAGCTGAAACTTCATTGTCAGTGAAATGGGCATGATGACATTTGCTTGGCCTACTGCTCCATGTCATTGTGACTATCAAATCCTAAAACAGATACGAAAAATCTCTGTGAAGGATAGAGTGCTATATAGATGTGGTGTATTTTTAATAAGAGAATGTAGTTTGCTGGAGGGGAGGTTGGTGAGGGGTTGGAGTAACTGGGTGGTGGGCATTAAGGAGGTCCTGTGATGTGCTAAGCCCTGGGTGTTCTATATCCCTGATAAATTACTGAACTCTGTATCTGAAATTAATGATGTACTATAGGTTGGCTAATTGAAATTAAGTTAAAAAAGAGAGAAAGAATGTTAGTTTTAAATGTTTTCTCTCATTTCACCATCAATCAGTCAATCATGACAATTCTGATGTTTTAGATCGAAAGAGGAAATGTGGATGGTACAAACAGAATGATCCTGGTGAACCGTCTTTCCCACCCCTGGGGAATTGCTGTCTATGATTCCTTCCTTTATTATACGGATGAACACTATGAAGTCATTGAAAGAGTTGATAAGGCCACTGGGGACAACAAAGTAGTCTTGAGAGAGAATTTTCCAAATTTGAGAGGTCTTCGAGTTTATCACAGACATGGTAAGTATTTGTTACTGAAACACACACATTCATGAATGTAAAATGTACATTCACACATCTGCACACTTATATATGTAAGTTCATGCCTGCACATAGACCCACGTACACATACATGCATGTGAATTGAAATTACCCCAAATATTTTTGAAATGATAGCCCTGTCCTAAGGTTGGCTGAGTGTCAGAGACTAACCTGGCATCTGAAAGGCCAGGCTGACTTCAGAGTAAGCTTAGTCCCATTCTTTCCCCATCATTTTAAATTCCTTACTTTGCTTTGCTTCATAGCGGTCCCTGACATCTATCAGTTTGTTGTCTATTGTTTCTGGTTAGAACGTAACCTCCATAAAGACATGCATTTTTTTCTGTCTTGTTTCTTGCTCTGTATCCAGTAACTAGATGAGTTCCTGGCATGTTGAAGGTGGTCAGGAAACATTGGTTGGGTACCTGATGGGGAAGTGTTAATAGGTTAGAATTTCTAATCTTAAAGGGAATACTTGCTGTTTTCAGCATTTTTTCGTAGATAATCTAACTTTTGATTCACCCCTTAAACTAGCATTATGATACAGAAATTAGTTTTTGAAGTTTTGACATATTGTGTAGATTTTAGTCTCTAACCAAAGTTGACTAAACAGTTTGCTGTCTGTAACCTAGGTTTGTCACTTGGCATTTGTTTTTATTGCATGTGAAAAAAACCTTTAAATGTTCTTAATTAATATATTCTAAATCAAATGCCCATCACATTGTTGATCATATAATTAAAACTGATACAATTTTAAATGCCAGTACATAGGTCAGAGGGTGAAAAAAATTAGAATTTGCACACTGATCTCCCCAATTCTTCTAATTTCTGTATGATTTATGGAAGAAAAAAAATTGATGTTCCATTCTCTATAATAGTTGTGGTACCTTTATGTGTTAATTGTTTAAGCTGTAGTCTCTTCAATGCTGTTTTTAGGTTGTTAACCCAGGTGCTGTCTTTTGTTACTGATTTTTGTAATGAATTATTCGGTGACCCAATACAAGATATTTGAGGTAGAGTGTCAAGTATGTGAGGTCAAAAGTTACAAACTAATTTTGATTTCATTTAGATCCATCCTCCAATGGCTGTAGCAACAATGGGAATGCCTGTCAGCAGATTTGCCTGCCTGTACCAGGAGGATTGTTCACATGTGCCTGTGCCAGTGGACTGAAACTCAATCCTGATAATCAGACCTGTTCTCCATATAGCTCTTTTCTTGTTGTTTCAATGCTGTCTGTAATCACAGGCTTTAGCTTGGAATTTTCAGATCACTCCGAAGCCATGGTGCCAGTGGCTGGCCAAGGTATGCCAACTCCAGTAGAAATAAGATTTCACTCTGCTGCCATGTGAAATTCTTGGTGCCATAAAGCCATTCTCCATGTTTGGATTTAGCATGTAATGAAGCTTGTGTTTCCCTTGAGATAAACTGGCTCTGCCTTGAATTGTTCTCAAACGTTAGCATACATCAGAATTGGAGAGCTTGTTAAAACTCAGATCTTGGCCCCATCTCCAGATTTCCCCGTTTAGTCGTCTGGAGTAAGGCTAGAGAATCCACATTCCTTTTTTTAAAAAAAATTTTAATTTCTGGGGCGCCTGGGTGGCTCAGTGGGTTAAATCCTCTGCCTTCAGCTCAGGTCATGATCCCAGGGTCCTGGGATTGAGCCCCGCATCAGGCTCTCTGCTTGGCAGGGAGCCTGCTTCCCCCTCTCTCTCTGTCTGCCTCTCTGCCTACTTGTGATCTCTCTGTCAAATAAAATAAATAAAATCTTTTAAAAAAAATTTTAATTTCTAAAAATTTTTAAAATTTTTAAAATTAAGTTCAATTAGCCGTCATTAGTTTTTTAAGATTTTATTTATTTGACAGATTTATTTGACCTGAGCCAAAGGCAGAGGCTCAACCCACCCAGCCACCCAGGCACTTCAACCCACCATTAGTTTTTGATGTAGTGTTCATTGATTCATTGGTTGCATATAACACCCAGTGCTCATCAGATCATGTGCCCTCCTTAATGCCTGTCACCCAGTAACTCCCACTCCCCTCCCTTCTTCAACCCTCAGTTTGCATTCCTAGCAAGTTCCCAGGGCATGATGATGTCGCTGGTCCCTGGATCATACTGAGAGTGACAGGCCTAGAGCAAGATAGAATGTAGCATGAGACTGCAAGAAGTATGCAGAGTTGGTGTTTAGAAGAACAGTTAATGGAGATTTGGGATCAAGGTTAGACTCTTATTTAGAATAGTAATACAGTAGTCCATAATCTGGTTTATTAAGATGTATTTGATGAGTTGAAATAAATGAGTTGGCAGTATTAGAATCTCCTTAGTAACTGTATTTTTGCAGTATTTTGTGTTTGTATACTGTGAACATAGAAAATGATCCCTGTTACCGTAGGAGGAACCAAGGGTTTACTAGCATCACAAGGGGTATGTCATGGATAATGATAGAAATAAAAGATAGAAAAGGAAGAAAAAGGGTGAAGGGAATGGAGGGGAGGAAGAGATGGTCAGAAGAGATGACCATACACATGGTGGAAGGAGTCAGAGAATGTCTGGTACCATGTATGTTCTTGGCTGATGGTGATAGGCACGAGTACGCATGACTCCTCTTTGTTTTCCCCACATCTGAAATGTTATGGCTCTAAATTACCATCTTGTAAAGATCATAAAATCAATTATTTTTTCTCCCAACTTTTCATTTTGAAAAATTTCAAATCAGAAAAGTTGAACGAAAGGGACAGTGAACATCCTTACGTTGTACACGTAGATAGAAAAATTGTTTGTATTTCAACACATTGGAACGCTCAATCTGTGCGTACATGCACATGCATATACGTACATTTAATGTTACTGATTTCAGGGGCACAGTGTCATCATAGATTCAAGTCTTTATTCATTTTTAAAATTCAGTGTGTTATAAACATTTACCACAATTACTCTTGATACTCTATTGGCTTCATTTTGGCCAAGTAGATTTTCCGTTGGAATCAATGACTGCCTGTATTCTTTGGACATGATTCCGTGAGTGTTTATGTGCTTCCTTGCCTCTGGGTCTAAGAGCTTCGAGGCTCACCTTGTACCTTCCCTTCCCAAACTTAGAATCCGCTATTTTTCTTAGGAGCCAGTTCTCATTATTGTGGGAAATGGCTTTTAGAAACCAAGATCTGGGTGCTGGGTGTACTCACTGCAACTGAGAAACAGTTTTATTTTGTCCCAGAGACATGGTCAGAGCAGGGGGTTGGGAATCACAGTTGGAGAGGAAAGGCAGGAATGTCAAAGTTCTAGTTCCAGTTAGAGCATTGTTTAATGAACTTGTCTTCAATGTTTCAGGACGAAATGCACTGCATGTGGATGTTGATGTGTCTTCTGGTTTTATTTACTGGTGTGATTTTAGCAGCTCTATGATAACTCAAAATGCAATCTATAGAATCAAACCTGATGGGTCTGGTTTTACAAACATCGTTACACATGGGATAGGAGAAAACGGAGTTCGGGGCATTGCAGTGGATTGGGTAGCAGGTAGGTAAGCTGTATAGGGATTTCATTGAGAAATATTTTGGTGTTTACATGTTATTTTATGCTTGAAAGTTTAATGCTGTATGTGCTGTAAGTCTATTTTTCTAGATAACTATTGGTATTATTTAAGGTAAATTGAATTATGCTTTTAGACTAAGCTGTATGCCTAGTAAGTTTTTGACAAGGTGTTTCAGTGGACAGAGTCATAACAATTCATTTTCTTCCATTATTAACATAATCAAAACTATAGGCAGAATGGCTAGAAAAATTACGTTGATTTTTTTCACACTTAAATTAGCACCTAATTTCTAAATTAGAAATGTCTAAATTTTCAAAGAATAAGTGATATTAAAGTAAGTGAACCATGAAATGACAATGATTTATTTTAAAAATGAGCAATTTTAGTTGACAAATTCTTAATTGCTTATCTTGTTAATGTATAAAAATCCTTTGATCATTAGGCACTTCTTTATTGTAATTATATTGAAATGCTTGACCCAGTATTACATTAACTTAGTCGTATTGATTCATGTACTTAATTATATTACTTTTATTTTTTATTTTTTTTAATAATGACATACACAGCATACACTTACTAATATTGTAAGCAACTCTAGGAATACAAATGTGGTCTCCAGGTGGTAACAGAACCCGTCACCACTGACTTATTCCCTCATTAACCATTGTTGTAGCTCCCCATGAACCCTGCCTGTTCATAACCCCTGTCTCCTTTGATGTACTAAGACATTGAATTGGTTGGTCATTACCCTCATGTAAGACTCGACATGTTCCCACTCTTGCATAGCAAAATTCTTTAAAAATTTTTAATTTAAATTCCAGTAAGTTAACATACAGTATAATACTAGTTTTAGGGGTCATGTACTTAATTTTAAATTACCATTTGTTTTTATTTAATGATGAACTGAGAAACAGATGTATTAAATGTATTATAATTTTCAGAATATGATCCTAGTCTATAAAAATAGGTATCATTGTGTGTTAATCAGTTTGATAAGTAGGCATCACTTAGAAATACTAAAATATATTATGAAAATCTAGGTGCTATCATAAGAGTTTATTGTAAATATTAAATATCATAGAGAAGTCTTTAATTGGATTCCTAAATCCCATTTCTGATTACAAATTACTGTATTACTTCTGAGAGTATAGCTAAAGCAGGGGTCAGCAGTCTATGGTCTATGGACCAAATGCAGCTCGCAGTTTTATTGAGAAATAATTGACACACATCAGTGTGTAAGTTTAAGTCATATGGCATCATAATTTGATTTATATATTGTGAAACGGTTATCAGGATAGGGACAGCTCAAAATCTCATATAGATACAATAAAAAGGAAAGAAGAAAAGAAAAAATAATTTTTTCTCCTTTTAATGAGAACTCTTAGGATTGATTCTTTTAACTACTTTCATATATACCATACAGTGTTAACTATAGTCATTATGTTGTACGTCCTCAGTACTTATTTTTTTTAGTAACTAGAAATTTGGACCATGCCTGTTTTTGTAAGGTTTTATAGGAACACAGCTGTGCCCATTTGTCCATGACCTGCTTTTCATGTTTACAGTGGCAGATCTGAGTCCTTGGGAAAGAAACCATATGCTCTACAAAGCCTAAAATATTTACTATCTGACTCTTTATGGAAAAAGTTTGCCAAACCTAGATGAAAGGATTTGAATATATAATGGGTAGATCAGTAACGTATTGCATATTGGCTTGATTTCTTCAGAGCTATTTTTACTTGGACCTAGGAACCAAAATAGATGTCTCTTGGTAACAGAGTTGACCATTCAACAGGTTTTTGACTTGGTGGAATCAGTATGGGATCAATCACTCTCTATTCATTTTACCATCTTCACACCATTGTGTTTTTATTCTAGCATTCACATTGTTCTGTAATGTCCAAAGACAAATGGGTTTTTCTTTTGGTCGCTTTAGAGTTTCATCCATGTGATGAAAACAGCTATGCTAGTCAGACTAGACTCTTAATACTAAGCATAAAGGAGCACTTGAAGACATCGAAATAAGCTGAGAAGCTGTTGGCTCTCCCTCTTTGCTCATTTTGTCATGTTGGGAGTAGAAGTTATGCCATGATAATGTGTGTTAGAGTGTTTGGAGATGTAGGTGTTAAACATTCAGGTGGAAGAGGAAGAACATTCTGGAAAATGATTTTTCAGTAGCAAGTGGGTTATGACGTTTGCTATGAATTCTGATCTGGTTTAGAAGCTGAAGGCGGGCACTTCCTCTTTAAATCTGAAGAAACAATTTTTTTTCAAAAGGATTTATTCATTTATTTGAGAGAAAGAGAGTGTGTGAGGTTTGGGGAGAGGCAAAGGGAAAGGGAGAGACTCTCAAGCAGACTCTCCACTGAGCGTGGAACCCCACATGGGGCTTCATGCAGGCTCTTCACAGGGCTGGGTCTCCCATCCCGGAGACCATGACCTGAGCCACCCAGGCGCCCCAAAACAATTTCTTTAGTTCCTAAGGGTAAATATTTATTTTTCTAACTCTAAACTGGGACTGTTACTATCTTGTAAAAGACAGCATTTATTGACCCAAACCTCAGCTTTTTATATTTTGTTCTGAATTTGAAAAGTTTCCCTCTTTTTCCTTCTTGGTTTTGCATTTATCAGCATGTTCTTTCATTTTCCTGCAGGAAATCTTTATTTCACCAATGCTTTTGTGTCTGAAACACTGATAGAAGTTCTGCGGATCAACACCACTTACCGCCGTATTCTCCTTAAAGCCACTGCAGATAGGCCCAGGGATATTGTTGTAGACCCCAAGAATAGATTCCTCTTCTGGGCTGACTATGGGCAGAGCCCAAAGATTGAACGTTCTTTCCTTGATTGTACCAATCGAACTGTGCTTGTATCAGAAGGCATTGTCACCCCACGGGGCTTGGCAGTAGACCATAGCAATGGTTACGTTTATTGGGTTGATGATTCTTTAGATATAATTGCAAGGATTGGTATTGAGGCACAGGAATCTGAAGTGATTCGTTATGGCAGTCGTTACCCTACTCCTTATGCCATCACTGTTTTTGGAAATTCTATCATATGGGTAGACAGGAATTTAAAAAAAATCTTCCAAGCCAGCAAGGAACCAGACAGCAGTGAGCCACCAACAGTGATAAGGGACAATCTCAGCTGGCTAAGAGATGTGACCATCTTTGACCAGAGTGTTCAGCCCCGGTCACCAGCTGAGGTCAACAACAACCCTTGCTTGGAAAATAATGGTGGATGCACCCATTTCTGCTTTGCTTTGCCTGGATTGAACACCCCAAAATGTGGCTGTGCCTTTGGAACCCTAGAAGGTGATGGCAAGAGCTGTGCCATTCCAACAGAAGATTTTCTCATCTTTGCCTTGGAGAACACCTTGAGAAGCTTACACTTGGACCCTGAGGCTCATAGCCCACCTTTCGAAGCAATACGTGTGAATAGAATTGCTGTAGACCTGGTCTATGATAGCATAACTAACAGAATCTACTTCACACAATCTTTTCCATCTGGAAATGGTCAGATTTCGTATGTCAATCTAAATTCAGGGACCAGGTCTCCTACGACCATTATTTCAGGTAAGGGCACTCCAGGAGCAGCTTCTCTTGGAAGTTGATGCAGCGTAATCAACACATGTGTTTGACCCAGAGGTTCTAAAATGCCTTTTGAGACTCTAATGCCTTTGTGTGTGTTTGTTGGTATATATCCAGGTAGAGGGAATCCTGATGGCATTGCCTTTGACTGGATCAATAGAAGAATTTATTACAGTGACTACATCAACCAGACAATTTACTCCATGGCTGAGGATGGTTCTCAGCGCACTGTGATTGCCCATGTTTCAAAGCCAAGAGCAATTGTATTAGATCCTTGCCGAGGGTATGCCATGGTCTTATTTATCATATTTCTGTATGTTTATTTCTGGAAGGGTTGGGGCCTGAAATTATGTCCATAACCAATATTTTATGGGCTTGAAACTCTGTAGCTAAATGTTCAAAAGTGAAAAAATACAAGCAGTTTTGAATGGGAAGTAACTCCTGTTGTTGCTAGAAAGGTTGGCTTTTGGGCAAGTTGTGTAGATGAGAATGGAGTAGGTTTCATTTGCCATATTAATGTGAGATTTTGCATTTAAAGAAGGCTGCCATTCTTAACTAAAAGGTATTATGATCCTTGTGAATTAATTACAACTCCTTTTGGATGACTAGCTACATGTACTGGACTGACTGGGGTACTAATGCCAAAATTGAGAGAGCTACACTGGGAGGAAATTTCCGGGTACCCATTGTGAACAGCAGCCTGGTCTGGCCCAATGGGCTCACTCTGGACCATGAGAATGACCTTCTCTACTGGGCAGATGCCAGTCTGTAAGTTTTTTCATTCTTTTTGTGGGTGCTGATAAGAAGAGTTCTTGCTTTCACTTTCAGAGGGGGGATTTGCATAACATGATAAAATTATAATATGCCAAATAGAAATGGCCAAAATGTAGAATCATAGTTTTATGAACTGTATTCTAGCTTGGTATATGTACCTGTCAAAATTGATCTATCATGAGATTGAATAATTAAGAACTAGAAGGCATCTAAGGATACATTACTAGATGAGTTAATTTCAGTTATAATTACAAATGTAATCACTCAATTTATAATCTCCAGGCCCCATCTAAACTATCAGAAAATTAACTATCAGAAAATGTGGACAACTTTTAAATGCACATTGGTACTAAGTTTTCTCTGGGCTTTATTTAGCCTTCAGTTAAAAACATTTTCCTTTAGGGTGCCTGGGTGGCTAAGTGGGTTAACCCTCTGCCTTCAGCTCAGGTCATGATCTCAGGGTTCTGGGATCGAGTCCCGCATTGGGTTCTCTGCTTGGCAGGGAGCCTGCTTCTTCCTCTCTCTCTGCCTGCCTCTCTGCCTACTTGTGATTTCTCTCTGTCAAATAAATAAATAAAATATTAAAAAAAATTTTTCCTTTAGTCTTTGTCTATTGGTCATCTTCTCAAATAGATTTTTCTTAGCCAATTTAGTAATATTTTCCTTACAAACTTCTGTTGACTCTAATTTCTCATGTAACTTCTTCAAGTAGTCCTCAGATTACTCACATTCCAATCATCTTAACGGAATAGTTGAAAAGATGAGATGATTTCATTTATTATTGCTGGTGTCTACATGTCAGGAATCTCAACTTAACTTTGCTTATTTTCTTAAGATTTTGATTTCTGCTTGAGACACTAAGCACCTAATGATCTCATCTTTTATCCTCTCATTTGTAAGCAAGCAATGATATTTAGTGTCTAAATTTGGATCATTATGGGTAAATATCTCCAAGTACTGGGTAAATGACAAATCGAGAAGGTCATTAAGGGAATGGGAGGAAAAAGTAATTCACATTTTATTGAGACTACTGTGTGCTAAAAACTGAGTTCCATGCATTGTGTGTATTATTTCATAATCTCCTATTTCTAATTTTGGCCTGGTTCCCTTTCTAGGATAACTTACAGGTTATATTAATACTTGGAAATCAGTGATTTACGTAGGCCATGTTTCATAAGCAAATGAAGACCTCCCATCATTAGATGAAATTTTTCTTCCTGCCGTATGCAGCTGTTGAAAAGAAAGTTGGGGGCTTGTGAAAAGAAGTGGTTAGGCCCAGGCATTGGGCTCCCATTTGAGGTGCTTACTCTTTCTGAATTCCAGCATTTTCTTTTTTACTTCATTTTAGGCAGAAGATTGAACGCAGCACTCTAATGGGCACGCAGCGTGAGGTCATTGTCTATACAGTCTTTCATCCTTTTAGCTTGACTCTCTATGGCCAGTATATTTATTGGACTGACTGGAACATGAAAAAAATTTACCGAGCTAACAAATATGATGGGTCAGGTCAGATGGCAATGACCATGAGTTTTCCCTCCCGGCCTAACGGTATTCGTGCTGTAGTGAAGAATCCTCAGCAACAGTGTAGCAATCCTTGCAGCGAGTTTAATGGAGGCTGCAGCCATATTTGTGCACCAGGTAAGACATTGCCAATGAAGACTGAATCATGTAGGGTAATAATGTTAATGATTGGTAGGGAAGGCTGAGGGATATTCCACTCTAAGAAGGGTAGAAAAAAATCCAAGTTCTCCTTGATTTCAGGATAATTCATAAAACAGATTTGGAGACTTGTAGGTTTAGAGGAAGACTTTGACAGATTTCTTTTCCATTTAATGTGGAGCGCTCCCATCAGTCTTGATGGGAGTAGAAAGAAAGATGGGGTCTTTGGATGCCAGACTTAATGACTTGGATAGAAATTCCATCAAAGAGCTTACCTCCCTTAGGAAGGGATCTAGTTCTTCTACTTGGGAGGTACTGTTTATAGTCTGAAGTATTTCTGATGATATTTGAAAGTGTGATTCTATGTATTCCATAGTGTGGTTTATAGATAGCAACAGATTTGCAGAAAGATGTATCTTTTGATGCTGTTGTCTTACAGATGTTGCTAAGAAGGGAGGATCATTTCTATTGTTTCAGTGTAGGCAAGAGCTAGTTGTTAATGATTAGGGTGAATTAGCCACATTTATTGGAATTGGTGGTGGTTCTTCATGGACAAATGATGCAGAATGTAGTTGAGAGGCTGATGGGAAGAGTTTCTATGGCTTGCCTTACAGTGCCTTTACTATAGAAATATTGCCACTGCTATTCTGGAAGAGAGAATATGAATGGGTGCTACACAGATGTTTTGCTTTTTGGGCCAACTTTTTTTTTTTTTCCAGGTCCAAATGGTGCTGAGTGCCAGTGTCCACATGAGGGCCACTGGTATCTGGCCAACAACAAAAAGCATTGCATCGTGGACAATGGTACACGGTGTGACAATTCCAAGTTCACCTGCCTCAATGGACATTGCATCTCGGAACAATGGAAATGCGACAACGATAATGACTGTGGTGATGGCAGTGATGAGTTGGAAAGTGTCTGTGGTGAGTTGAACTCCTGGAGCTTTTGTTAGGCTGTAAACTTGTCTTTATGCCAAGTGTTTGGTACAGAGTCCTGCTGTGTGTGAATAGCTGTGAATTTTGTGCCTATATGTCCTGTTAGAACTGAAAACATTTAGTCTGAGAACACAGACTGTTAAATCCCATATAAGCTGATATACATGCCAGGGATTCGTGTTGATGCTTTATTAGAAAGCACCTCTGTAGTGGTTAAGAGCAAAGGGGCTGGATTAAAATCCTAGCTCTTCCCTTTATAATCTGTGCAGCCACAGGAAAGTGGCCTAACCTCTCTGAGCCTCCAACACCTCATCTGTTAGATGGAGCTATTCCTAGGAATTTTGTGAGGAGTGAGAGAAGCAATATATAAAAAACACAGCATGGGGCTTGGTGCATGTCAAGCATGACTTAGCATGGAACTGGGAGCTCTATTCGATGATTGTTATCATTTTATTAATTTTCATAGCAGAAGGATAATTAGTAATTTACTGAAATCATTCAGTATTCAGCTTCCATCTGGATGGGGTGAGTCAAACACTAGAAATTAGCTACATTTTTTCCAATAGACAATAGGGGCTAAGAGTTTGATTTTCCCCAAAGACATTGTATTTGCATGCTTTTCTGGGATTGGGGTAAAATTTTAAATTGAGATGGTAGAGGAAGGGAAGCGACTCCGACATTTGCTTAAAATACCTAATTTGCCTTAGAAAAGTATACAACGTAAAAAAAAAAAAAGAAAAGTATACAACGTATTTTGTTTGATCTAATTTAAAGTTTATTTCACTTTGCACGCAGTCCGTTTTGCAGCCATTTTTGCTTTAGAAGGTAAACTCAATCCATTTTATTTGACTGTGCTTTTTTAGAAACTAGGATGTTGCTCTCTGATCTGGAATTCTCTTCAATGTTTTTTCCTCCTTGTAGCATTTCACACCTGCCACCCGACAGCGTTCACCTGTGCCAATGGGCGATGCGTCCAGTATCATTATCGCTGTGACCACTACAATGACTGTGGTGACAACAGTGATGAGGCAGGGTGCCTGTTCAGGGACTGTAATGCCACTGTGGAGTTTACCTGCGGTAATAAAAGGTGCATTCCTCTTCAGTTTGTCTGCAATGGCATCAACAACTGCCATGATAATGATACCTCAGATGAGAAAAATTGCTGTAAGTTCATCAAGGACTTATTCTGCTTTGGGGGTCTGAAATCTCTTTGTTTGCTTATTTGTTTTGGTTTTTCTGTGTGTGTGTGTTTTGTTTTTTTGGAGTCTCTTCACCTCATGGGAGATAATTTTTATGTAGAAACAAAGGCTTTCAGCAAAAAAAAAAAAAAAAAAAAAAAGAACCCTAAGTATTCATCTAGAACATAAATTTCATTTAATTATATTCTGCTAAATGGTTTTGTAAAAACAAATCTAATATATTTAATTATTCACCTAAATTTATGGACCCACATGACCATTGAATATTTTAATCTCAACTGTTTTATCCTTGGTTTATGTATCTACCAGATGAAAAATTCACTTGACAAAATTTTTGATTGTTTTAAGACTTTACCAGTAGTTGCTGACAAAAACTATTGTCTAAATGTGTTGTGGTTAATCTTTGTTCTGCACAAAGCAAAAATGATTTCTTTCTTTCATTTTTCTGGTAGATTGTTTTATTGGTTTTTCCAAAATTTCAGGGATTTGCTCTTTAGCATGTAGGCACAAGAAAAGAGCAGTGTGTAAATTCAAATACATTTCAGTTTGGATATATCTACTTGCTCTGCTGCTTTTGTAGGTAGAGTTACATACAATATTTCTTCGGCTATGCCTTTTAAAAGAACTCCTTCTTATGGAAAATTTCAAACATACACCAAAGTACAAAGAATAATAAAATATACCCATTATCCAACTCCAATATTTATCAATAAATGGTCAGTCTGTTTCATCCATTTCCCCTGACTCCCCTTCCCCTGAATACTATAAAGCAGCTCTCAGACATGCATGTCATTTATGAAGACATTTTGACAACTGACTATCATGCGGTAATGATATCTGGCAAGACTGACAGTACTTACTTGACTACTCCATCCGTATTAAAATTTTACAATTATTCCCCAAATATCTTTATGCAGTTGTTTTGTTCAGATTAGCATTCAGGCAAGGTCTACACATTGGTTTTGATGATTCTAACTCTCTAATCTCTTTAATGCCTCAGCAGTGCCCCCCCTCCTTTTTCCAATGCCATTGATTTGTCCTGTGGAATTTCCCACACTCTGGATTTGACTAATTGCTTAATTGAACCATTTATTTTGTTCCTCTTATTTCCCATTAACTGGAATTTGTACCTAGAGGTCTGATTACATTAGGTTCAATTATTTGGGTAAGAATTCTCCATAGGTGGAGCTGTGTATTTCCTGTTGCATCACATCATGAAGCACGTAATACTTGATTGTGCACTTTAATGATAAAGTTAATTAGTGGATTTAGAAGTCAGCCTGAATCTTCCCTTAAGAACATCCCATCAACCTGCTCTCCAGTGGTTTTAGCATACATGGATGGTTGTTCTATAAATCCATTATTTCTTTAAGAGTTACAAAATAGGTATTTAAAAATTCTGTTATTTCTTCTACATGTATTAGGTAACGTTCCATAAAGAAGAAATTTTCCTGATCTGCTATTTTGTTACCTTGAAGTACAATTCTGTAGGAGAAATGGCTTGATTCCTTTCCTTTGTCAGTTTTCAGAGTAATGAATTGGTGACCAGTGAGCACTAATTTTTTGTCTTGTTTTGCTTTTAGTATTAGACTGATGGATTTCTACATATTTGATGAATTTTAGTGCAGTAAAGTCATTTAATGTTTCTGGTGGTCAGCTTCCCTCTCTTAGGCCAGTGGAAGCTCTGCTAAGTTGGCTTCTCTGTTATGGCCCATTTGGTCCATTTCCTATCTCAGACCTTTTGGAAAGGGGAACTTGTTCTTTTGCAGATTTAGAGATTACCATAGTGTCTGGTTGACCATTTCTATTTGGCTCTCATTGCTTCCAGCGCTTTTCAGTGTACAGAGCTAGGAAATACAATTTTTAAGGAAAAAAGTTTATATTGGTCTTTCCCATTTTAATTTAAGATTACAACTTTTTAAGATTTTATAATCCTGTCTCTTACATGCTTAAAATATTGGTTTCTGATGACATTAACACAAATGCTTATTTGCTTTATTCTACCATAATTTCAAAATGCCTATAGTTTCAAAATAACCACACAAGTAATACTACTACCAATAAATCTACTAGTGATAATTTAAGAACATAATCTAAGTCCCTCTTGTTCTTAGATTATGTCCTGCTATGTAGTACTGGTTTTAAAGTCACTTGAATTCTTTTTCTTTCTTTCTTTCTTTCTTTTCTTTTCTTTCTTTCTTTCTTTCTTTCTTTCTTTCTTTCTTTCTTTCTTTTCAGCATAACAGTATTCATTGTTTTTGCACCACACGCAGTGCTCCACGTAATCCGTGCCCTCTCTGATACCCACCACCTGGTTCCCCCAACCTCCCACCCCCCTCCCCTTCAAACTCCTCAGATTGTTTTTCAGAGTCCATAGTCTCTCATGGTTCACCTCCCCTTCCAATTTCCCCCAACTCCCTTCTCCTCTCTAACTCCCCTTGTCCTCCATGCTATTTGTTACGCTCCACAAATAAGTGAAACCATATGATAATTGACTCTCTCTGCTTGACTTATTTCACTCAGCATAATCTCTTCCAGTCCTGTCCATGTTGCTACCCCAATGTTTATAGCAGCAATGGCCACAGTCGCCAAATTGTGGAAAGAACCAAGATGCCCTTCAACGGACAAATGGATAAGGAAGATGTGGTCCATATACACTATGGAGTATTACGCCTCCATCTTTTTTTTTTTTAATTGTTGTGCTATTAACTTGATGTAGTACTTGCTTCTGTTACTATTTCCAAATTTTGGGAATTGCTTTCCTTTTCCCATTTTTATTTCATTGTTTTCATTTATACAAAATAATACACATGGTTCTGTGGTCAAAATTATATGATGAGGTATATTCACAGCAGTCTTCCCTCCTTTTTTTTTTTCCATTTTCTCCAGTTTTCTCCATTCCACTCACTCTGATCTATTCTCAATCTATCCATAGGTGTGACAAAATTTTTTCATTATTTTTTTTTGACACTAGCTGAAAGAGAGCTTTTTTATTACTTTTTATGTACAGAAACTTCAACAGCATCGAGTCCTTTATTTAACCTTTGCCTTTTCCAGCTTTGCAATGGAGTTTGGACCCAGGTCATTGCTTCCCCATTGACCATGGATGTCATCATACCTGTCATTGCTGTTGGTCCTGATAGCTTCCACTAGCTTAGCCAGAGCTCCTTCGTCTTCTGCGTTAACCGGCGTGAAAGTGACAGTGATGCAGGTCTTCTATGCAACAGACGCCCAGCCTGGCCTTCCCCTTGATAATACAGAAGGGAGCTCCCATCCTATAATACAGGGCAGGCGAAGACAGCCAGCTCAGTGGGATTCACAGCACGTGCAGTCACTACCAGCTGAGCCTTCTTGTTTTATACCAAGGGTGGTGACAGTATTAACCCCAACTCGAAGGACAGGCAGCTGCTGAGTGGGGACATTCCCTTTGCCAGCAGCTGTCTCTCAACCTGGGCCAATGGTCTCTGCTGCTTCTCTTGCTTTGTTCCTGGTCTGTAATTATGGGCCAACTTAAGTGGTAGAGAAACTCTCTGTCTGTCCAAAGCCCTCATGAGGTGATTAATTGTGGGAGGTGCTTCTAGATTTTCACTGAGAATAGCCCTTTGCTACTGTGGCCAGGTGTAGCCAGGCCATTTGACAAAGTTAGTGAGGTCCCTTTGGGGCTACATGTCCTGTCTGATGCAAGAAATCTTGGGCCTTTTCTCAGACAGGAGACTGACCACCTTCTTGGCTTCCTGCTTCTTTAGAATAGAAGGGGCTGGGACCACCTTCTTCCCCACAGCCTTCTTTCCTTTCAACATCTTGGAAGCCTGGAGGTTCATTATTGTTTTTTAACATAAGCAACTCTCTCTCTCTCGTTACACACACACACATACTGTTTTTTTTCACACAAAAGATAGCCTGTTGTTTTTGACTCTTGCTTTCTTTCTGTTAACAACATATGCTGGAGATCATGCCATCATTCCTTACCAGTGTTTAGAGATCTTCATTCCTTTTTATACCTATGTATTACTCCATTGTGTGGATACACCATAGTTTATTTAACTAAGTGTTGAGACTCTTGTTGGTGCTATTAAATAATTAAAATGGATGACTTAAACTACAAAGTAAGCATACTCCCCCCCCCCCCCAATCAGCTGGAAATACCTCTTTTTACTTTAGAAGCGATGGTAGGAAATGAATGTCGTGGATGATGCCTTTGTGAGAGCTTTAAACATGCTTCCCTTCTGGTGTTTTGAGTCTAGTAGCTCTGTTAGTGTGGACATTTTTAATGTTCTGTGTATGTGGTGGATCTGTTCCAAATGTTTCTCTGCTTATCTTTTCGAAGCTGATCGTACCTGCCAGCCCGGCTATGTAAAATGTCAGACGACAAACATTTGCATTCCTCATTTTTACTTGTGTGATGAAGACAATGACTGTGGAGACATGAGTGATGAAAGCCCTGTTTTCTGTGGTAAGAGAGCCAGGCTGTTCCTTCTGTGGTTCAGGGATGCGTATCTGGAGCTAAAGGTCTTTGGGCTACTTGTCAGCTCAAGTTGACTGAATCGGTAGATGCAGTAGGCAGTTACTTTAGGATGTGATTAGAAGAGCGTAAGCAGCCCCTATTTCTGTTCTCTGGATGGATCCCCCAATCCAAATATTTCTTCAGAGACTTGCTGTGGTCCCTGACTTTTTATAATTGCAGAGCCATTTCTCCCAGAGTCAAGGGCCTTTTGTCTTCAGGAACTCCAGGCAGAATGTGCTTGTCAAGCCCTTACATTTGCTCTTAATTTGATTATAGTTACTATTTAGTAACTGCAAGAATTTTTGTATCTTTTTAATATGCTTAAATTTCAGAAAACTTTATTTCATATTTAGTAGTTTGGTTTAGTCAAGCACTTTCCTGTATTTATAGATCAAATCAGGAGGTCTTTCTTAAGCTCAGTAACTTTGAGTCTATTAGTGTAATAGGTACATAATTAAAGAATTTAGTAATTATCACCAGAGGAAGGTATAGGCCAAGAACAGGCATCAGTTGTAATAACAGCTGCAGGAAGAAGCAGAATTCAGGATGTAGCCATCAGAATGGGACATACAGATTAGAGACAGCGCTGACCTTTCAGAGGCCTCTGCTTCCTGATCAGTTTTACCCCTGGCAAATCATCCGATATCTTGGGCCAAAGGAAGGGGCCTTGCAGACCAGAAGAATTAGAAGACTTGATTCTAGTTTATACTACCCACATAACAATTTAGAAAATACATCTGACCAGGGTTACCTAAGGTTACGTGAATTAATCAATGTTCAAACATAGGTAGAGTCATTTTTACTCAAATAAAGATCCCATAAGAAAGAGCACAACTGTCTTTTTAGAACCATGTGTGCTGAGCTCAGATATGGTTATATGTTGTTTTTGCTTTTCATATTATTTTCATAGAATTAGTCTAATTTTAGGTTACTGCAGACAACATAGAGCCAAATCTTCTTATCCATAACTTGTGGTTTCATGTATCAAAGAGATATTTCTTAGATATTTCTAACAAATACAATTTATTGTTGGGTCTCTAGAATCTAGAAAGAGAAATTCTAGAAAACTGAAACAGTACTGTCGGCCTTCTCTCCCAGCAGCCCCATCCCTTCCTCCCCATACAAAGCTTATATAAAACCCTTTTCCAGGTCTCAGCCTTCCTTCCCTGGCACCAGTTACCTAGTTCAGAGCTGTGGGCAGATGGTTAAGATTGACGGGAACAAGCTTGTATTTTACTCCTGGGTTTACCTCCGTCCTCAGCTTCTCACACGTGCAGCAGTGACGAGTTTGCCTGCACATCTGGACGTTGCATCCCGAGACACTGGTACTGTGACGAGGAAGGGGATTGTCCTGATGGCTCTGATGAACCTGCCACTTGCGGTAAGAGAGCAAGCAAGCATGCCAAGTGTTACGATGCAGTGAGAGACACTCTTCCACTGCTTCCAAATACAGTCTAGGACCAGAGCTGCCTACTGTTTGTGCTCTCTGCTCCTGCTTTCAGCTAAGAGGGTGAAACCACTCAGCAGAGAGTCATTAAAAGCCTGTTAGTGTGAGGAGGGATCAGCATATAGAGGCTGCTGACTGATGTCCATGAAATGAAATTATGTTGGTGATGCACCTAATACTGTGCCTGGCTTGTAGAACTCAATTAATTTTAATTGTCTATGAATTGGGATTTCTGAATTTGGTTCAGTTGTAGCCCACAAGGCTGTGGAAGGATCCAAAAGAGACTAGAATGATCATATCCAAAGGGAAGGGGCATATTATGGCACACATCCTCCTCCTGGTCTGTGTGCCAGCTTATGAGGTAAGGTCCCATGGCCATCTGAGTTTCCCAAGAAGTTCTAGAGACCCTCTAGTTGTATTCCTGGAGGCACTTCTACCTATTTGCATTTGGAGGCTGCTGTTAACCTTTACAAGTTCTAACCTATATCCATGCACATTTTTAAAAATGTAATGGTCATTGCTTTTTTTTATCTGTTAATAAATCATTCTGCAGACTACGGCCATGGCCAGCTGCCTGGCTGTATAAAGTTTTATTAGAAGGCAGCGACATACTGTCTATGGCTGCTATGTGCTACCGTGGCAGTATCAGGTAGGTGTGACAGAGAACATATGTCCTATAAGCCTAAAATATTTGCTATCTGGTGAAGAGAAAGTTTGCTGATCTTTGTTACACAGTCTTCATACTTGTTTTTAATGGCAGTATAGTATTCCATCAAGTGGTTATATTTGAGTTCATTGCCTCAATTTTAACCACTTGAATGGTTTTTATTCCCCCGCTGTTATAATCCAATCATCTGCAATACAAGCATCATATATAAAACTTTTTATTTGAGGGGTGTTCTCTTAGTACCGTTTTTATAGTTTTATTGATGAATTCAGATTATTTTCTGTCCCTGTTCTCTCTCAGGAGAGTGGTATTTGAAGCTCTTTGCCAAGTTCTTTTTCCCCAACGCTGAAAGTTTTGTGGAAAGCAAAGAACATGTAGAGTTTTGAGGATCTTAATAGAAATACATAACTGTGAGTAGAAGAGTGTTAGAGAATGGTTTAGACATATGAATGATGGGTTCAAAAATATGAAGAGTAAGTATACTTTCTAAACTTCTCCATGGGAACCAGAGTCAGTAAGTGGTACCAACTGCCTGTCATATTTATGAATACATTCTCATAATAAGCAAGAGTATTACAAGTCAGAAGGTGTATACAAAACAAAATTTCCATTTTCTCAGCCTTCTCTAACCTCACTCCCCAGAGATAATCACTGCAAAGGGTGAGTGTGAATTCTCCTTACCTTTTGCTGTATATCCTCGTATATAATTTTAAAAACACAAATAGAGACCTTACTATGCATATTTTTCTGCAGCTTTGCCCCTTTCAGCTTAACTACATCTTGTCAGCATGTTAGTGAACACAGATCTACTCATTCCTTGGCACTGCTGAATGTTGATCTGAAGTGTGGGTGGCCCAAGTGTCTTTTCCTTTCCCTAAGTGATGGATGTTTAGATTGTTTTCATTTTTTTCACTATGAAAAATAATGCTGGGGTGAACACCTATTTATTTATTTATTTATTTGAACATCCTTTTAGAAACCTCTTTGTGCATATGTGAGAAGATTCTTCTGGGCTAGATTTCTAAAAGTGGTGTTTTTGTGTCAGAGCGGCTTTGTCTCTTTAAAAAGCTATGGTGATGTACACTCCTTTCTTAGCAGCTAATTTTCTTTTGCCTTAGGTTAATTTTGAGGGGACCCTGGGTATATGGGCATATGGCAAATAGTTGATAAGGACATGTGGGTTTATGATGAAAGAATTTGAGTCAGTGATGACTAATTTAAAACATAGGGTGTCTTATCAGTTAAAGTCAACAAATATTTATTGAGTGCTTATGTTCTAAGTACTTTGGGGCCCATGTTGAGCTTATATTCTGGTGAGGGGACACGGGCAGCAAAACAGATAAGTAAATTATATAGCATGGTGAAAGGTGGTTAAGTCCTATGGAGAAAAGCAAAAAAAGAGAACAGGAAAATGGAGATCAGGCATGCTGGGGGGATACTCTACATCAAATAAAATGTTCTGGGATGAAAAGTAGACTTAAAAATGAAATGTATGAAATAGTAGTTTATATCCTCTTGGGAAAAGACTGTTAATTCTCTATCATACCTGTAAGGAAATAGCAAATCACATCCTAGTAACAAAAAATAGTGAGGGTTTTGCACCATCAGTCAACTGCTTCAGTCTCAGCCCATTGGTCACTGGTACCGGTCTCCTTAGAGGACCCAGCAGAGCTGTACATAGCTAGGTAATGCTCTCCTTGGGTTTTTTAGACAGCCCATGTGATAGCAGGCTTCTTCTAAGATTTTTTAGACTGCAAACCACTTTTTTTTTTCCCAGAGACTGTTTTTTAATCTTTTCTCAGAGTACCTTGAAGCAACATGCTTAAGTAATGAGTTCAAGTGCGACAGTGGGAGGTGCATTCGAAGTGAATGGATCTGTGATGGGGATAATGACTGCGGGGACATGAGTGACGAGGATGAAAGGCACCATTGTGGTAAGAGAAACCATTTGTTCCTCTGCGGAGTTACCTTCTAACTCTGGGAGTTAAAAACCAGGAGATTGGTTTTTGTGTCTTTGGAGAGTATGACTGTCTGGTAGATTCCTCTTTAATTGAGTGCATGCTGATAAATTGTTACCTTTATTTTTCCACTCCGAAATTGTTTGAGAGCATCTACTTAAATGCCTTAAAATGATAGAAAATGATTTTAATGTTTATTGTCTTTCTCTTGCATTTAGCTAAAGGGAATAATGTCCTACACTTCTGGAGCAGATAAAGAGAACTGAATTGGCCAATCTTACTAGCAGCCTTAAACAATGTAGCAATTAACTGTGCCTCAAGTTTCATCTATTACCTTGTTGCTATTATTTTGAGGAGTGGGTAGTGGGAGGGTTATTTCTTTTGTGTAATTTGTGGAACAGACCATGGAACACCATGTTCCATTTAACTAAGATGTCTTAGAAGAGTATCTTTTCATGATGAGCAATAAAAACAATGGCTCCCTGATGTTTGCATTTCATTGCAACCCCATATCTCATTGACTTTGGTGGCTGTCTATAGCTCCACTTGTACTCCATCCATCGAAATGGGCAGTTGGCAGCTGCACAAACATAGACCATAGCATGTACTTCTCCCACGTCCCCTCACCAAGACATCCCTTCTTTTTCTCCTATTCATTCACAGTGAGAGTGGATAAAATGCCAGTTCTTTTATTCTGCAGGCATTAATGATTATGCGTTAGCATCTCTTCTCTTTCCTAACTGTGTCAGGATTTCTGACAAGTCTTGGGGATATATTCTGTTCCTATATATGCTTATTCTACTTGGGTGGTAGCTGTAATATAGTTGAAAAAGCCTAAATTTGGAGAAAAAACCCCTATGTTTAAAGCAATAGGTCTTTAGAAAGTTCTCTGACTTGGAGTCATCTAGTTTGAGCTCCAATTTTTATCTGTAGAACTGGCATAAAAATACCTATCTCATACTATGTTTTTGTGAGTACACTTTATAAACCAAATATTTTTTACCAAGTATGAGGCATTTTTGGTACACAAATAACAAAATGGGAGTAGGTTTCTGAAGCTCTAAGGGAAAAGTATTATTTTACATTAATTTTACGGTAAATTAAATGAGGTGTTTTATTATGTTTATTTCTTCTGAAAAAAAAAATCCAAGGTCTAGAGCAATTAAAATGGAATTTTGAAGGTATTTTTTTTATTATACTCTGCTACATGAAAGCGATGTGACTTGTCCACCTGTTGTACTCTACTCTCCTTTCATCCCTCTCACTAGTAAGTAACGTAAAGCAAGGGCAATGGTTCAGAATGAATTTGACTACTGGAATGAGCTTTCATGTGGTTTCTGTTTCTTGTGTGCTTTGGTTTCAGACAGCCACAACTGCTCAAGTTCTGAGTTTCTCTGTGCAAATAATGTGCCTCCATCCAGGAAGTGCATTCCCCAGTCTTGGGTCTGTGATGGTGATGCGGATTGTACGGATGGCTATGATGAGCAACAGAATTGCACCAGGAGATCTTGCTCTGGCAGTGATTTCACCTGTAGTAATGGATTGTGTGTTCCACACTCATACAGGTGAATTGGGGCTTCAGATTTTCCAGTAACCTCAAATATACAGAGGGGCAGGGCTAACATCCATTAGGCATGGTGGCCACAATGCCTAAGATATGGTACTTTTAGTGGCCCATGAAAATGTTTGGATTCCTTTTAAAATCAAAAGAAAAAAAAGAAAGTTTAGATCAAAGAGAGTATTCTAATATCTAAGATTAATATATCTGCCTTTATCCTAATGGGATCATTAAATACAATTTTTAATATGCTCCTGGAGGAGGGAACCCATGACGGTAAAAAGGTTTATGGCTCATGAAAGGCGCAATGTAACCTTGGCACGAGGGCCAAGGAAATAAATGAGGTAGGCTTGATATAAGAAAACTCTTTCTTAAAGCAGGTGAAATCTTGGTTTTCCACTTGGAGTAGAGGCAAGGGTACTTCTCTTTGCTGTAAGAAAAAGAACAGTAGAGGCATGAGCATGAACAGAGCTTGGCACTTAGGCTTAGAGCCACTGAGACATTGGGGAGAAGCAGGTGAGGTGAGCTGAGAGTGCATGTTCTAGCTAAGAGATAAGAATGCTGTTCTGCTGTGCACAGGAGTGCTGTTTTTTTTTTTTTTTAAGATTTTTATTTGTTTGTTTGACAGAGATCACAAGTAGGCAGATTGACAGAGAGAGAGGGAGGGAAGCAGGCTTCCTGCTGAGCAGAGAGCCTGATGCAGGGCTCGATCCCAGGACCCTGGGATTATGACCTGAGCCGAAGGCCGAGGCTTTAACCCACTGAGCCACCAAGACTCCCCATGCTGTTCTATTTTGAGAGAAGTGGAAATCTGGATTTTCATATTAAATGCTCTGATTTTATTTATTTTTAATTTTTTTGAGGGGGGTGGAGGAGGGGAAGAGGAAAGGGCAGAGGGAGAGGGAGAGAGAGAATCTTAAGCAGGCTCCATGCTCCGCACAGAGCCTGATGCAGGACTCAATCTCACAACCCGGAGATCATGACCTGAGCTGAAATCGAGAGTCGCGGGTACTTAACCAACTGAACCACCCAGGTGCCCCTAAATTCCCTGATTTTAAATGCTGGAAGCAAAATGTAAAATTCTAAGAACACTGCGGGTCAGATAGATCCTTGTGCACAGCCTACCAGTTTTGGGGACCCCTCCTGTAATATTCTGTTGCTTGATTTCTTATTGTTTTCTCCAAATGGGCCATTCCAAAGGTTTATCCTTTTTTTTTTTTTTTTGGGGGTGGCCCACCTTCTCACTGTCCCCACTTTGCAAATTTTGGGGTATGTAGGGAAACTGAGAAGAAAAATGATATGTTTCCTTCAATCCTGATGGATTAGGGGCATAGTAAGAACACTAACAAAAGGAGGGGAGCCCAGGAGGGAGTTTGCTCCAGGTAGACAGGGAGTTTGATATGGTGGGATTTGCTGAGGTGAAAATGTGTATGAGGCACTTGGACACATAGAACTGGAGCTGAGAAGAGCACATGCCAAGGACTGTGAAAGGACACACATGTATACTGAGAGCAAGAAGAACTGTCGGCTTATCGCGCCTGCTAAGAAGGACATGGAAAAGCTATAGGAAGCAGGCTCGAACTCAGAGCAGCTGAGCTTCTCAGACCCTTGACTGAGGGCCAGGCAGCCTCTCCACAGGTCCTGAGGGCTGGAATCTGGTTGGTGCAGAGCTGTGTGTTCTTGGTGGTACTCCTGAGGAAGCCAGAGAAGGGTATGTCATGATCTGTGAATGCTGCAGAAGGCACAGGGACTTGGCATTAGGACCAAAAATGGTAGTGAGGAAGCCGAAGAAGACACTGCTGTTGGTGGTAGTATTAGCACCCCGAAGTCACTCAGGAGACAGATTTTGTAGTGAAATTGTATTTCACTCTGCTTTGTCTGTATTTAACTGATGGGGATGTGTTCTGTAGATCAATTTTTTCAGAAGGGAAAGTGAATAAATCCTTACCTGTATTTTCTCCCTCCTTGCTCAAGAGTTCTAGCATGCTCTACTGTGATTTGTTCTGAATTCAGTAAATATTCAGTACCATCAGTCTGAGATATATTCTGGAAACCTAGCCTTATAGTCTACAGAAGAGATTTCTTTTTTTTTTTTTTTTTTTAAACATTTTATTCATTTGACAGAATACAAGTAGGCAGAGAGGCAGGCAGAGAGAGAGGAAGGGAAGCAGGCTCCCCACTGAGCAGAGAGCCCGATGCGGGGCTTGATCCCAGGACCCTGGGATCATGACCCGAGCTGAAGGCAGAGGCTTCAACCCACTGAGCCACCCAGGCGCCCCAACAGAAGAGATTTCTATCAGTTCTTAATTTTTATCAGATTCTAGATTATGTCTACTTCCTTTCTGAGCTCTTTCTTCACATTTCCATGATCAGTGTGATCTTGTAGCTGTCCTACCAAACCTTCACTGATTCTTTCTTTTCTTTTCTTTGTTACTTGTTTCCTCTTTCCCACACTCCCTCCCACCTTCCTTCCCCTTTCTCTCATCCTGGTTTTTTGTTCTGTTTTGGCTGAGCTTTCAGAACTGCTTTAGCCAAGGGCCATGGCAGAACAGAAAAAATACTGCTTCTCTGTAAACCTGAGCTACAGGCTCTAAAATAACTCCAGATTCTGTTTGCTTGGGGTACCAGTAGCCACTAATAAGAGACCTGTTAATGTGCACTTCTGCTTGCTTGGCACAATGTGTTTCCCCCCATTTGAGAGATGGTAAAGGGCATCATTTTTCCTATTGACTCTTTTCTTCCGAGCTCATTACTGATGCTGCCGAGGAATCTGCATAAGACTGAGTTGTGAGCCGTTTGCTGGAATAGTAATGTTCAGTTATGTCCAAAAACCTTTGATTTGCTTTTCGAACTGACTTTTTTTTTTTTTTCCTTCCTTTTGAGTTGGATCTAAGCTAGAGGAAAGAAAGCGTTTGTGTTTCAGATCATTTGGAAATGAGTTAAGCAGCTCCTGGGAGAACAAATGGGGCTGCACCAGCTTCCTCTGATCACAACTTTCTTTACTATTACACGCACACATTTTGTTATAAGTCACTTAGCCAGTGCCCTAGGTTTATGGATGGTATTGCTCGTTAGTGACCTGACCATAGATCAGTTATAAAACTGACCACATTCAGCTTTGGTACCTTGACATCTTCTAATGCTGAGCCTCTAGCCCCTATGCCCTCCATGGTAAATCCTTTTATGAATTGTCAAGCATGAGCTTTGCCAGTCCCTATCCAAGGTGCCTTTATACTTAATTCCTTACTAGTGAATTCCATGATTCCTTTATGCTTATGTTTTATTACGGTCAGCAGGAACCCCTTCAGTAATCATAACTTGCCAGGGATTTTGGAATAATGTAGAAAAGAAATAGCAGTCTGGCTTACATAACTTCAGGGAACCTTACTGTCCTTGTGATGCCTGGGAATATTAGGTCCCCAAATAGGACTAGGAAGTGCCTTGTTCCTTTGCCCACAGCCATGCTGTTCTACTGGTTCTCCCTTTTTCCCAGCACCATGACTACTCACGGCTCATGGTGGGTGGCAGGGTATTACGATTAAAGATGGAAGGAACAGGACAATGCAAACGTTACTCTGATCGGAAGATACATACATGTTCTTGCAGGACACATAATGATCTTACCATGTATAATACATGTTCATTTGGGTGTGGGCTGCCTAGGAATTTGCCTGTGCCCATAAGTCACCTCATTGTCTCATGAACAGATCTGATGAACACCAGAACTATGAGTTTGTTTAATTTGTCGACTGCTTAAAAATGAATGCAGTTATTTTTAATATCTCTAGATCGCCATTTCTAATGGTAGCCACCAGCACCTGGGGAGATTGTATGGAATGCTAAATATTAGATTATTCTAGAGCTGGAGATTGGTGGGGTGGATAGCGATTCCAGGAGAGGGGGAACTAAGGACATGGGTGACCTTGTGACTAAAATGGTCGGCCTGACATTCAGGTAGACAGAGGAGGAAGCAAAGCCCTGAGCGTGTGATAGTTGGGACTTGTCAGCCTCTTCAGGAGTGGTACTGGTCTCATCACACAGGTGTGACTGGCGCAATGACTGTGGGGACTACAGCGACGAGAGGGACTGCTCCTACCCCACCTGCAACAAGAACCAGTTCACCTGTCAGAACGGGCTGTGCATTTATGAGCAGTATAAGTGTGATGGGGAAAACGACTGTGGAGATGGGTCTGACGAGCTGGAGCACCTGTGCCACACCCCAGAGACCACGTGCCCCCCTCATCAGTTCAAGTGTGACAATGGGAACTGCATCGATATGGTGAAAATCTGCAACCACCTAGATGACTGTTTGGACAACAGTGATGAGAAAGGATGTGGTGAGTATAACAGAGGATTTGGGAAAAGGAAAACCGGGGGACTGAATGTGGTTTCTCAACACTTTGTGACTCACCAGGACTTTCCAGTTGTCCTCTAAGTAGACTGTTAACCAGAAAATTACTATTGCTTGTCTTTCTTCTTTCTATCAAAAGGCAAGCATTTCTTAGTATATGAGGTTAGTACACAAATATTTTTAGGCTAACTCATCAGTTAGGCAGTCATTACAGAAAATAGAAGATGAGCAGATTCATACCATTAGTAGCTAACACCATTGTTAAGCAGGACAAACACTTTGAACCCTTGAAACGACTTGTCTGAGCGTTCCCTCTGCTAGGATTCCTTCCCCTGTTCATTTTCATCTTCAGGTGATGGGAGAGTTTTAAAACTCCCTCTAACTCCAACCTTCATGGGTAAACCAGTTGGGCATTTATAAAATATAATTACTAGGAACATACTCTCTTCCCTGTGTCGATAGTTTCTGGGTGAGCTTGGCCATGTGTCACAGGACCAGCCAGAAGGACACCCAGTGGACTGTGTGGCTCATCCTGTCTTGTGAGAGCCAAATGTATGCATCTCTTCCCAGCTCCGTGTCCAGTGAGGTCACCCTGGTAACCTGAAATTGGCCATGGTATTAAGAGTCACACGGCCAAAATGGAAGATGCTACAAATTAGAGCATCTCCCCACCCCCGAGATCTGTTTTACCAGCACACCACTGGCCAGGCTCTTTTCTTTAGCTCTACTTTCTTCTCTCTCCTGCCATGTTACTTTTTAATTACTGGTTACAAGGAGATTGGCAGGTATAGGATTAGAAGTCAGACATAAGTTTGTTCATTATATTAGTTGTTAAAACCACTGGTGAAGGATTAAGTTGGGGAGGAAGTTGAGAAATAGGGAATTTTGAGTAACTCTGGCCTTTAGAAAACCCTTATTGTCTGTCCTCTTTTAGCATGTTTCATTAAGAAATAGGCTGTCCAGTGGGAAGCTTGACTTTGGACCACTCTGATGGGTATATTGTGGACATTTTAGCATCTCTAATACCTGTCTTTTACTTACAGGCGTTAACGAGTGCAGTGACCCTTGGCTCAGTGGCTGTGACCAAAACTGCACGGACACCCTCACCAGTTTCTATTGTTCTTGTCGTCCTGGTTACAAGCTTCTGTCTGACAAACAGAGTTGTGATGATATTGATGAATGCAAGGAGACGCCCTTTGTCTGTAGTCAGATGTGTGAGAATGTAATGGGCTCCTACATATGTAAGTGTGCCCCAGGCTACATCCGAGAACCAGACGGAAAGAGCTGTCGGCAGAACAGTAACATCGAGCCCTATCTCATTTTTAGCAACCGTTACTATTTGAGAAATCTCACTACAGATGGCCATTTTTACTCCCTCATTTTGCAAGGACTGGGCAATGCTGTGGCCCTCGATTTTGACCGAGTAGAAAAGAGATTGTATTGGATTGATACAGAGAATAAAGTCATTGAGAGAATGTTTCTGAATAAGACAAACCGGGAGACAGTCATAAATCACAGACTACCAGCTGCAGAAAGTCTGGCTGTAGACTGGGTGGCCAGGTAAGAAAACACTGAGGAGCTCTCCAAAAGTTGAAATGGTTTTTAAAAGAATATTATAACCATGTTTTTATCTTAATAGAGAATCGAATCTAAGCTTGTGGCCATAATTCAGAGTTCCTTCGTGCAGTCTCAGTAATTCACTTAGACAAGTCTGTTTCCTTGGCTCTACCATTTAAACTGTGGTTCACAACACTTAATTCCTCTCCCTTCCCCGTCCCTGCTCCTCTAAGCCCTTACATTGCCTGGGAAGGATGCTTATGCTGCATTAAGAAAGTAAAGCCAGAATCCTTGTGTGAGGTGTGGCCCCAGAATTCCCTATGTGACAACCCCTTTAAAGTGGGAATTGGAGCTCACTCTTGAATCTTCTGTTGCCTCTTTGCAGGGACCTCAATTTCCTGTTTCCCCCCATTGTTTTCTTGGGGGAAGTGCCTTCTAACAGTTGTCTTTGGGATTCCACTGTAGCTTGGATAGGAAATTCAGTGGCTAACTATATACTGTTTCCCCAGCAAAACATCTGTCATGGTAACTCCTGGCTTTCCATTTCAGAAAGCTCTACTGGGTGGATGCCTACCTGAATTGCCTGTCTGTCTCTGACCTTGATGGTCGATACCGCCGCAAGTTGGCTGAGCACTGTGTGGATGACAACAATACCTTCTGCTTTGATCATCCCAGAGGAATTACCCTTCACCCGCGATATGGGTATTGTCTCCCTGTAATCCTGGGCTCTTCTCTCATGCCCATATTCTGCCTCTGTCACCAAAAAGGCTGTTCACATAGTTATCTCAAGGCCAGTATCTTGCTGGGATTTGTCTTCTGCTTTTCCTAACTGGTAAATGGTTTAGTTGTAATGGGTAGAAGCATGGCATCCTCAAATGATATTCATCAGCTCTTCTGTTTTCTTTGCCATGACACACCATTTCACTTTTCAGGTCAACTATTTTGGCTGCATGCAGAGAAATTGTAGTTAAAAACAAAAAAACAAGAACAACCCACCTTTACTGGACTCTACATGTCAAATCCACTGAAATGTCCAGTTAATCATGTTCATTCTTGAGCATTTTCTATACATCATCCCCTTTTAGATTATTTTCTGTCATTTTTTTCATTTTTTTTCCTTTCTGAGAGAGTCTGTAGAATATAAATTCTATTTCTCTGATTGGAGAAGAGCTATGTCTTTTGGCTACTGATTTTTTTAACTTCAGGGACTGACCCTTTGTGTTTCCTCCAATAGGCATGTCTACTGGGCAGACTGGGCTAACCGAGCATACATTGGGAGAGTAGGCATGGATGGAACGAATAAGTCTGTGATTATCTCTACCAAGATAGAGTGGCCCAATGGCATCACCATTGATTACACCAATGATCTACTCTACTGGGCAGATGCCCACCTGGGTTACATTGAGTACGTAAATAGAACAGGATAAAGTGAACCAAGCAACTACTTATTCCAAATACTAGGACTTGTATTGCTAATGTGTTATTCCCAGGTAGATTCTAACTGGTCTGTGTGTTAGAAGTCACTCTGAAGTCCTTTTTAACTAAAACTGCCTTTAGGAAATTTGCTGAGCTCTGTGGTTATAGGATAGTAGAAAGAGTATGAACGTTGAAGCAAGATTCATCAGGTTTTTGTCCTGGTGCTTTTACTTCTTTTTTATTATTTTCCTGTAGAGAATAGAGGTAGTAATCTCTCTCCTATTGTAGACAGCTTAGTCCTCAACTCATCTTAATTCCCTTGTCCCCTTTTTAAACTGTTCATTTCTAAAATTGAGATATAATTGTCCTGTAACATGAACATGAAGGTCTTAAAGTTTTCCTCTGGCTTCTATAAGTTCCCATAAATTGTCATATTTTGGACAGTATTTTTAATATTTTATGGCTAACATCAAATTTCTTAGCTGCTAGCTCTCCACTTCCTTTTTGGGTTTTAGGGTCTAGTCTAAAATTGTAAAATATTAAAATATCAGTATTTTGACATAGACTCATAGAATGAGTGGGATATTGGAATTGGAAGGACTGGAAATCTGGCCGTGGATGCTCTGTGATACCTTTAAATCAGAAAACCTCCTCTGGAATTTTAATTGTCTGGAAAAGTATTCAGCAATAGAGCCTAGGGCATGATTAATAATAAATGTGCTGCCACGGTAAGCAGAGTTAAGCCTGCAGGCCTCTACTCTGAGTTGGCATATTCCTCGCCTGTGACACCAAGAATCTAGGTATTTCCTAAGAACAGCTTCTCCTCAGAAATATTCATGAAAAGGCAAAATTCCAGCTTTGTATTGCCCTCCTCTAATTTCTTCCAGTGACTTAGGAAACAAAAATGGTGTCCCAGGGATGTTGAATGGAGAACATTAATGGGAGAGGTTATAAGCCTCTAAGAGCTGAACCAGCCGTATCTCCAGGAAAGCAGCTGTGGTTAGGAATTAGAGATTGTTGAACAACTGTGGCTATTGCTATTCTTTGAGCATGGCTTTTTCAATTTTTGCATCTTTCGTTTAGTCCAAAATATGTTTTAAGCTTAGCTTTTGTTTTAATTAGAGTTTAGGAGTTTGGGGGAGGATCTGGGCTGTAGGTACCCTGAGAAGGTAGAATTTTATTGATTTGTCAGTGCATCTGTCCTTAATGTCATTGGAAGAAAGATTAGCTTGACTGAGAGACTCTTCCTTCTACCCCAGGTACTCTGATTTGGAGGGCCGTCATCGGCACACGGTATACGACAGAATGCTGCCTCACCCCTTTGCTATTACCATTTTTGAAGACACTATTTATTGGACGGATTGGAATACAAGGACAGTTGAAAAGGGAAACAAATATGATGGATCAGATAGGGTTGTGCTGGTGAACACAACACATAAACCATTTGACATCCACGTATATCATCCATACAGGCAGCCAGTTGGTGAGTGTGTGGTTCAGAAGTTTGGCCCAGTTGCTTTAGGTGCTCCGCATGCCATTCTTATTTCTTTAAGAGTAAACATCATGATTTATAAAGAGAATGATGTTAACGTGGTAATGTTTTCTACGAAACATATGGGAAAACCTGCTTATAACTTTTTTCCCCCCTTAATACCTGTTTTACTCTTAAAGATCAATCTGGGTTTTCATTTTTGATAAGAATTAACACTTGTTTTGTTTCCCTATTTTCTGAGATGAAGTGACTGAAGTATTTTAAAGTGGGCCAAACCAGTCAGAATGGCTAAAATAAAACCTGTAGAAACAACAAGTGTTGGCGAGGGTGTGGAGAAAGGGGAACCCTCTTACACTGTTGGTGGGAATGCAAACTGGTATAGCCATGTGAAAAACACGATGGAGGTTCCTCAGAAACTTAAAAATAGAACTACGCTATGACCCAGCAATTGCATTACTAGGTATTTATCCAAAGGACACAAACAGTGATTCAAAGTGGCACCTGAACCCCCATGTTTATAGAAGCAATGTCCACCATAGCCGAACTACGGAAAAAGCCCAGATGTTCATTGACAGATGAATGGATAAAGATGTATATATACACAACGGAATGTTACTCAGCCATCAAAAAGAAAGAAACTTTGCCATTTGCAAAGATGTAGATAGAACCACAGGGTATTATGCTAAGCAAAATAAATCAGAGAAAGACAAATATCATGTGATTTCACTCATGTGGAATTTGAGATACAGATGAACAAAGGGGAAGGGTTGGAAAAAATAAGATGAAATCAGAGAGAGAGAGACAAACCATAAGAGATGCTGAACGCTAGGAAACACACTGAGGGTTCCTGAAGGGGGGTGGGTAATCAAAGCATGGTACTGGAGTAAGAATAGACTTAAGATTATTTGGAGAAAGTAAGAGTCCAGAATTCGATCCACACATACATGTCAAGTGATTTTTGACGAGCTTGCATTGTACATCTTCCCTGTCCACAACTTCTCACTGCTCCTGGCAACCACTGGTCTGATTCCTATTGCTACGAATGAGATCTGCCTGTTTAGATCTGCTTGTAAATGGACTCAAAGCACAAGGATTTCATAACCAGAAAGTCAAGGGAATAGTTTGATTCGGGCAGTGTTCAAATAACTCGATTAGGCATTAATCGATCCCTTGGTTCCACCTCCTAGTTGACTTCACTCACAGCATATATTTTTAAGTGGTGGCAAATATGGCCAGCAGACACTCCTGTACTATGTTCTTTCTTTTTTTAAGATTTTATTGATCAATTTGTGAGAGAGAGAGAGAGTGCACAGAGGGAGAGTGGGAGGGAGAAGTAGACTCCCTGCTGAGCAGGGAGCCCGATGGGGGGCTCCATCCCAGCACCCTGGGATCATGACCTGAGCTGAAGGCAGACACTTAACAACTGAGCCACCCAGGCGCCCTGAAATAAATAAAATCTTTTTAAAAAATACCATGACATTCCACTCCTAAATATTTAAGATAACACCCTTGAAAAATAAGGACATTTCCTATGTAACTGCAATAAATTATAACAAGAGATCAATAGTCATTCCCTAATACCAAGATCAATCCATTAAAATGATTGATTTAAAAGAAATGTTTAAAAGAAAATGACAGTAATTACAGAACACATAATTTAGTAAATTTCTATTTGAGTATTAAATTTTGTGTGTTAAACATATGTTATGCTTGTCTTCTGGAAGGTAATAATGTTAAGAGCAACACAGTGTCTCATATTTTTTTTCTTGTGAACTTATATTCCTCATCATGTAGTTAAAGCCATTTCATGATTTATAGATAATCTAGCAAAAGTTTGGAATTTACTTTGGAGATAGAATGGATTTTGTTGGCCTCCTTTGTTGTGGTGTTTTGTTAAAAACGGGATAAACTTGGAAGTAAGAAAAAATGAGAATTGGCAAAATAAAAGATACTCAGGGTCCTCCCCCCACCCCCGCCGGAAGTTAATGTTCTTGATACTATTTTAGTGAAAATTCAAATTAGGAGCACGTGGCTGGTTCAGTTGGTAGAGCATGTGATTCTTGATCTGGGGTCATGAGTTTGAGCCCCACGTTGGGTGTAGTGTTTACTTAATTAAAAAATATATATACACACATATATGTGTATCTATCTATATCCGTCTATAAAAAAGTTCAAATTAATTTCCATCTACAAGTGGTGACCCAGAAAATTAGTAAAGATGCCACACAGTTTACCTGTCCATCTCATTCTTGGCCATACTTCTGTTGCCCATATTCTTAGAATGAGAGAATATAGCATCTGCTAGAAATTAAAACTATTAGGTCTAGGCACATGAATGTAAGCTAAGTTTCCCATCCACTCTCCAAAGACGTTGAGAAACACATCTTTTCTAGCCCAGAACACCAGTGGGTATGCCTCACTTCTGGTCGCACATAGATCCATTTTCTCAAAGCACAGCATTGCTTACACTTCTGCTATCTGTCCCATTTATGAATTTTGCAAAAAAGCATGAAACTTGGGTATGATTTTTCTTACTGAGCGATGACTAGTTTGATGAGGTGGGCAATCAATTCACGTGTGTTCGATATTCTAAGTGAACTAACGTATATTTTCCTTCTACTAGTGAGCAATCCCTGTGGTACCAACAATGGTGGCTGTTCTCATCTCTGCCTCATCAGAGCAGGAGGAAATGGATTCACCTGTGAGTGTCCAGATGACTTCCAAACCCTTCGTTTGGGTGACATCAATGTCTGCCTGCCCAGGTGCTCCAGCACCCAGTTCCTGTGTGCCAACAGTGAAAAGTAAGGCTTCCCTCGGCCCACTGCCTCTCCATCCCCTTGAATGGACACACATAGAACTTTGAGGGTCCAGGGGATGGGAGTTTCCTAATGAATTAAGATTTGGGATAGTTAATGTGGTTCATTTGGAATGCACCAAGACTCTCAGTCTCCAATCTCAGATAATTTCTTTCATGAATAGAAGCAGTTTGTTTAAAAAAAAAAAAAATGTATGCAAGTATTTCTCTGTAGAGAGGGAGCTAGAAACTATGTGTTTTTTTTTTTTTTTAATTTCTAATAAATTGTCTTAGGTGTCAGGACCAAGATTGTATATGTGTACACTGAAAAATGGCCCTCAAGAGTGGTAGAATTTCCGATAAAGGGTCAGTATCCAAAATATCCAAACTTATAAAACTCAACACCCAAGAAACAAATAATCCAGTTAAGCAATGGGGAGAAGACATGAACAGACATTTTTTCCCAAAGGATACATCCAAATGGCCAATAGACATATGAGAAGATGCCCAGTACCACACATTGTCAGGGAAATTGAAACCAAAACATAATGAGATCCCACTTCACACCTGTCAGAATAGCTAAAATTAACAATACAGGAAATAACAGGTGTTGGCGAGGATGTGGAGGAAGGGGAACCCTCCTACACCATTGGTGGCAATACGAGCTGGTGCAGCCACTCTGGAAAACAGGATGGAGGCTTCTCACAAAGTTAAGAGCTACCCTATGACCCAGCAATTGCATTGCTAGGTGTTTACCAAAAAGATACAAAAATACTGATTTGAAGGAACATGCACCGTGAAGTTAAAGCAGCCTCATCAAGAACAGCTAAATTATAGACTGAGGAATGGATAAAGAAAGATGTGGTATGTATATGAGAGAGTATTACTCAGCCATCAACAAGAATCAAATGTTGTCATTTGCAGTGATGTAGATAGAGTTAGACTGTATTATGCTAAGCAAAATAAATCTGTCAGAGAAAGACAAATACCATATGATCTCACTCATCTATGGAATTTAAGAAACAAAACAGGTGAACATAGGGGAAGGGAGAAAAAAGAAAGGGAAGCAAAGCCTTCAAGAAACAAAACTGAGGATTATAGAGGAAGGAAGGGAAAAAACAAGATGAAGTCAGAGAGGGAGACAAACCATAAGAGACTCTTAATCATAGGAAACAAATGGAAGGTTGCCTGGAGGGGAGAGGGTTAGGAGATGGGGTAACTTGGTGATGGACATTAAGGAGGGTACGTGATGTAATGAGCACTGGGTGTTTTATAAGACTGATGAATCACTGAACTCTACCTCTGAAACTAATAATACACCGTATGTTAATTAACTGTATTTTTAAAAAGACTTAACTGTAGAGAACAAACTGAGGGTTTCTAGAGGGATGGTCGGTGGGGGTGGGCTAAATGAATGATGGGGATTAAGGAGGACACTTGTGCTGAGCATTGAGTATTATGTGTAAGTGATGAATCACTAAATGCTACTCCCGAAACTTAGAGTACACTATACATTAACTAAATAGAATTTAAATAAAAATCTGAAAAAAAATAAGTGGTAGAATTTTTCTGTCTTTCACACTCATACACTGGCCTAGCTTCTTAGTTACTATGCCAGAGGATCCAGGATTACACATTTACATCCACTTTTGATTATTTGTATCTGTTATAAAACATGGTCACAGATTATTTCCCTAACTGTGGCCATAGACCATTGGTGACTGGAGGTACGGAGTCAGAGGGAGGAGACATTAATGCAAACCATTGCATTTAAGATCAAATGGCAGATTGTTTTGATGATTAAATAAAATATCTTAGATTAAGAATCTAGCATTTATCGATCTTGACCCAGGCTGTCAATAAATGTAAGTGCCTTCTGCCTTCCCAACCAATACCCACTAGTCTGTTATGTCACCCCAGCCAACAGTCCCAACCAGTTCCTGCTACCAGAACCATAGCCCTACATACACACTCCACTGTGTTCTGTGGCAGGAATGTAATCATTAGGTCAGAGCATTTTCTCAGCATGAATTTGGGTCTTAACAAACCTGGTCCATCTCATCTAGTAATGTTTTCTCTGAAAATACACCACAGTAAAGGAACTCATGCATGTTATTACCTGGAATTCAGTTTTGATGTCTTCTCTCCAGGTAGCCTCTACCCCCTGTGCTTTGCTAAGAGAAGCGCTGTATTTTCTCTGTGCAGGTGTATTCCTATTTGGTGGAAATGCGACGGGCAGAGAGACTGCTCGGACGGCTCTGACGAGCCGGTGCTTTGCCCACAGCGCTACTGCCGGCTAGGACAATTCCAGTGCAAGGATGGCAACTGCACCAGCTCGCATTTCCTGTGCAATGCTCACCAAGATTGCCCTGATGGCTCGGACGAGGACCAGATTCTCTGTGGTGTGTTCAGTTACCATTTTTGGCCCACTTCTGTAGTAGATTGTGAACAGTCATGATTCTGTGGGGATTTTCTGCATGTCCTAACCCCCAGACCAGTCCAGAGTCCTAGGAAAAAAGTCAAGAGCCCATCCTATATTTTTATAAGGTTCTTTAAGATAGACTAGGGTCTCTGCAAGGCAGAAGTTGAGGTAGACAGTGTGTTGTCTTTGGTGGTTTGCTGCCATGTGCTGTGCATGGAATCCTCCTCGAGAGTGAACACTGAGGGCCAAAGGAGGGCTTCCTACTCTCATTTTAAGGATGCTTATGTGATATTTGTTAGTGTTTCCATTTTTAAAAAGCAAAGGGGAAAAAACCCTCCAAACTGAAAACAACACATTGACAATAGCAGCAAACACAAAGTTTGAGAAATACTGTCCATTAGGAAAACAGGGATGGGAGAAGGTGGCCATCAGAATTCAGTAGGCCATCAGTGGCCCTGTCTTTAACCCCTAATTCTGCATGCAAGAGAAAGATATTTAAGAATTTAGGAGACAGTAATAGTCAAGTGAATAACTGATCTTGTCGTGGTATTGGCTGATAATAAGTGCGTTAGGACAGAAGTCCTCTAAAAAAGAAGTTAGGATGAAGCTCTCAAAGATCCCTCCATGTAAATCAGGAGTGTCTGTCCCTAACACCTCGCAACCAAATGCCCCTCCCTGCAGAGCATCACCAGTGCCAGTCCAACGAATGGCAGTGTGCCAACAAACGGTGCATCCCTGAAGCCTGGCGGTGTGACTCGGAGAACGACTGCGGGGATAACTCAGACGAAGATGTCTACAACTGTGCCAGTAGGATCTGCCAGCCGGGCTACTTCAAGTGTGCTAATAGCCACTGCATCCCTCAGGACTGGAAGTGTGATGTGGACAATGACTGTGGCGACTACTCGGATGAGCCCATGCCCGAATGCTGTGAGTTCCTGCGGGAGGGACATGTGGGAGCACGGACGGGAAAGCAGGAGGACCCGTGTGGATTGCGAGATGACAGGGAAGCCCTTACTTCAGTCCTGTGGCACCCTCTGTCTTGGCTCTCCCTGCTAATTCTGGCACTACAGAGCAAAGTATAGCTGTATGGTTGGCAGGTGGAACCAGACCTTGTTCTAAAAGGGGCTCATTCCTCCTCTCTGTACTCTGGATATCTTAACTCTCCAAAATACCATCACAAGAACTTCCATTTGTGTATGTCTATCACTTTCTCATTTGAGCCTCAGTGAAACACTGCACAGTAGGGCTGGGCATTTACCAATTCCCATTTTCCAGGTAAGGAAACTGAGGCTCACCTTAAGTAGTTGGTCACATTTCTGTTGAGTGGTGCTTTTTTTGCTCCAAGCCCAGGCCTTCCCCTCCTCCACCCCCTCTCCCCTCTGTAGTTAATCCTGTAACACAAATGAATGATACTTTGACAGGGAGGAAACTTAAGATGCTTTCTGCTCTGGGTAAATAGATCACGCCTAAAACAACACACGTGGCCAGAATCAATCCAGTTGGTTAACATGGTAATTGTTTCTCCTCAGCACCAGGTCCTTCATATGACAATGGGAAGGTGTCTTTTGGACTGAGCATTCAGTTCCGACTTTGCTTTTTCCTGTCTTTTCAGTGAGCCATCGCTGTGACAACCATACAGAATTCAGCTGCAGAACCAACTACCGCTGCATCCCACAGTGGGCTGTGTGTAACGGTTTCGACGACTGCAGGGACAACAGCGATGAGCAAGGCTGTGGTAGGAGGGGCTGCAGGGGTGTGGGGGAGGGGTAAGAGCACGGAAGTGTCAGGTGCCCTCTGGGTGAGGAGAGTGCCTTTCCCATGTCCTTGCTTCTCTGATTACCTCTGAAAAAGCATCATCTATTGATCTTTCTAGTAACACGTTACATTTTTTTTTAGCATTTAGCGGACTTTTGGGGAGTTTAATTTATATCCTCTTAAATGAAATCCCATCCCGAGGAATGTTGGAATTGGGGAAGACGTTATTAAGATATTAGGAACTTACGTAATTTCTCCTAAATGTGGAATCATTATTTGCACTTGACAAGTTTAAATTGTCTAATTTTATAGATTTATTGAAATTGATGGAAGGGGGTAGAGAAAAGATTTGATACCTATCTCTAAAAAGAATAATTCAAAATCAGAACATTTCTTATTTGGAGATTTTCATATTCCGAATGTCTCTCTGTCCGTATCTTCTACAAGAAAGCTGTAAGTCACATTGGCAACATGGAAAGAACTTAGGGACAAAAGGCCAAATGAATTAATAGAATCTGTCAAGATTAGCCATACACTTTAACTGGAAACCTGAATGTCTGTTAGGTTTAGTTGGCAGAGGGTAAGGCAGATAATGGGTTATTTTAACACTGAATTTAATAACACTGAATTTAACCAGCTGAAGGCAGTGAGATGGAAATGTTCTGTTAGCATCACTTAATCTTCCTCTCCAGGTCTTTGTTGCAAATTAGAAGCCAGATGCCAATTCATTTTTTGAGCAGTTGCTACAAAAGAGAATGAATCGAGTTTAAGGCAGTTTAAAGTTTAAGTAGGATAGGTTCAGGTTGGCCAAAAGAGGAATATTGACCGTGAACGCTGCTAGCATTTCTCTCTCTGGAAGCTTTGAGAATATGGGAGCGTAATTCTCCCATTGTCTCACAAGAAAGCCAGTGCTACCTTGGCATTTCTTGATCTCCAGCTTCTGAAGTCTTTACAATGACTGTGCTTTGTAGAGGAGAGGACGTGCAAACCTTCCGGGGAATTTCGCTGTAATAATCACCACTGTATCCCTCTTCGCTGGAGGTGTGATGGGCACGATGACTGTGGAGATCACTCAGATGAGGAGAACTGTGGTGAGTGTTCATGGTTCTCCTGTCTTCATGTGCTGCCAGAGTTGTGCTTTCTGTTCTTTGTCCATAATTCAGTTCTCTATGCCATTCATCCTAAATGGGTAGGATGACAATTACCTGATCTCTTGCATTCTGCTGACTGGTACATTTCCACTTTTTCTTTGACTAAAGACAGAAACATCTCCTTTTAAGATGCTTATAATGAAGTTTTGGGAGAAGGGTGTTTACCCAAGTATATGTTTTGTTTGTTGAGTTTGTTTATATCTAGCTTTTTTTCTAAAAAGAGTGTGAGGCGACTTGTAATACAGGACAAATATAGTAAGATAAAGAATAGAAACAAAAAAATAAGGACCAAGAGAAGTTCTAGAAGGAAAGGTGCTAACCCAGAGAACTTGCTTCTTAAGTGCTTGCCTCAAAATGGTCTTAGTAGCAGAGGAAAAAGATCTTGTTTTTAGGATTGTCCTCCCCTCTCCGCCCACCCCAGAATGGCTGACTATTTAGGAGGGCTAGTGATTAAATGACAGGTCAGGTTTTAGTTTCTTTCTCCCAGTGAACGTGCTGACTATAAGGAATTGGACAGGGAGGTCAAGGATAAGAAGCCAAAGGTTTGGGTCACATCAAATTAGATAGTCCTGAGTAATTGGATATATTACCCTGCCCTAAACACATGTCACTGATTCATGTATATGTCAATTTCAGATTAATATGGAATACTTTTTTTTTTTTTTTTTTTAAGTAGGCTCCCAATGTGAGGCTTGAACTCAAAAGCCCGAGATCAAGAGTCTCATTCTCTACCAGCTGAACTAGCCAGGTGCCCTGTAATATGGAATACATGCTAACTTTAGTCACTTTTTGGAAGTAAGAAATGATTGCCACTTCCCATAGGCAGTTGAGAGAATCAGGACACTGATTAAACCTGCAAATATCAATTGGCTAAAACTTAAGACAAAAGTGTGATCCAGTGGAATTTTAAATTTGAGATAGTTCATGTTTATCCTATAGGAGGTTATCTAGACTATCATGAAAGCAACAATTATCTTACAAGTAAATCACCTTTGGAGAAAACTCTTAATAAAGGCCCTTCTTCACATTCTTAAAATTGAGGTAGAAGGTCTGGTTTCAGAGGACATGCAGTCTGCCTGCCCAAGCAGATGGCTAGGTCTTGGGACACGGGAGTGCCAGGCATGCTGAAGATACTCAGGCCCTCACAAGTTTGTCTTCTGTGTATGATTCCTGGTTCCCACTGATGGCTGGGTGGCTTTCCTTTGCAGTCCCCCGGGAGTGCTCGGAGAGTGAATTTCGATGTGATGATCACAGCTGCATTCCTTCTCGATGGGTCTGTGACCATAATAACGACTGTGGCGACCACTCAGATGAGCGGGACTGCGGTAACTGTCAGGGGTCTTTCAGAGGCTTACCAGGGGGGGGTAGTACCAGAGTCGGCATATTTGACAGAAGAAGGGACTTCAAGTGAGAGTTCATATGGTTTTTTAGAGTAAAACAATTTTTGTATACTTTCTGTAATACATAAGCCTTAGCATAGCACAGTACCTTCTGCTCTGTGTTTTCTATGCTTTATTCTTATAGTAGTCTTAACTTGTAATAGGCGAAAAGGGCAAGAGATTGTTGAAAATCTCATTTTAACTTAAATATTTCCTAGGAGCAGACTTTAATCTGCATTGTTCTTATAAACAACAACAAAAGCATTCATTTTTCCTGCTGTTCCCCGGAAAGCGTCCATGAGGGATATATTTCTGTAGCTCCCTGGTGTAGAGGTCAGGGGCATTAGATCAGGAATCATAACCCCCAAGTGACTTTTACAGCTCTTCACTCATTAAGGGTTGGGTCTGGGAATTCAGATTTCCGAGAAAATGCTAGAGATTGTGTAATAGGGGAGAGAGAGGTACTTCCATTTCCATATGTTGAATGAGGAGAATGTGGTTTTGGTGCATTTATTCCTTTTCTAGGCACAGCTGTGCATTTGCCATGTGCTAGTCATAGGGTTTGGATAGGAATGGGATGAAGTCCTTAGTCTGTTCCCCAGACCTGTCTGAGAAGAACAAGACCTTTTGGAATGACAGTCTTTTCTCTGCAGAGATGAAGACGTGCCAACCCGGGTATTTTCAGTGTCAGAGTGGACACTGTGTGCCTGAGCAGTCAACTTGTGATGGAATGGCTGACTGTCTAGATGCCTCCGATGAAGCTGCTTGTCGTAAGTGTCTGGGCCCCCGTGGCCCTGCTCGTCTGAAATGCAGCAGATGGCCTTTTAGACCCCCACCTCTCCAGCAGCCACCGCTTCTTAAATGGCTAGGATGCAGGGATTTTCTCTCTGGCGCTCATTGGTAATTACCAGTTCACTTAGGGGTCTGAGTCCTCATACCCAAATAGTCCTAGTAGTCATTCAAGTGCATTTCATTAACCATATTTTAAGTAGAGAATATAGTAAATATTTGTGCTAACAAAAATATTATCACCTGCGATACAAATTCATTAATTGAAAAAACCACCTCAGGTAAACGAGAACATTCGAGCAGTGAATAGATGGGTATAAAAAACTTGGATTGGGTGTTAGAACGTACTGAATTCACAGCATTAACATCTTTCTGAATTGCGTGATGGCATACAAAAAGCTTAAAAATGAAGGTCAGTATGATCGTTCACAGTTTAGTCTTTATGAATCACTGAATAAATATGGACTGTTTCTGATGATCTGTGATGGGTATTGTTAATGATGTAGTTGCCACATCTTAAATCCTGGTTTCAGAGAAACTATATAAATGGAGGAGGGGTAGGGCCAGTACTGACACAGCTGAAGAGTTGCCCTTGCCTATGAAGAGAAAGTCCAGTGCCATCCGCAGAATGACTCATGTCTTTGAAAACTGGGGTGGGACAACGGTCCTGAAGAGGTAGTCCATCACAGTTTCAGGCAGGGGAAGGTGACAGTCCATCTCGAATAAGGAAGACAGGCTGTCATGGAAAGAGTTACAGGACAAATAACAGCCTACCTTTTCAAAACACGTTACTTTTTCTAACAGCTGGAATCTGTTTCCTCTCCACCAACAGCCACTCGCTTCCCCAATGGTGCGTATTGCTCGGCGACTATGTTCGAATGTAAAAATCACGTGTGCATCCAGTCATCTTGGAAATGTGATGGCGATGACGACTGTGGCGATGGTTCTGATGAAGAACTTCACCTGTGCCGTAAGAGGGAGATGAAGGGCGGGTTTGGGAGTGGTGTCCTCTGGCCAAATCTCAACGCTTTTTCCGTGGGACGCATGATGCCAGAGGCCAGTTGGACAGTGTTTGAAAACTGGATGCATTTTACTTGGTCTTCCTTCCCAGTTCGTTGTTTGGAACATGGGAATGTTAGACATTCGTCCCTGTTCCTTTTTAGCACAGGGATTGGACGAAAATGCCATGTCAGTATTTCCTTCCTTCAGAGCACTTTAATTAGGGTACATTATATTTTCACAGTGGCATCTCCACATTTTCTTGCCACATCTTTTCTTGTTAAGAACTAACCCTGTTTTGTTTCGCTTTTAACTTGATGGATCTTGAAAAATACCTTAACCCTGTGGAACTTTCAAGTAAATACTTAGGAAGTCGCTCCCTCAATGAGATAAAGTGCCCGCAGCCCCATTAAAAAGTGGAGAGGCAGAGACACAGCCCCATTACAAAGCGACCAGCACTGTTTTATAATGTTGCACATCTTTCACAACAAAGAATTTCTGCAACAGTTCTGTTAACAGTACTTCTAAGAATCAGCTCTTGGGTCTGACTTTTTTACCCCCAGCCGACCTTATCATGAGTTTCTGCTTTTGTTCCTGTGTGTGATGCAAAGGCAGAAGGAGAAATCAGACAGCCAAAGTCTTCCATGTGGAAGAAAAACACAACATGTGTGTTGAGATTACCCAATCTCTGGGGCCTGCACAGAGGGCCATGCCCCTTTACTAAACAAGTAAGGGACCTGGGTTCTACCTTTGGGTTCCTCACAGGTGCATAAGCATCAGCTAGAAGTCTAACTCTGGACAAGATGAGTCAGAGGTCAGTTGTGAAATAGCAATTTTAAATGTAAGAGGTGAGGACATTCAGGAAGGAAAGTCTGTCACCGTGTGAAATTTCATGCTCTGGAGGGTCAGTGACAACTGCAGTCAGAAAGACACACAGCAGCCTCTTTAATATTAGGATAAGGGTTCATGTATGGTCTTTCCGGCCTCTCCAGCCTCATGGCTTGTCATTGTCCCCCTCATTCTGTGCTCTGGCTGCAGGGACTGTAATTCAGGTCAAAACATGGGCTGTGCTCCTTCTGACTCCAAACCTTCCCCCAGCCTCTTCTGATCTATATCAGCACCACGCACCCCTCCCCCCAACTCTCACCCCTTGCCACCATAGATGCCATGATAGCAGGTCTGGTTTGTGGCTCTTCTCAAAGTTATAATTGAATGGTTAATTGGCAAAGTCTGTTTTCCTGTTAGAATGGAAGTTCTGTGAGTCCCAGGACTGTGTCTTTCTTGTTCTGCATCGTTTCTGGCTCCTAGCACGGTGACATGGTGTGTGCTGGATCTTCAAGGTGGATTTGCGGATTGGTTCATTGAATGAACAGATGAACGGATGAATGGGGCGAGCCTGGTGCCAGCACGGGAGCATTTTAGATACTGCGTTCTACTCTCAACTTGCACTTTTTGTTTGTCCGTCTTGACTTCCAGTGGATGTTTCCTGCGACTCACCGTACCGGTTCCGATGTGACAACAATCGCTGTATTTATAAGCATGAGCTGTGCAACCATGTGGATGACTGTGGAGATGGGAGCGATGAGAAGGAGGAGCAGTGTAAGCAAAGTGAAAAAGAGGAAAAACTAAGGGCCCCAAGTCGTCTGCAGTTCGCAGAATGTTTCTCTGGGATTTCAGTTTGTTTGGTAGAGGCTGAGCTGGACCTATGGCTGCAGATCCCCTTTGACAGTTGTTTCCAGACCATATAAACACACTCGCTACTCAGATACATCCCTCCCCTGCGTATTTCCGCCTCGTTGGAGCAGGTCGTCTAATTTTTTAGTCTTCATTTAAATAGTCAATAAAGTTTTTTTTGAGACATTGAGAACAAACACTAAATACTAGTTGACTCACGCTTCACAAATTAATGGTTTATTTATTTTCAAAAATGAGTTTTGGTCACTCTTCAGCCTCGAGTTGCTAATTGTTAATCTAGGCACGTGAGCTGCTGAATGCTCAGCTGAAACTATCACGCTCAAAAGGCAGCACCGGTGTTAACAGAGCTGGTCTTACTTGCATCTTTAAAGTGGAAATTCATTTCCCAGAAGAGAAAAATTATGGATTATTTTAAGATAGAAGTTTCAAACCGGTGGTGTTAAATGTTACAGATACTGAAAAAAAAAACAAAACCTGTGCTTTCCCCTTCTGAGAATGTTTTAAAATCTGTCCATTGAAGGGGAGAGTTGATTAATTTTGGGGGTAATTTATCTAGAGAAAAGTCAGCAAGAGAAATGATTTCCCCTGACTCCAATTACTTTTTCTTCCTAAAAGGATGCACTTTGGGAAAATTTAGATAAATGAATCATTTTTTCTATGTTCCATCCTTTGTATTGCTGTGGCCTTAGAATGCTCACTGACAGCTCTGTGTCAGAGAGGATGAGGACACTATGGCGGCGCTCTGGCTTATACATACGTACTTACGGTTTTTTGGTTTTTTTTGGCAGAGGTGACCCTGTGGTTATAACATTGTTCCTAGATTTATTTGAGGCCTGGCACAAAAGGATGTAAACCAAGAAATAGGACATTTTAAAAATTTTGAGCAGGTTTTGCCCTCTCCCCTTCTGTTTCCATTTCCCTTATTGCTATTGCCCGCCCTTTCTTTCTTTCTTTCTTTCTTTTTCTTTAATGGAGCAAAACAATTGGAGCATGTGGTCAAATTTGAGAGTGGATGAAAGGGGCAGTAAGCTTACTCTTCCCAAAGAATTGGACATTAGTTAGAGGAATCACTGCTTGCCATCAAAATAGACAAACCACAACATTTCAGTGGCTTAAAGTAGCAGAGGTTGAATTTTTTTTCTTAAGATTGATGTATTTGAGAGAGACCATGAGGCAGAGAGGGGCAGAGGGACAGAGAAACCCCAGCAGACTCTGCACTCAGCACAGAGCCCACTGCAGGGCTAGATCCCATAACTCTGAGATCATGACCTGAGCTGAAACCAAGACTTGGATGCCCAACTGTCTGCACCAGCCAGGGGCCCCGGGAGCAGAGGTTGATGTAAAGTTTGATGAAGGTCAGGCAGTTCTCTGTCCTGTAAGTATGCACCTGCGACAGATAGTCTTCAAGGTTGCCAAGCAGGAGAAGAGAGAAATGAAGGAGGCACGCAGATTTGTATTTTCCCGGGCGTGGAAGTGATCGATCTTGCTTGTGCTTGTGGTCCTTTGGTTGGAACTGGTCACAAGGTCCCAATCTCACTGCAGGGAAGTGCATGGGTTTTTAATGAATACCAGTGGTTTTGCCACAATTTGCCCTTGTGTCACTAAGAATCCGTTTATACTTCTCTTCCCAGGCATAGAACACCCTGAACCTGTCCCCAAGGGACATGACTCATAGTCCCATTCAGTAACTGAAATCCAGAAGTCCTGGATGATAGGCTTCAGTCCTGCTGTCAGTTGCAGACAAGGTTCCTCTTGGTTTGAAGAAACATAAACTAATAAACAAGTTTTATTTATGCCACTCTGCCCCTAAGAGATAGTGGTGGATCAGGGGAAGCATAATAGAAATAGATTCCCATTGGGCAAGAAAGAATGAGAGACTCATGGCATTCACCAGCCTCTAGCAGTTCTGGAGGACCAGTGGGCTCGGCTGTTTCCTTTGAGACATAGCTTTCGAATCTGCTTTATATCTTTGTTTTTCTCACGCATCTTTGTCTCAACTGATAATCGGTTACATTCAGCCCATCTAGAAAAATAGATGGGCCATTATTTCATCCAACTCAGAGGTTTTACTGGTTATTTGTGTCTCAAAGCCTTCTAAACTTCAGAATCTCACTGTTCAGGATTTAAATGGAGTCAGCTTTTCCCACACATCAAATTGCTGGGCTTTATTTCATTTCTGCTTATAAATCAACCAGCTCTTCCCTGAACTTTTCTCTGATTGATACTCCCCTGCCAAACTCAGGTAATGGCAAGCAATGCACACTACTAGCATCCCGTTTTCTCATCTCTTTCCCTAGATCGACAGGTTCAACAAGCAGGTGATCTGCTTTCCAATTTTTCCAAAGTGACACTTTCACCAAAGGCTTTGCCTTTGCATCATATGAGTCTCCATCTTTCCTATCTCCAATATCTCTTTCCTCATTGCTTGCCTCCTGACCGTGAAGACAGTGTCCCATAATTTAGCTTTTTATTATGAAAGTACCTTACATTTTTACTATTCAGGGTATCTCATACCACCTCTGTACCCAACAAATTTGCAACTCTCAGGGGTGATACCTTATGAAGACTCACTTCTCACCCAAGTAAAGGCCAGTGCAGGCTGCCCAGCCCCTCCAACTTGTAGCTGGGCCACCTGAAACCCATGGCTTCCAAGGTTGCCAAAGCAGGAGACACAGGAGCTTTAACTGCTTCAGTCCGGAAGTGACACATATCACTTCCTACTCATAGCCCATTGGACAGAACTAGTCACATGGTCCCAACACAACTGCAAGGGAGACTGGGAAATGTAGGGAAGCACAGGCTTACCTGTGAGCAATAACTGTCTGCCGCACAGGGAAGCATCTTGTTCCACAGAAGAGAAAGTTTTGACTTTGACTTGAACTTTTGTTCTTAAATTACAGGTTTACCTTCGACCTCTAGACCTTGTACAGAAAATGAATTTAAGTGTAGCAATGGACATTGCATTTCACAGCATCTTGTATGCGACGATGTTGATGACTGTGGTGACCATTTTGATGAAACGGGTTGCAGTAAGTAAATATTGATGATTGCATTTCATTGTAATAACTTGGGTTTACCTAATGAGAGTGTGCAATAACATAAAGAACATGATAACCACATATTTCTCTTTATTTTGTCTTCTGAATTGCAACCAAGCCTGCAGCTATCTGTTATTGAGCACGTACTCTATACCAGACATTGTGCTAAACACTACAAGGATTATCTCATTTTATCCTTGTAACAACCCTATGAGCTGGGTATGTTCACCAATTTTAAAAAAATTTGTTTATTTATATGAGAGGGAGAGAGAATGGGGGTAGGGAGGGGCAGAGGGAGAGGAAGAGAGAAACCCTAGCAGACTCTGTGCTAGGTGCAGAGCCCGACGTGGGGCTCCATCTTACGACCCTGAGATCATGACCTGAGCTAAAACCAAGAGTTAGATGCTTAACCAGCTGTGCTAGCCAGGTGCCACTCAAGTATTTTTTTAATGAGGAAACTGGCTTGCAGGTATGAAAAACCTGCATGTCTTTTTGCCATCAAGAGGCTGAGGATTTAAACTCTGATCTACCTAACTCCAGAGCATCTCCTCCCTGTTAACTAGGTGCCTCCCAGCACCTTAAAGCTGTGTATTTTGTTTACTATGCTGCATATTTTTTTCACCTTAAGCCAAATGCAGTATCCTTTGGCACTAAGGGGAAAAGCTTCTAAGGGGAGTTGATAAAGATGGAGTTGTCTCAGGGGACCTTAGGAGGAACATTTATTTTTATTTTTAAAGTAGAGGGACTACTTTGTGTAGGAAAAAGATAAGGAACACAATCAAGGAGTGGTTCTAGTTCAGTATTGTGATGGAACTGTTGGAATGGCATGTTAATAATTCACACCTTTTTAGTCCTTTAGAGCTCTTATGAAATCCTTGCACATACATTATCTAATTTGTCACTCAGACAAACCCCACTGGGTTGCTACTATTATGTCTTATCTGTATAATAAATCTCAGAGAGCTTAAGAAGTTGCTTGAGGTCAGAGTGGCAGAGGCAGAATTTGAATAGTCCTGTGACTCCAGATGATGAGAGCTGGCCTCTAGTTTCCTTGACCACTACCTGTGCCCCATTGGGGCATCAACTGACCTCTCCTGGCCTCAGTTTCTTCATAGGAAAAAAAAAGTCCTTTAGACTCTAGGAGCCCATGACTTAGTCATCTTCGCTCCACATATTTTTTAACTTCTTGGGCTTTAGTGTTTTTTTTCCTGAGGCTTCCCAGTGACTTCTGGGCAACTTTTCTCCTGTGTGAGGTAAAAAGGAGGGTAAATAATTGATCATTAATGCATTGATTTGTCCTTTATTTCACACACTTGTCTAGTGGGGCTTAGAATTTTTGACATAGCAATGTGACTTGATTAAATATTTTAAAAAGCATGATCATGACAGGATTTGCAAAACTGGGTGTTAGATTTGAGTTCTAGTGCTGAGATGGATAAGTAAGCTGTTCCAAGAGTTTGGAGTATTTTCTAGTTGGGCTTGGGTTTTAGTTAGCCATTTAAAAAGCTTACAATTGACTACAGTCCTTTTAATTCAAATAACATTCAATTAAAAGCAGGACTTATTTAAAGAAATAAGTAGCATAGATATTAATTTAAGGTACAGAAATAGCGTTTGTTTTTAGGTATTAAATGAATATGTGATAGTGTATCAGTCTTAAACTGCTGTGGGTTGATAATCTGAGACATAGAATTCTTATTTAATAATACCAGTTCTTGGGGTACCTGGGTGGCTCAGTGGGTTAAGCCTCTGCCTTTCGCCCAGGTCATGATCTCAGGGTTCTGGGATCGAGTCCTGCATTGGGCTCTCTGCTTGGCAGGGAGCCTGCTCCCCCCCACCCCCGACCCGCATGCCTCTCTGCCTACCTCTCTGCCTACTTGTGATCTCTCTGTATGCCAAATAAATAAATAAAATCCTTTAAAAAAAAATAAAATAAGATACCAGTTCTTGGGTGCTACTAATCCCCTTGCCTTTCTTTTCTTTTCCCTTTCTTTTCTTTCTACTATTTAAACAGGATCTCTGATGTTCAATGCATATGTTTGCTTTTTAAAAAGTATTTTAAAATCAGAAAAAGAAAGATACTAATATTTTTAAAGTGTCATATGTTTGGGTTTGGATATGATCTGTTGTTTGTGGATTAAGATGGTGATTATTATTGAAATAATTTATAAGTTCCTCATATTTGAGGAAGAATCTTAGAGTGTTATATGGTTTCTGCTCTTGTTTGAAGGACTCTTGCTTCATGAGAGTGTAACTCACTCAGGGGGGCACTTGATCCAGAAATGTTTATTTCCTGGGATCTTTAGTCATGTTGTAGATTTTAGAGCTGGGAGAAGATTATAGAGTCTAATTATACACGTGAGACCCAAAGAGGTTATGTGACTGTCTAAAGGCTATTCAAGTTAATAAAACAGGTCATATTTATCAACATTATACAGGAGACATCACTACCAACCTTACAGAAATTTAAAAGATAATAAGGGAATAGTATGAGAAACTTTACATCAACAAATTAGACAAATGACCAAATTCTTAGAAAGCCAGAAAACAGTGAAACTGACTCTGGAAGTAATAAAAAATCTAGATAGATTTATTTAGCAATGTGTAGTTCTTAAGAGCTAAACTGAGGTTTTCATGTATATGGCTTTGAAGTTTGAGCTCCAAGGGCAGCATTCCATTGAATGCTCTTGTGCTTTATTTTGTGATTATTTTTCTTTTTTGAAACTCAATGTTTTTAGTCTATTCAAACCATATATACTTAAATAGTCATCATATCCTTAAAGAATCCTCATTTCCTACTGTAGGAGACAGATATAAATCTATTTTGCTTGGGAAGAAATGAGCAGGAGATACTAGAGTCTCATTAGCTAAAATATTCAGAAGCCTGTGACCAAGAGATATTTCATTTGAAATACAGATAAAGCTTAAATCCTTTATGGGGATAATCACCACCCTTCCCATGCCTTGGCCTCCATTATCACTCATTAGGTATGTTCATCTTTGTCTGCTTCCTTGTAAGATCTAGGTTTGAGGGTAGATGGAGACTCAGGATAGAAGAAACAAGCTTACAATAATAACAAAAATGAAAGCCAGATGGCTTTGACAGATATTGGCAGAGATAAGAACTCAGGGCAGTGATGAGCGGTGAAGTGTGAGGATGGAGTCTGAAATGTTAAAAGTCTGCCCTGGAGTATCTGGACCCCAGAAAAGCACAGATAACAAGAGTCATTCATATAAGCCCTATAAAAATGAACCATTGTTGAATTTTTTCTTTGTATTATGAAAGCTATAAAATCCAGAAAATATATTAGTGATCAAAAATATATTAATGATCGAAATATATTAATGATCAAAAGATGGAGTTGAGGGAAATTGGAAGGGGAGGTGAACCATGAGAGACTATGGACTCTGAAAAACAATCTGAGGGTTTTGAAGGGGGGGGTAGGAGGTTGGGGGAACCAGGTGGTGGGTATTAGCGAGGGCACGGATTGCATGGAGCACTGGGTGTTGTGCAAAAAACAATGAATTCTGTTATGCTGAAAAGAAATTTAAAAAAATTAAAAATCACTTGAATCCCATAACTAAAAGAGAACTAATCTTAAGTTTGGTGTACTTCATTGTCTTTTTTGCACATATATGTGCAAAAATCATTTCTTAATATTAAAAAATTTAAAGATATATTCTATATTTAGTATTACTATCTTTCCCTCCATTTTTGTTATAGATATTTTCCATGTCAGAGTATCATTTCAAATCATAACTCATTGATTGTAAGATGCATGTTTATTTTCACATTTAAACATCTCTGAACAAGAATAGTTCTTCAGTTGATAATATGCCGGAGTGTAAGTCCCAGAGTTTTTCTATTTTAGCATTATATAGGGCATCAATGGTGTCTTACTTGGGTTTGATAAAACACAGTAAACTGTAATTGTTCAAGTTGTTTTCAGAATTTTATCAACAATTTATAATCCTTAAACATAAATCATAGTACACATTTTTTATTCCTTTTGGAGGGAAAATGTATTAATGTGGAATAACTGTATAATAAAATGAGTATTTTTAAAGTCCTTGATTCATACACGTTGTTGCAAAATTCCTTTCCATGCGTGCCACTTTATGGTTCTTATAGCAGTTGGATGACTGATAACTATATGCATTTTACTGTGTCCTGGCCAACACTTGATATGTGTACACATATCTCAGTTGGTCTTCTTATAACATTATAATTTTCTCCTGTTTGTTATGTTGCTCTAAACTGTACCATTTTTCTTTATTACACACATAACAGGATATATATTACATATATCTTAATCCCTATTTCATATATATATGTGTGTGTGTATACACACACATATTTATACATATACATATATTTTATTTATATGTAGATATATGTATATATGTATGTGTGTGTGTGTATATATATATATATATATATATATATATATATATATAATATTTATGGAGCAGATGGTTACAATTATAATTGTACAGAGCCCCAGACTTCATAGTTCTGGACTCTGGAATTGCATGCTCTGGGAAGTCTGGCTGTGCTGAGTATAATGGGAAGACTGCCTCAAGGATCTAACATTATATACAATTATATAAATGACATTCACCCCATTACCAGATATCTGAATATACAGAAGCCTTCAATCTTCTACAAAGACTTACGGAAAGGATTATCTTGAGATGTCTTACAGTAGACTATAGGTAGATTATACCTTTCATTTGTAACGCTAAGATTGTTTCTCCAGATACAGGAAAAGAAAGATCGTGTGCGGAGAATCTATGTGAACAAAACTGTACACAGTTAAGTGAAGGAGGCTTTATCTGCTCCTGTAGACCCGGGTTCAAAGCCAGTATGTTGGATAGAAACTCCTGTGACGGTAAGTATATTTCTTCCAATTCCCATTAGGAGATGCTCATACGTCAGGTTCTCTACTCATTCCCTTTTATTAAACCACTGTTTAATTCCATTTATAGGGCTAAACTCTTAGTTCTAGTTCATTAAAATACTTAAGTGTACAAATAATTATGCTGTTAGAGGGTGATGATCAGTTCTGAATGAGAGTATAAGCTGTAATTCAAGATGTATATAACCTGTGATGACAAATGTAAAGATTTTGCTCGTTAATTTCTTGGGTCATGGAAAAGAAACAAAAAGCAATACTCAGGGATGCCAGTTACCTTTTTTCCATGCTCTCTTGCCAGTCCCTAGCAGATGGCTAGGCAGTAATGTCTGCGGAATTAAGATTCATAAAGTGTTAAGTGATGACTGCTTATTTTATTGTGTGGGAGATCAGACTTTTAAAAAATAAAGTTTACTTTCTTCATCAAAGTCCAATAGCACATATGTATTACACATCTACTTAGGCCAGACATAAGTGAGATCTAAGGTATGGAGTTGGAAGGTAGCTTATCAAGATGGTAAGGAATGAGTAGGATTTCATTATTTGAATTTGCTCTTTCTAACTAATGACGTGTCATGCTCAGATGACTGAGAGAGTTCTTTCAGATGCTGAAGCTTAAGAACTCAGTGAAGAAACCAAATGAACAAGTCCCTCTCCTGAAGCTAGTTAGGCCAAGGGAAGTGGTATACCAAACAACACCAACATCCAGCTGCTTTCCAAAAGTGAATGTTTTGCTTTGCTATTGCACAGAGTCACTCTGTTGTAGTTGAACCCTGTCTTCATTGCTTATTAGCTTTGGGACTTTGGGTTTAGGCATAGTCCATATTGCAGAGTCATTCTGGAGAATTAAATGAGGCACAAACATGAAAAGCATATGAAACAATGTCTGAAGCTTAGGAAGTGCTCCACAAATGATTGCATCATTGCCTGTCTTCATCTGCAGCCTTCTCCGGCTTCATTGCTTATGACTTTGGATTTAAATAGAAGCAGGGCCTCGAAGGAATGGTTGGGAGCAGATGTTGCATATTTGCTTTTATTTTATCTGCAGACATCAATGAATGTGAGCAATTTGGGGTTTGTCCCCAGAACTGCCAGAATACCAAAGGAAGTTATGAGTGTTCCTGTGCTGAAGGCTTTAGGTCTGTGAGTGACCAGTATGGAAAACGATGCGCAGCTGATGGTATGATGGGTTCATGTTGGGATCAATCAGTTGACTTTCAGAGAACTAAATGCTGATGAGTACAATAGACCAGAAAGTGAACTTCAGACTCCAGAAAGTCTTATTTTTAATTTACCAGCTACTTCTCTTCCAATGCCCATCCAGGCTCTTCTCTCTCCTCTTCTACCAGATTAAAACAATAACTGCAATACCACAACAGATACGCAGGAATTAAAATAGGAGTCAGTATTGTTTATTATTCTGGTCTTAGGCTCTTGTCTGCCTTGCTAAAACTTCAAAAAGTGAACAAGATGTCGCCTTCCAGAATATTCAGACAACAAAAGCTTGCCTAGAGGGTGGTGGTCAACAGAAGGAAATTAATGAAGCCCTCCAGCTCCCACTCCAAGATCAAGGTTTGAGGCCCTGTGATTCAGGATGGATCACAAAAAACAGTCACATTCAGTCAGGGCAAATCAAGGACATTCTGTTGATAAATCTTTTTTATTGTTCATGGGCTGCCGATCACAGATGGAGGGAGTCTGGCTCATTTATAACTTCAATCACTAGTTCTGCATTTTAGGTTAATGCTGGTATCTGAGAGTCAGGCCTGATAGAAGGTAGTAGTAAGTACTAGATAGAAATGACAAAAGAGAAAGACTACGTGGCAGAAGTATTATATAGTCCAAATTTCCAGAGGTCTGATCTAAATCAGAGTATCCCCGTCAAGGGGTATAGGTCTTTACGAGTCTTAGAGATTTGAAGTTTGTGCTAGAGTTTAAAGAACATGATATGGAAGATACGGAAATAACATTTTACTTTGCAAATTAAGGGTAAAATGGCTATCCAATTTCTTCATACAAATTGGGTTTTAAAGCATACATCTGACTAGCATTCTTAAATTGTTTTACCCCCCCAAACATTTTGACAGTGAATGAAAACTAGGGTAAAGGCATTTGAGCGATTGGTCTGATAATTAGGCAGCAAATTTAAAACGAGTTAACTAACTCCTTTTAACTGAGATGACTGAAATAAATGCTCATGGTCATATAAAACACAACACCAAGACAGAAGAAATATATAAAGTGAACTTTCAAAAGTTACTTAGATTCAATTGACATTATGCAAGTAAATTGAATTTTAAAATTATAGACTGTGCACCTCAGGATGAGTCAACATTGAAATAGCTACTTTGGGTGAGAACAAGAACAAGCTGTTTTTGTCATTAGCTGAGAGATAAATTGAGTCGTGGAGCTGATTACCTGCTAAAAGAATCATAAAATATATCAGTCAAGAGTAAGAAATGAGGACATTCTGGTAAACTTCTGGTATTACTATACATACTGTGTTTCTTCCATGAGATTGTCTGCAGTCTTGTCTGTTTTATTGTCAGTGAATAAGGGCAAAAAATCAGGGGAAAAGAGGACACTATCTGGGGGTCTCAGTCCTGTCTTGTTCTAAACCATTACCTACAGAGGACAAAGAATAAAGAAGTGATAACATCTCTAACAGAAATAACTAGCTTTCCACCTGAAAATGGAGACAAGAATGTCCAGTCACAGATTTTGCACCCCAGTTAGTAGTTGTTAGTTCTATTGATTAGCAGAGGTAGTCAGATTCCTATAAAAACTTGTGTTTTTTTAAAAGTGGGAGGATACTTACTATTTTATATCTGCTTCATTTTAAAAAAGAGTTCAGATAGAATTCAAAGAAATATAACAGCCCTTGTCTTTTTTTACAGGTAACCCTCCTTTGTTGCTACTGCCTGAAAACGTACGAATTCGCAAATACAATCTCTCATCTGAGAGGTTCTCAGATTATCTTGAAGGCGAGGAACGAATTCAGGCTCTTGATTATGATTGGGACCCCGAAGGCATAGGTCTCAGTGAGTATGAACTTTGGCAGCTACCATTGATATTAATTGAATTAATTGAATTATAAGGTGTTAAACTTAGGGGCATCTGTTTTTTAGTGAGTGAATTTTGTTGCATGAGTAGAGGATAGAGCTCCTCCTACCCAGGGTGCTCAGGATGCCTTAATTTGGCCATGTGTCCCAGTGAAACTTTCTCAACTTTCAACCAAACCTTCTCCCATCTCTGGGGACTATCCTTTTAGGACCACCTCATATCCCTTTGTTTAATATCTCTTTGTCTCTGCTCATGAAGGGATTGTTCTCCCCTATCCCTGTACCCTTCAAAATTTCTACTCAAACTTCAAAGACTCAGTTCAAATGTCCCCTCCTCTGATATCTTCTATAACCCTTCCTGGGCACAGTTCCATAATTGCTCACTGGGTGAGCCTGTAGGGTTTTATACGTGCTTTCACTAAAGCACATGTTACATTTAGTTATAGGCATCCACATAATTTTCTCCCTGTATCTTAACCATGAGCTCTTTGGAGATAGGATTGAATCTAATTCGACTCTGCAGGGCTGCCATCTGACCCAACATGTGACCCAGCATCTGACCCAACAGTGTATGTGCTAGTTGCTTGAGGACTTTATTTAGTTCAATGAATGAAAATATGAAAAATGTTTATTATTGAGTCTCTCATGGCTCTCTGGCGTGTGTGCGAGATGGTAATGGGGCAGGAATCAGAAAACTCATCTTCAATGCCTGTTTCCCTCACGTACTGAGCTTTATAACTAAATAATTGTAATGATTATAACAATTCTCTGGTTCTCCATTTCTTAACTGTAAAATAAGAACAGTAATCTTGTCTGCCTGCCTCCCTGGAGAGTTCTTTGAAGATCAAATGAGATAACAGGTGTGAAAATGTTTTGCAAACTATCAGTAACTATGCTATGTAAGATTTATTATGGCTGTGTTTTCACACTCATTTACACAATACAATAAACTTTTCAAGAATGGCAAACACCTGGGAAAGAATATCTTTCCTTAAAAAGTCTGCCTTAAAAGTTGCGGTCTTCCTACGCATTTTGAGATGCCTGGGGTCCACTGTCCTTTGGTCTATACACAAAATAGGACTTCTCATCTACATAGCTCCTTTACTGCAAGTTATTGACTAGCCTGCCCCTGGCTTATCTATACATTTCGTTTTGGAAACTAGAACTTGATCCTAATGAGAGTAAATATAGGCTCTTGGTTGAAATGTATTTTAGTAAGTTACCTTTGAAATAGAGACACCCAAGTCAGTATCAATAAGCTATCAGTTGAAGTATTTGTAGCTATTAGCTCAAGTATGATGTCCTGAGGTTTGATCAGATCAGTATAATTGAATTATTTGTCTTATAGGAACAATGAGGAAGTAGAGATGTCAGTAAATGAACAATAGTTGACCTGCTTAGACCCCAGTTTCCTCCCTTACCTGATGTCCTTAACATGAAACTCAACTGTGTGTCTTGCCTTGCAGGCGTCGTATATTATACTGTGCTAGGGCATGGCTCTGATTTTGGAGCTATCAAACGTGCCTACATCCCCAACTTTGAATCTGGTACTAATAATCTTGTGTCAAAAGTTAACCTGAACCTGAAATCTATAATGCAACCAGATGGATTAGCAGTGGACTGGGTTGGAAGGTAAGTTCTTGTCTCTTGTCTCTTGTCTCTTACATTATCCTGGCCAGACCCCCTACAGCTTGTCATGGCAATGAGTTAAGCTGGTCCAGATAAGGGTAGCCCTCAGCGCTGGTGCAACTGTGTGATGCCTGGGCTTGCCGTATCTAGCTCCCTCAGCCACCTCTGCTTATCCCAGGGTGTCAAATAAACATTATCATTTCCTATATTCTGTGGATGCCATGAAAAGGTTTGGGAGAGCACTAAGGTCAAGATCTCATATTATATCCAGGAGAGCGTTCTTGCCAACAGAGTTTTGGATTCCCAGATCAGAACTCTCAGTATGGCATTTTGTGAGGAAGTGGAACAGCCTCCAGTCCTACCAGCAAGGCAGTTGAGATGAAACATTTTTCTCTATGGTAGTTATTTTGAGGGACAGCAATCCACATCTTGTGTTTTCAGCAGGGCTGTTTTGTCTGAACAGATTGGAAATTTGACTTTTCTGTTTATGTTTGGTTTTGAGTTCATAGTGGTATCAGCTTTGTTCTGCTCTTTCAGATTTTCTAGAACTCCAGGGACCAGAGCCAAACATTTTGTGTGATCCCTAAATATGAACCTTAAGTAGGATACAGGAGATGTAAACTGATGTGGAAAAGTTCATAAGCTCCTTCTTCAAGAAAGAGCCTTGCATCAGGAGTGACATTTATGGGAAAGGGATTACATTAGGATCTGGCTCAAACATTCATTGAATTCCCCATGTCCTTGAAAATGAAGAAATAATGAAAATATGTTTGAGAGGAAAGGCTCAGGGGCTTGTTGCCCTCTGAGATAATGGAGAGTCATTTACAGCATGAATTAATTTTCACCTTTTAACAAACTTGTCTGGTGCTTCTGGAAGACTTGAGCGTCTCTGAAGAAGTTAATTAGGTCCCTGCTGTGCCCACAGGCTATCAGGGCACTCATTTCAGCATTTTCTGTCAGGAATCAAGGCCTTGGAGAGTCAGTAACTTGAAACTCTAGACTTTAGCACTTCCTTCTGAAAATCAACCAGGCAATTCATGTTTGAAGTTTCACTTCTTTCTTAGCCTTCATGAGCAAGTGCGTGAAGAAACTGATGGAAATCTTTCTGCTCGTATGGGACTGAGACCTGCAGGATAGTGGAACAGGGCGGGATGGCCTTGCTGAGTTTGTTATTTTGGAAAGGCTATTTCCACTCATTCTTGGAACTGATGCCGGACTGCTGTTGATGCCGGTGGCGCTCTTCGCTAAGCAGGCTCCCAGGGCAATCAGAATTGGCCAGCTCAGCAGTGCCTTATGACTTCCACCTGGCAGTGCATGTCTCGTAGCAATGTCAGATGTGAGTCCATCATCATCACCGACGCTGGCTGATTAGGCAGGAGTCCCCCTCCACTCCTTATGCTTCCACTTGTAACTTTCCAAAGACCCTTGGCGGAAGATACCGGGGCATTCCCCAGAGAAGAAAACTGCTCTGACCACTGGTTATCTAAGTAGTTGTCTTGTTGGCCCCAGCTTCCAAACTGGAGGCTCTCATCTTTAGACCTGTTCCCCAGAAGTGACCCATTGAGACTTTTTTAGATGTTTAACTTTGTTCCTTTAAATTCAGGCATATTTACTGGTCAGATGCCAAGACCAAACGGATCCAGGTGGCTAAACTTGATGGGAGGTACAGAAAGTGGCTGATTTCCACTGGACTGGATCAACCAGCTGCAGTGGTTGTGAATCCCAAACTAGGGTAAGTACTCGGTGGGGTCCTTCACGTTCTAGATGTTTTCCAGTGGATTGTCAAAAATTTATATCTCAATTATTTTTTTCCTAATTGGACTAAAATTGTCCTTGGACTATTTGGAGTGGCATCTATTACTAACTTAAAGAATTATAGTATTCCCTAAAGATCATTTAGAACCATCCAAGCCTCAGACTGATACTGCATACTGGTCACATTTTTTCCATAGCCCAGTTTGTCTAAAATCCACACATTTCTCAATAGAATTTAAGGGTTGGTCTCAGCCTGATGATTAGACTAGAGACTGCAAAGTGGTGGCTGGTAGCCTAAATACAGCCTACAGACAGATTGGACTTGAACAAAGCAGAGTTTTAGGGTTTTTAAAATTTAGTTATAAACATTAAAAAAAATGTTTAAGCTATGTTTTTGGCTTGAAAAATCAGAACAACTGATAACACTATGTAGGTAATGACTTCTTTACCTAGAGGGGCAGAGGGAGAGGTTTCATGCCCAGTGCAGAGCCTGATGCAGGGCTCAATCTCATAACCCTGAGATCATGATCTCAGCCAAAGTCTATAGGCGGACTCCTAACCGACTGAGCCACCCGGGTGCCCCAGTAGGGATGCCTTTCTTGCTGCAGTGTTGCCTGGAACTTCTAGACAGGGCTTTACTCTTACCATCACTTGATGTTTGTGACTGTGATGCACCACTCATTTATGTCTCCTGCCTGGTCCTTCCAGGTATTTGAAATAGTGCCATCCCTGGTCTGTGCAGTTCTATAATTATTAATTGGATGCAAAATAATACATTTTAAAATTGGTATCCTTATTTTATTCTCTGATACATCTCAAACACAGAGCAGTGCTGCTAACACAGAAGGCATTCAATAAATATTTTATGAAGAATGAACAGCTTTTGTGATTATACATTTTAAAGTGTCTGAATATATATACTCAAACAGGGCTGGGCAGTCTTTATGGAGGAAGTTTTCAAGAAGGATAGACCACAGATGCACTGGCTCCTCCTTTTCTCACCCTGTCTTCTAAAGTAAAGTGCAAAAACCGCATCACTTAGCACTCAGATCTCTATGACACACAGCAGATTTCCCTGCTGGAAGGTCATGCTCTGCTTCGGTGGAGAAGCCTCACTAGATGAAATACTAAAAAGAGAAAACCTTCTGTTACAGGCTTATGTACTGGACTGACTGGGGCAGAGAACCTAAAGTCGAGTCTGCCTGGATGGATGGACAACATCGGAAAACCCTGGTGCAGGAGGACCTTGGTTGGCCAACAGGCCTTGCTATTGATTATTTGAATGATGACCGGATCTACTGGAGTGACTTCAAGGAGAACAATATCGAAACTATAAAACATGATGGGACTGATAGGAGAATCGTTGCAAATGCAGGTTAGAAATGGGTTAGATTTTAATATGTTCTGTAATCAAGAAATATATTTCTAGTGTCTGCCCATTTTCTCCAGGAAGAACCTGATCTTAGGTTGATAGTTTCTTAGCTATCACTCCTTCCAATTCCCCAGCTGCTCATTTAAATGCAAATGAATCCATTAGCAATAATTAAGTTTTTTTTCCTTGTAACATAATTTTTAAAAGGTGCTCTTAGCAACAGATACTGGAATAACTGAATTTCCTGTTAAGTTGGCCTGATAGAGTGGCATTTCAGGTGTACCAGTGGAAACCCATGTCTAACCACTTCTAGACCCATTTGTTTTGATTATGCCCAGTTGCTTATTTTGTACAACTGGAAACATCTAGAAGGAGAGAAATATTTTGTTTTCTTCTCCAGATTTCTGCAGAATTGCAGTAATCCAGTACCTGTTAACTCTGTGTGATAAGCAGTGTCTTATGTTCAAAGGAGAAAAAAAAAAAAAAGAATCTCTGCCATCCAAATTGTTGTGCAAACATAAAATTAAATCAGCAACTTTAAAGTGGGCAGGTTCCCTGTAATTGCCATCAACCAGTAGGCGTTAATCTAGTTCAACATCTGTCATCTTGATCTCCCAACACTGCACACTTCTGTGGTCACAGTACAGAAAGTCTGCCTGAATGTTGTATTAGGGATTAATTCAAGCATAATGACATCTGATATAAAAGAGGGGTAGGGTATTTTCTATTCAATAACCTTGTTTTGCTTTGGCTTTCCTCTGTGGGTAAACAGCAATGAACCCATATAGTCTGGACATCTTTGAAGGCCAGTTTTACTGGATATCTAAGGATAAGGGAGAAGTGTGGAAGCAAGATAAATTTGGGCTAGATGAGAAAGAGAAAATGCTGATGGTGAACCCGTGGCTCACTCAAGTTCGAATCTTCCATCAACACAGATACGATCGGTCAGGTAACACCAACCTTGGAATAAGATGTTCCTTATTATCTGGAAACTTGATTTCAAATTAATGGCTATATTGTTGGAAAGTGGTAATGGATTATAATAGTCTGATCTCTTGGTACATGAAAGGGGTGTGTGTGTGTGTGTGTGTGTGTGTACCATTTTGACCAAAGAAAGATAAAATTGGAGGTCAGATACAATTATGTACATCACCAGCAGACATGAAGTAAAAATATTTCAGTCCTCATTGGAATTGCAGGTTTATACTTTTGGGTCACAGAATCCAGCAGGCATCAAAATCCTGCTCGGTGGGTGTCAGGTGGGTTACAACAGGTTTCCTGGAAATGGTCGGTGTTATACACCCTTACAATTCCAAGGCTAGGTGAGTCACATTATCCTGAGCTATGAGAGCCTAGTTTAAAATTGTCAGTCATATGCTATCCCATCCCGTCTTCCCCATTTTCTGAGTTGTGGTCCTGTTTCATCAGGTTAGCTGTGTTCTAATTCATCCCTTACCATTGAATGGAGTAAGGTAAAAGGGAAGGGAACTTCTTCTTCTTCTTATTATTATTTTTTAAAGATTTATTTATTTATTTATTTGAGAGAGAGGGTGGAGAGAGAGAGAGAGCAGGAGAGCAGGAGGGTCAGAGGGAGAATCAGAGACTCCCTGCTGAGCAGGGATCCCAACCTGGGACTTGATCCCAGGACTCTGGGGTCATGACCTGAGCTGAGGGCAGACATGAAACCGACTGAGCCACCCAGGTGCCCTGGAAGGGAAATTCTTGAAGAGAGGAAAGGAAATCAACTTTTATTAAGCTCTGTAAGTCAGATTCTCTCTTCAAGTGTTAATTCTGACAGATGGTTACCTCAGTTAATCTCCAAAACTGTATAAAGAAGTTTTATGTTCCTCTCACTTATAAGGAACTCCGCTGATACAGTAGCCCTTATGTCTTCCATGTGGCTGGGGCTCTCATCCTGGGCAGCTTTGAAGACAGGAGGGGAGAGCACAGTACACATGGTGAGCCCTCTCTCTGGCCTTTGTAGAGAAGGCTACCTAGGAGTTAGAGGAAAATCCAGAGTCAGCTGGGCCGCCTTAAGAGAGGGCTGATGACTGTGTAGGCCGGGGACCTAGCCCAGCTGTGTCAGATTAGCATTTACTCGGCACAAGTAGTTCTCACATTTGAGCATGTATCAGAGTCATCTAGAGAGCTTGTTGGTCCCCACCTGAGGGGTTTCTGATTTAATGGACCGGAGGTGGCCTAAAAATGTCCATTTCAAATAAGTTCTCAACTGATGCTGGTGTTGCTGGTAAAGGAACCACATTTGAAAAGTCCTGTTCCAGGCCCTACACAAGAATGGGCCATGGACGAGTTGCACTGGTATCTTAGGGGAGTTGGTGAGAAATGCAAGACTGTCAGGCCTCACCCAACCTTTTGGAGTCCGATTTCCTAGGTGATTTGTATTACATTCAAGTTGTAAAAGTTCTGCTCTAGAGAGCTGAAGAAATGGGCAGATTTTGTGTGAGTCTTTGGGAAATGGTTTACAATTTTATAGCCATGCCTTGTGTGTGATTCCACATCGAATGACAATGAATCAGGACCACAGAATATTAGTCTGTGAAGGAATTTAGAGATCATCTATATCTTGGAGACATAATAATAGGCTAGGATAGAGTTCAGAGGACTCCAGAATTACTTGGTAAGCTTTTAATGGTAACACTTGTGTTGTATCCTAGCCCAATTAAAATCTGAATTTCTGTGACTGCCATCAATAGTGGTGAAATAGCTCCCAGGTGATTCTGATAATCACACCCTTAAGTTCCCTTGTCTTGCAAGTAGGAGAACCAAAGAAGTCCAGAAGAAAGTCCTCCTATGAGGGTGGGGTAGAAATCATATCTAACATTTGATCTGGATACATTATGATCTATGGTAATGAGAAATCTTGACATAATAATAGGGTCTTACTGGTCTTTTGAACTATCTCAGATTGCTTTGCATTGACTAGTTTTTGAGGTCATGCAGTGCACTAGACACCTACTTCCACACCTGCCAGGGCAAGGGCAGAGCTAGGTAATGCCAGGAGAACATATGAGCCGTACAGGAGTAGGATGGAAGGGCCACAACTCAGTTGATGAGCATATCCTTGGTTGGCGTTCTCATTTCCTCCTCGGACCCTAACCGCTGTTTTCATGTGCTTTCCAGTGCCCAACCGCTGTAAAAATGTCTGCAGTCACCTCTGCCTCCTGAGACCTGGAGGGTATAGCTGTGCCTGCCCCCAAGGGTCCGCCTTCATCGCGGGGAGCAGCACTGATTGTAACGCAGGTGAGGCCACTGCCTGGGCAGCTACGGTGGGGGCTTGGGAACACTCCTCTGCTTTCCTCCGTAGGTTCCCTGCCCGTGTTTCACCTTCTGCAGGAATCTGAAAAATCCCTGTGCTGGGTCCTTTGCAGGATAGAGTAGGGGTGGCTTGAAGGAGGGAGGAGATCAGGGAAGAGCTGAGTGGGACTTAGGGAGCCCAGCAGAACTGGTGTTCCAATGATTGCTGAGAGTTATTTGCAAGGATCTGAATAGGTCCAGCACCCCCATATCTACAGTCGTGTTGTTTTATAGGTATTTGGAAGAGTGGGTTTTCTATAAGGCTTCCACCTCCTTTCTCTACCCCATACCAGATGTCAGTTGCTCTGGAATCCATTCAGCCTTAACTGGAGTTCAAGTGGGGAACTAGGTTTCTGTGGTGGGGAGGCCTCACCCAGTACAGATGGGCGGGCAAGAAGAGGGTCACTGTTTTCCTTGCATGCTCATTCCAGAGTTTTGATAAGTGGAAAAGGGCCACATTTTAAAAGGCACTGTACACTCTTGGGAGACGGAAGCCAGAATAAGGATGCAGTGGTTTTTTTCTCATCTGAAATACTGCGGGTGACCTGTGCCTGGCAAGATTTTTCTTCAATAACTCTGAAATTAAGCAGCGTATCAACTATGGATGTCCACTAGTGATCCTAACTAGTGTCCAGTTCTTAATACACACATTTAAAAAATCATCCTGCAGTTCACCAGTGGCCCATTTTGTGGCTCACGACCTTGTTTTTATGTTTTAGTGACCATTTTATGGTTCCCATCCCTCAGTTTTAGCTGATGGGGAGATGCTTAACCACCTTTTGCCACCAGGGGGAGCAAGTGGTCAAACAATGCACCACCTTTTGGCTCTTCCCAATCAGGCTGAAATGTTGGCAGGTTTAGAGAATGAACTCAGGGAGAGAAAACTGCTTCCCCCGGTTCCCTTCCCGAATCCCCACCCTCCCTGAATCCCCACTCTCATCCCAAGGCTACTGGAGAAATATTGGCAAGCTTACAATATTTAGCAATATTTTGAACCAAACGATTTCAGGCTTTTGACATTTGTTCTCTGCGGTAGATGGATGGTTCTGACATTTATTGCGATTTCACACTCGGGAGTGGTGTTGTCCAAATTGTCACCCCGTCGACTACTTTCCTCATTTACATTTTTTGCCAAGTGCATTATAGTAAGATTCTTGGTTAAAAGAACTTAACCAAAGCAAGCACGCTAATGGCAGTAGTTATTCCATATAGGGTCTTGGTTTGGTATATTAATTAGTTAATTTGATAAGTATTTTGAGTGCCTACTACATGCTAGGCATTAGTGCTGGAGGTAATGGAAGTGAAAAAATAGAATGTTTGCTCTTGTTGGGTTTATATTCTAGTAGGACAGTAAATAGAGACCCACCCACCCCTAATATATAATGTCAGGTCATAAAAGCAAAAGGAGAAAACCAAAGCAAGGTAAGAGGGATGAGGATGGGGTTGGGTTGCCTTAGCTAGAGTTCCAAGAAGGCCTCTCTGATAAAGCGAATTTTGAGTAGAGTTTCAGATTGAGGGACTGAGCCAGGAGGGCATCTGAACTCCTTAAGTAAGGGCACAAGTAGTAAATACTCACTGAGCATCTTCTAAGTATGAGACATGGGAACACTAACAAGCCCATCAGGCACATCGGGGAGTAGATGGGGGGAACACTAACAAGCCCATCAGGCACATCCGGGGAGTAGATGGGGGCTGAGCTGGAACAGGGTCCCAGAGTGAGGGCAGTTTTGGAGGACTTAAAAAAATAAGACAGCTCTGACTAGCTGTCTGATATCAGACATCTGTGCCCCTGCATTGTGTGTCTGTCAGTTGCTCGATGGGTCCCTGATGCTTTGGAGCCTTCAGTTCAAGTCCAGGTGTCCCCAGACTGAGCTCTTGTATTTAACAGGGCTTGCGGAGGAGAATTCTGAAAACTTCCAATGAGAATGTGAATGTCTTAAGAGATCCCTTTAACATAAGCTTCTTTTAAACATTAATGTATGTTCGGGAGTATAGTGTCTCTCCACTGTTTGGAGGGGAAATGCTATAAATTGCCTCTTTCCTTCCACCAAATGTGCATTCCTTTCAAAAACCTTATTATTAAGGGAATTTATCTGACTCCAGGGGAAGGTAACGTTCGGAGAGGGAGGCCAAGTAGCTGCCCTGCCCCACCCACTCCCCACCCCAACCCTGGGCCTGAACAGATCTGCATGGTTTGGGTGCTCTGCCGGGTGTGGCTGACTAACACATGCATGGCTTTCCCTTTCTGCAGCCATTGAAAGTCCTATCACCATGCCCCCCCCATGCCGGTGTATGTATGGAGGAAGTTGCTATTTTGATGAGAACGACCTCCCCAAATGCAAGTAAGTCTGAATCTTGAGGTCCGAGCTGTAGGCCTTGTGTCTCCTGGAGGAATTTTAGACCAAGTGGCCAGAAAAACAAGTACAGGAACCTTGCCACTTCACTAATTTTCTCGTCTCTGCCAGCTTGCCCTCCCTTGGGAGAGTCCACAGAGAGCTAAGGCAGTGTTTCTCCAACTGTATACTGTTCATAAGAATCTTCTGGATCAAATGCCTACCTCCTTCACAGGGATTCTGCATTTCCCATCCCCCCTCCCCAGGAGATGCCACAGGAGTGTGGGCTAGCTCTAACAAGGGCTTAGAGAAGTGACAGCCCCATTTTTTCCCTACTCATCTGGAGGTGGTAATGACATTAGGATTGTGGGAGACCAGGTGTCAGCAGTGGTGCTCCAGCCCAAGCCCTCGTGATGAGCAGAGACCGGGCCAGAGACATGGAAAAAAGAGAATTATGGAGAAAGCTCTAACACGGAGCAAGAAAAATGGAGGTCTCTGAAAGTACTTAATGAATACATGTCAGAGGAAAGAACACAATCGTGGTTTTCAGTTTTCTCTTGAAGGAAGAATTCCGTAGGGTAAAGGTAACACCATGAGGTTTATTTGATGTCAGGGTCACAACACCAAAAGTGAATTTCAAAGTCGGATTGCCGTTCATTCTGCTCATCACCCACTGGCAGAGCACAGGAAAGTCGTGCAGGACACATTGACAGTTCTGCACGTAATTTGCTCCGTCCACCCCCTCTCTACCCGAAGATGGGCTTGTAAAGAGCTATGGAAGCCTAGGAAGGCCACAGCTTGTGAGCCATTCTTCTTTAACTTCCAGGTGTCCCAGCGGCTACATGGGAAAACACTGTGAAATAGGGCTTTCCAAAGGCGTCCCTCCAGGAACAAGTAAGTTCTAAGAACACGAGCAGCCTGGAAAGGCCGCACTGCTCCTAAGTTCTGAATGCTGTCTAGATTCTGTTTAACTCCATCTTGGGAAAATGAGTGGTTCTACCCCCTGCTTCCACCATGAAGTCTTCCAGTGCCTTTCCCTTTCCATCTGCTGATACGGTCCCTTCTCCCCTCTTTGACGGCAGCAGTGGCTGTGCTCTTGACCATCATCCTGATCATCATCATCGCCGCTTTGGCGGCATTAGGATTTTTCCACTACCGGAGAACGGGCTCCCTTTTGCCTTCTCTGCCCAAGCTACCAAGGTCAGTTTCAGTATGGGGAATATTGATGTTAGAGGCCTGGGTGATGGGACCGTGTGAATAAGTTAGGTGTTTTAATTATATATATTTTTAAGCACAGTGTGCAGCTTGCTTTTTCTGCAGAAACAAAAAGTGAACTTAAAGCCATCATTTCAGATGACAACTTCTGAATCAAGTGCTTCTTTGGAAGCCCGGGTGCAGATCCTATTTTATAGTTTAAATAGTTGTGCCCACTGGCGGGCGTTCGGGTCAGACTGGAACTCTCTCCGTGGGATGGACCAGGCTTTATTCCTGCAAGTGCCCGATTGGCTCTCTCTCAGATCTCCACCATTCGGGAATGTGCTTTAACACTTGCATGTAGCTGAGGCAACGTCTTACCATATTTGAGATGCAAATTCATAGTGGGAATCGAGCCCTTCATTTAAGGAAGAGTTTGCAATATGGAGAAGAGGGCACTGTTGCCAAAGGTTGTTTAAAAAATTGCACATTGTTTCAATTACTTCTTTTCAGCTTAAGCAGTCTAGTAAAGTCCTCTGAAAATGGAAATGGGGTGACCTTCAGATCGGGAGCAGATGTTAACATGGATATCGGAGTATCTGGTTTTGGGCTCGAGTCTGCTATTGACCGCTCGATGGTGATGGTGAGTGTGGTGGCAAGTGACAGTTTGTGAAGTGAAGGTTTTCATTTTTACTGTTTTTTTTTTTTTAAATAAAAGAAACACTTTTATAGAGAATAAAATTAACCTAGTAAAAAAAAGATGAAGCAGTGTGCCTCTCAAAATAGTCTTTACAAAATTGGAAACATTGTTTGTTGCAGAAAGTTCTCTAAAAATACTAGTAATTAAATTGAACTCTACCCCTGCTCTAAGTCATAGTTGAATCCTGAACAGTGTTGAGTTTAATGGGAATCTTAAGCAGTCTTGTGTCTTTTGGGAGGGGGAGAAAGAGAGCATGGTGTTGTTTTTATTTGGTGACTCCTTGTATGTGAAAGGAAGGAGTAGGAAAATACGTCTCCTAGTCTCATATATTTTCCCACCAGTGTAAAATATTGACAGAGCAAGCAGTGATTTTTAGAGTCAGTGGTTGGTTCAAATCGTAATTCTGCCACCTTCTAAGGATGTTACAGTAGGCACGAACTTGATCACTCTGACCCTCACTGTCCTCATCTGTGAAATGGGTACAATAATACCTCTTGTGAGGATCAAATGGCTAGTTTATGAGTGGACTAGTACAGTCTTTATAATCAGTACTGGAAAATCATTTTCAGTATTTTGCCTTTCCCCAAAATCTTTTGTGTTTGCCCTTGCATAAAAGTACAGAGTGATCCATTCTTTCCTTTTTCTCATCTCCCTCTTCTCCTCTTAGCTCTTCTTCCATCACCCACTCTTTTCTCTGTTGTACAAACCCAATCCCTAAGTGAGTTATTTATATTAAGGAGCCAAAGACAATGTGGATATAGGGGGAATGTTTGTTTTCTTGATCTGATAAATGAGTGCATTTGTTAACTTTGTGTAATGGTTTGCCATATGGAAGCCTTATGTCTCCTGCCCCCCTCCATTTTTTGGGTGGGGGTAAGTTCTTTTTGGGTATATTTGGCATAGTACCTGATATTTCTTGAGGTATGAGGAGGGCACCTTCCTTTGTGTGTAAACCATATATATATATATATATATATATATATATATATATATATTTATTGTTTTTTTTTTTTTTTTTTTTTCATCAGAGTGAAAACTTTGCCATGGAGATGGGGAAGCAGCCCATAATATTTGAAAACCCAATGTATGCATCCAGGGACAGTGATGTCAAAGTGGTTCAGCCAACGCAGGTGAGAAATCAGCCCTTTCTTTGAGGTGCTGCTCCTGTTGAATCTTGTTCTGTTGAATAATACCCTGTTAGGGTTCTCCCAGCTTACCTTCGAATGGAAGGAAACAGTGTTCATTCTTCTGCTTGACTATATGCAGTCACAGGACTGACCCAAGGATATGACACCAATTTGTGAATAGTTGCTGGGGTTTAGCGGCCCTTCTTGGGGTGCTGACCAAGAGCCTTTTCATTCTAAGTGGTCAGGGCAAGAATTAGGAATCCATTCAGGGGCTTGGCAAGCAGTGCCAGGCACACACAGGCTCTCTGTAAGTATTCGTGAAATGGATAAGTGAATGATTATCAGGTCATTATGTAGAGATTTTGGGGACTGGATATACTCTCTGGGTTCTTACTGATAGCACAATGTTGTTATTTGAGGTGACCTCCCTATACCTGCCTTCCCCATACTTCTCTGAAAAGTACAAAAGTCTCCAGAATAGATAGGGAGCTCTCTCAATTTCCTGTGATGCAGCCCCATTACTCACTCCTCTTTAAGAGGAGCAGGAAGACGACATAGGTATATAGATGTAGGGGAAGAAGTTTTCACGGGCTTTGGATCAGTAGCTCCTGTACCATTTCTAGTGCCTGTCAACTCTTAGTCTGTCCTTCCTTGTCAAGAAAGCTAGAGCCTTTGTGAAATATGGTTTCGTTGTTAATACCTAAACTTCTTTTGAAATCATAAGATATGGTACCTTTTAAATATAGAAGTGTTTATTTTATGAATAGCTTTCCTAAGATCAGAAATAGTTGCATCTTGAAAGCATTTTGTCTGATCCTTTGATATCCAGATAGCAAAAATCTAATCACATGATGAAACAGATGTGACATCTCATTTGGCATTTTCACTTGAAATAAAATAAGACCATGTTTACAAACATATCCACATTTGAAAAGAAATGAAACAGTGAATATAAAAATACAGGGAAAAGTGGATTTTTTGCCTTGTAATTTGTTAATTATATATTCATAGTAATTTGGGCTTAAGAGGGAACCTTGGAATCACATGAATGTTACAGAAAAATGTCTAGAGGGTTATTAATTCCATTATACCTTTGTTTCAAATATTCAACCTCTTATAAGCAGTCCTCTCAGATTATTAATTTTACTCTAAATATCCAAAGATAAGATTCTCAGTTCTGATGAGTTTGGGAATAATTCATGCTGTTCCTCTAGGTTTGGTTGCCAATGTACAGCCAGAGTTGTTTATCAAAAAATATGGTCAGCAGTGGGAATATGGGAGCACAGACAACACAATAAAATTGTCATTACTGAGAGTGTAAACTGTGATATGTGTGTTTGCCTCCCAGGATTAAGGCATGACATGGATGACATAGTGTTGGTGCTCCTGATTTGGGGGAGATGGGAACAGTGTTTAGTCCTAGGCGATGGGGTTAGTCTCATGTAAGAAAAAGAGTGCCTGACCATGTCTGTGGGAAAGCAAGGCTATGAAGAGAGCCAAAGAGTTGATAAGAAACTTCATAGCCAAGATTGTTTCAAAACTGGATACTGTGCTTTAATGTGCACACAGGTGACTGTATCTGGAAATGTGGATAACCAGAACTATGGAAGTCCCATCAACCCTTCTGAAATAGTTCCAGACACAAAGCCGACCTCCCCCGGTGCTGATGGAACTCAGGTAACAGTGGCTGGCTACTGAAAGGACGTGGGATTTGCAAAGGGCTTCGGAATTTCTGGGTTTACTAATGCTGGGGGTAACTAGGGAGACCCTGATAGGCTCATGGAACCAATATATGTAGGCAGTTAAGAAAGATAATTTTTAAAAAATAGTAAATTGAAAAACTTTCCACAGCTAAAGCCACATTTCTGAAACAGGAATGATATTCCCGGTGACATGAGAGACCATATAGAAAAGAAGGGCAACAGACTTCCGGATCTAGTCTCTTCAGACCAGAGGTGCTTGATTTTAGAGAATGACTTCACTATGTCATTGTGTCACTGTGTCAAGGATACATGTAGAAGACTCTTTCCTTTTTTTACATAGTGGAATTTTTCTACAGTGTACATCTTTGTTCCCTGAAAAATGTGCTGTGTTCTTAGCTCCTCTGCTGTTAACCTGTATTCACCACGAGATGGCACTAGTTTATACTCTCCCATCTATCCACGTGTCCATCCAACCAACCAGTGTTTTCGCCCTCAGTGTGCCAGGCACAGTGTTTAACAACCAAAAGTAAAAGAAAAAAGACTGCTAATGGAACTTCTCTATCATGCCTTCAGGCACTTTGAAATTTTTAGACTATTTGGTCTACAGAGAGAAAGTCAATAAATAAATCTGATAGAAAATTTTGTGTTAATGTGTAATCAATCCCTAGTTTTAATGGCTACATATGAAGCTAAATAAGATCTAGCTCTCTGATCCTGGGCCAACTATTTTACCTCTGGGTTCTAGAGTCTTCATGCTTCTCCTTAGGACCACTGTTGGCATATGAAGTGAGATATTTGTGGTACAAAAGTTTGTCTCTGCGTTCCAGGACATTTTCCTATTCTGGGCCCTGTCCACAGAGCATCAGCTTTCTGTCTCCCTCAGTGCACTGTGGTCCCACAGATCCTCTTCCACTCTACCTCCCCCCATATTCCCAGTGGAGGACAGAAGGATCTGGCATGTCTCTGTCTTAAGGTTCTGTGACTTCTTCTGTGAAGTAATGTAAAAAATCAAATCCAAGGGTAGTTAGAAATCTGGCCACTTATATCATCCTTATTTCTCAAATTGCACCGTCTCTGTGCATAATTGGTATCTGCCAAGTTAACTTGGAAGTTGTGTTAGATTTCCAGCACCTCAGATATTGGTTCCTGTTCAGCTTGTTTGGATCAAAATAAAAGTTGAACTAAATTCATGCTCATGAGGGACACCTGGGTGGCTCAGTCGGTTAAGTCTCCCTGACTCTTGTTTTTGGCTCAGGCCATGATCTCAGGGTCTTGAGATCAAGCCCTGCATCAGACTCCTGTGTGGGCATGGAGCCTGCTTAAGATCCTTTCCTGTCCTCCCTTCATGCCTCCCATTCTCTCTCTCAAAAAAAAAAAAAAAAGAAAAAAGAAAAAAAAAATTGATGCTAATGAAGAGCTTATAACCTAGCTCTCTGTCTACCTTTTTTTTTTTTTTTTTAAGATTTTATTTATTTATTTATTTGACAGAGAAATCACAAGTAGTCAGAGAGGCAGGCAGAGAAAGAGGCAGGGAAGCAGGCTCCCTGCTGAACAGAGAGCCCGATACGGGGCTTGATCCCAGGACCCTGAGATCATGACCCAAGCAGAGGCTTTAACCCACTGAGCCACCCAGGTACCCCTCTCCGTCTACCTTTATATATTTCATGTACTAATTCCTTCTTCTCCTGACATACACACACACACACGAGACACATACAAATGTTGTCTTAGAAAGGAATTTTCAGTTTCATATTTTTCAAGGGACTGAATTTCTTTCTTCAGGCTACATTTAAAAGTGGATTTTGGAGATTAATTTTCCACAGACACCAAAATACTTGAATGTCACAATGCTGTGTATCTTGAATATTCCCTGAGCCTGACTCAACCCCAAGGCAGTGCCAGATTTATTTTATTTTCTCACTTATTTTTTCTTTTCAGTCCATTTCAAGTCTAGTGATCTCTTCACTACACCAAGCTCTCTCCCAGCCTGAGCAGGAAGGGAATGTGGGGTGGGGGGTGTGCTGCAGCCTCTGACCTGCACGCCTGTCATCAAAAACAAAATGAACACGGAAGGACTTCAAATGAGAGGAGATCTTCACCCATTATAGTCCCTTCTTTCTCATCTTCCTCTTTGCAATATGTCGGCTCTTCCTCTTACTTCTTTTTTTCTTTCTTTTATCGATTGAGGCTGAGACTATCTAAGGTCTCTTCTGCCCAGTATATCTAGTGATCTCCCCATATCAGTCATGCCCTGGGCACTGGAAGGGGCAGCCAGTGTGGCTTGAAGCCATAGAGGCACTTGGTTAGGATCTCCTTAGGTTAGCACTCATGTGCTGGAGAGGCTCACAAATCTGTCATTCATCAGTAAATTGGCTTAAAGGACTCAAATCTAGGAACATGAATTCCTGTGACTCCGTTCTGTCATTCTCCAAAAGTCACGTTGGTATGCATTGGGTTTCCCAAGGAGATAGCTATGGAAATCACCATGGTTCCTCTGGTTAGTAATTGCCTAACTCCTGGTAGCCCATTCCACAAGTGTTAGCTTCCTAAGGCCAGGCTCTTGACCCGAATGAGTTCATCTTTCTCTTGGTGGCAGTCATGTAGGTGCTCACTTACATGCCGGTTACAGTGAATGGTCTTCTGTGGTCATGTGCCCCCCTGACTCCTTCACATATTGGCCCCCTACTTTCACAGAGCAAGAGACACCCCTAAAATAGATAGGCTACCTTAGCTACCTGCTGGAGTTGGGTATCTGCTCCCTTGCTTTCTCTTCCCTGTCGGCCTCCATCGGGTAGCCGGAGCTGTGTCCAGCAGTGGCACCATGGACAGCTTTTCAGCAGGCCCCGGGCTACCCGCCATCATCGATGGTGATTCCTCTTTGGCTTCTTCGGTCTATGGGCCTCGGAGTCCTGTTAACACTGCCTACTCTTCCACCTACAATTCAGTTACATGAGCTTGCTGTGACTCTTGTTTCCTCATCTGTAACATAAGAGCACCCACCTCACAAACCTGCTGGAAAGGTAAATTGGGAAACTTGTAGGCCAACCCCTGATACCTAGTGAACTCTCAGTAAAGACTCATTTTTGGTATCACTATCGCTGTTTTGATTATAGGAAGAAATGATGAAGGGAGAAGGGATATGCTTGCATTGACCAAGGATCAAGACCCCATTTTAGGAAATGGGAGTTACCATCTGGCTTTCTCTTTACATTTTCGGCAGCCCCGAAGAAATCTCTAGCCTCTCTCAGGGCTTCTAGATTCTAGAGGCACAGATTCTGTCAACTCTACATGTCAAATCAAGGAAATATTTTGAAATTTATTAGACGAAAAGAGCCAGAGACTACTCAGTTTCAGTTTGGGGACCATCTGAGGAGGAACTGAACAGTTTACCCAAGGGGCAGGTCACATGGTCCCAGGTCCAGATTTGCTTTGTCCTTTACTAAGAAGACATTTTAAAGCTTACGTGAGGGGACCAAATCCACACCAGATAATTCCGTTACTGAAGGTTTTCTGTTTCCCCTTTTTCATTTAGGCAACAAAATGGAATATCTTCAAACGAAAACCGAAACCGGCCACGAACTTTGAAAATCCGATCTACGCGGAGGTAATTGCTGACAGTTTGTCTTAGCACAAGCATTCGGCAAGCTTCCTTAGCAATCCCTTGCTTGGCTCACCGGGATGTACGCTCAGATTATCCTGAGCAAACTGGCAACGATTTGTTTTCTTTACACAAAATCTGTTTCTAGTCCTGTTGGGGGAATAAATGGCTGATCCGTGTTTCATTGTGGCCTTAGATGGAGAATGAACAGAAGGACAGCGCGGCTGTGACTCCACCTCCAACGCCTTCTGTCCCTGCGAAAAGTTCCCCAAGAGGCCCAGTGCCAACCTATACTGCAACAGAAGACACTTTTATAGACACCGCGAGCCTTGTTAGAGAAGACTCTGAGGTATAGCCATGCCAGCTATCTAGGGAATAATTAGAAACACACTTTTGCACATATATTTTTTACAAACAGATGAAGAGAAAGTTAACATTCAGTACTTTATTAAAAAATATATATATATTTTTTCCCAGTTCGCCTATAGTTGGAAGTGTCCATGGAAACTCTGCCTTGAGTGTCTTTTTTTTTTTTTTTACTTAATGCTGTCTCCTGTTTTTACAGATAATTATCACAATGTACTATATGTATATCTTTGCACTGAAGCTCTCCGAAGGTAATTCTATAAATATATTGTACATTTGTAAATTTCAGAAAGATTATCACATCATTAAATTTGCTGATAAAAGTATCTGCTGAATTGGTTGGTGATCATTACAGTAAATGATCCAACAAGGAAAGGAATTGACGGGGCGTGGGGTGGTTTAGCCATGTCTGAAGAAGGGTACCACTCCTGTTCTCTATAGGATTATTCAGGAAAGAGATCCGGGCCCCACTCCTGGGTCCATTTTTATACCTTGGCACTTAATGAATGTTCCGCATTTGTTCTACATCACCTGTAACCTGGTCGGTAGGCGTATGGACAGAGGGTGCGGTGTGTTGTGCGGACATCTGGATCTGCCTGTCGCTGCCTCCAGTAGCGCAGAAAGTAGAAAACCAGCTTGGTGCTGCCCTTCTGCACGTCTGTGCTGTCCAGCCAGAATGCTCTCACATGTCTTTACCTCGCTAGCTGCCAAGTCAACATTCTTACCTGCGACATCTGTGAGAAAGGCGCATGTCCTGAGGTACAAGTGTCCTGCAAAGAGTTTGTTATCAGATTGAATGAACCCTTTTGCCTGATGGATCCTAGGGTGATTTCCGTCCTTCCGTGCCTCTCAGGCGGTTACCTACCCCGGACGCTGGAGCTCAACCACTGAATTACTAAAACCAAATCCCTGTCTTCATCAAGTATGGTGCAGAACAGATACCAGTTAAGCAAAGCCTCAGCTGGGTTTTCGTTTCTGTGTGTGAAAATATCATTATAATGACTATTTATTTCCTCAGTTGAACGTGAATAGAAAGGGAAACTGTTCTTCTTGAGCCTTTTTTTTTTTTTTTTAGGTCCTTTTGGCTAAATCGTACATTTGTATTTTGGAATGTACTGTAGAGCCTAGATTTTTCTCTTGAGTAGTGGGTATAGAGTCCACAATGGGAACCATGGCAGGAATATACAGTTTCCGTACTACATAGCATTCCTGACTCTCTGTGCTAATATTGCACATTTTTAAAACCGTGAATGAATGGATGGATGGATGAATGGATGAAACATGTACTACTGATTATTTTATTACTGAGTTCTCAAAATATTCGTGGCTCATATTTTGGGAGCTTATTATAATTTTTTTTTGAAATGTACTTTGATTAGAAAAGCAAATGGAAATGATGCTGCTGCGAAATTTCTAATAAATTTGTATTTTATCAGAGTTCTTTGGTGTGCTTCTTAAGACCAGCTCACGAGTCTGTTGTATTTTTATGCGCAGAGAACTTGGGGCTTTGAGTGCTAGGCCAACTGAGAACTAGGGGTGCCCAGAGTTCAGGGGGGAGGAGGGAGGGGAGGAGTTCGCAGCACATCCAGCCCTGACCGGCCTGGTGGGGTAATTAATCTCAGAGAGGAGTAAGCTCCTTAAGTTCCCACCTGAACTCTGGGTGGGCAGCCCCCTTAATTGCCTTTCAAAGTCAATTTCCACCTCTTCTTTTCCTTCCTTACATTCTAGGCTCTGAGCCAGACCCCCCTTTTCAAGTCTAATTGTGCTCCTGAGCTCAGTGAAAGTACCCACTGCTGAGGGGTCTCAGAGCTCCTTACGCTGAGACGGACGGAAGAGCAGTGAGGACGGTCGCAGCTGGAGAGGGTTTTGTTCCAAATTGGAATTCAAGCTTCAGTGGGGTGTATTTGGATGCATTAACTCGGGGACGGTGGCATCAGCCGCAGAAAGCGCGAATACAAGAGTGAAAAGAAGCAGCAAGAACCTGCGCTGGGAAATGCTTGTAATTTCCAGCTTTGGTTTTTGTCTTGGGCATTAAGCTCAATATGAAATGAGTCTTGGGCATTTCTTTTATGAAAACTCGTGTTCTGCTCACCTTCATTTCCGAGTGTACCCCAGAAAGGCATCAGAAAGCCTGCCAGTGCCTTCAGGAAGTCCGCCTACTTTGGCCCTCCCATTGCCTTTCCTAGGCCATGGCTCTCTCGGTGCCCAGTTCTGACCCTGCCTGTCTCTAGCCCGGGCAGCTGTTCAGAAGTTGGGCCAGGGTGGGAGTGCCCCGGGGGACAGGGTCCTACTTACGGGACTGAAGTTGGTGTTACTCATCATTTCATTACGTGAAGCAGGGGTCATTTTACTAGCAGGCGTGTACTTACACTGCAGAACACAAGATTGCAACCGTAGCAGGTGTGTTCACAGAAAGTTGTCAGGTCATACTGGTCACCCATTTTTAGGGTTTCCCAGTAAGTTTTTTATTCGCTCGCTCACTCACTCACCGTGGGTTCTACCAGCATTCAGTTGCAGACAAAGTTTGATGCAGAGACCGTGGGTTTCAGGAAAATAGGGGAGAGGAGAACTTTAAATTGAGAACTCTATCTATTAAATTGTTTTTTTTTTTCTCTGAAATGGAAAAAAGACCATTATTTGATTTTTGAGGCAGTGTATCGCAGGGTGGCTCAAAAACTGTGAAGAACTAGGTAGGCCCTGGGGTGAGGGAGGGTTTTGAGGAAGCTGGCTGGAGATGTACAAGTGTTCCTAGGGGTCCTGGAAAGAGCCTTAAACTTGGGCCTGGAGCCCTTGACTACCCTCGACCTGTCATCCACTGTTCTGTCTTTCCCCTGCACTCATTGTGGTCACAAGCCTGATGGGGGTAGTATAAAACCATGTGTTTCTTTTGGAAAGCTCCCCTAAGAGCATAAAGCATAAAATTGCTCTCTTCACATCTGCAGTTTGCTTTGAAATAAACTGGTGTGTGTGCTGGGGAGAGAGGGAGGAACAGGACAGAGATGCAAAGAAATCGGCTGTGAGACAATTGTTGAATCTGGGCATGGGGTCCATGGTGCTTATCATACTGTCCTCCCTATTCCTGTGTATGTCTCAAACTTTCCTGAAAGAGCTAAGAACACAATCCTTCCGCTGTACTTGATGTCCTCTCCAAATAATACACATTCATGAACTGTCCCCATAGTACCCAGTGTTCCAGGCACTAGAACTATACTAATAGCTTGTGGAACATTAATGTAGCAGGTTCAGGTGTGAGTACCTTACGTGTTTTATCTCACTGCATCCTAATAACAATCCTATGAGGTACATATATTATTATGCCCATTTTTCAGATGAGGCACAGAGTGGTTGAACCCCTTCCCCAAAGTCACACAGCCAGTAAGTGACAGGGCTAGAATTCAAACCCTGCTCTGTCTCCAGAGCTTGTGCTCTTCAAGACGCTGCTGTGGCCACTTCTCTCAGGCATCTGTGTTCACGTTGTGTCCATGACATTCTGGAACTAGTGATAAGAAACAAAGCAAACTGGTTGCTAGAAACTACTAGATGTCATTGAGTCCCACCTAGATAATGATACAGCCAGTCACCGAGTGCCTTCCCTACTTAACGCCAACCAGAGACAAGAGGCAGATTTCTGTTCCTTTGGTAACTAGTGCCCCCTAGTGATCATTGTTTGCCAGGAGGACGAGTTCCCAACCAACACTTTCAGCCCAGGGGTGGGGCCATCCTCCTGCTGTTAATCTCAGCCCCAGAGCCGGCTTCTAGAAAACCATGGGAGTCCAACATATAATGTGTGTAGAGAAAGTGTTAAGCCCACTGGCTGGCACAGAGTCAGCCCTCCGTCCACAGTAGACATGCTTATGGTTGTTGATTGAGGAGAGGGGAAGGACTTTTTCTTAGAAAGGAAATGTATTTTTAAAAGCTCGATGGGGGATTTTAATGTGTAGCCGGCCTTAGAACCACTGATCTAAATGGAAGTAGCTGATATTTCTTTTTTTCATTTAAAAGATTATATATATTTGTATAAATAAATATAAATAATTTATATAAATATATATTTATACAAATTTTGTGTGTATATATATATATATATACATATATATTAAATTTCTTTAAAGAGCGAATGTGGGGAGGGGCAGAGAGGGAGAGAGAGAAAATCTCAAGCAGACTCCCTGTAAGGACCTATTTAGCCAGAGCGACTCCATCTTGGTTAAAAGCCATTTTGTTGTTTGTGCAGTAAAACTTAAACTGACCCTGCCCCCCCCACCGCCCCCCCTGAGAAACTTACTTAGAAGCAAGTCTGGGAAACCAGTAAAATATGGTCAGCTAGTTCCTAATAACAGAGCCCAGAATACAAGGCCAGGTCGGCCAGTTCTTGATAACGGAGCCCAGAATACAAGGACGAGTCGGGCCAGGTGGAGACATCCAATCAGTAAGAAACACACATACTCTTTCCCTAACCACCAAAGAATGTAAACCCCGCCGTTTGGGCACCAACCTTGAGCACCAATTCTGACCAGAGTAATAGGTTAGGTCGAATAGCTACTATAGGGTAAATTGTAATTCAGTTGGCCACCTGCGTGTGACCTAACATGACTACAATCTTATTGGCCACCTATGCGTGGCCAGACTTCTGCTCTATAAAAGGTAGTCTGTAAAATGGGCAGGGGTCGCCGTCTTCGGAGGCGGCCCTGACCGGTCAGTCAGTCAATTCTTGAGCCTGTAAGCTGGGGGTGGTCGCTCTCTTCAGAGACGGCCCTGGCGGGTCAGTCTGACTTCTAATGCTTAGCATAGAATAGAGCTTTGCATAACTTTTGCCTTATCTCAGTCTCATTCCTCTGACCAATCAGTCTAACTTCTAATACTTACCATAAAATAAAGCTTTAAATAATTTTCACTTTGTCTCAGTCTCGTTTCGTTTAATAATGGACCTAACACTCCCCACTCAGTGCAGAGCCCAACACGGGGCTCGATCTCACAACCCTGTGACCATGA